AAGACAAAAGTTTTGTCGCCTACAAAAAATTTAACAAATAATTTACTTCAAATACAAAAATATGTTGCATAACGTCAGTGAATTAAGTAGTGGTGCTGTGAGATCCATATTTAATATCTTGTATGACTTCCATGAGCTTGAAGGACGCATCCATGCGGTTCGACAATGATTCATACAATTTGTTGATGAAGTCATCAGGAATAGCAAAGAAAGCGTCTTACATGCCTCCCAGAGTTCATCAAGATTCTTTGGTTTTGCCTTCCATGCTTCCTCTTTCATTCTACCCCAGACATGCTCAATGATGTTCATGTCTGGTGACTGGGCTGGCCAGTCCTGGAGCACCTTGATCTTCTTCACCTTGAGAAACTTTGATGTAGAGATAGAAGTATGCGATGGAGCACCATCCTGCTGCAAAATTTGACCCCTTTTATGGTTGGGAATGTAAGAGGTAGCCAATACCTCTTGATATTTTAGGATATTGATATTGCCTTCCACCCTGCAAATGTCTCGCACAGCCCCATACTGGATGTAACCCCAGACCATGATTTTTCCGCCACCAAACTTAACTGTTTTCTGGGTGAATCTTGGATCCATGCGGCTCCAGTAGGTCTCCTGCAATATTTGCGGCGGCTGTGATGTAATTCAACCGAGGATTCATCTGAGAAATCCACCTTCTGCCACTTTTCCAGTGTCCATCCTTTTAGCAGGCTGTGGGCCTTGGCAAATGCCACGCGGTTTTTTAATTGCCTTTTGTTTAGTGCTGGTTTCTGTGCACTGATTCGACCATGGAGGCCATTTCGAGACAGAATTCTACAAACTGTTGTGGTTGACACAGGGACTTGAGGTGACCAGGTCTGGTGGAGTCTGCTGCAGTGGAAAAGGGGCTGGCCTTGGATTTTCGAATCAACAAACGGTCCTGCCGAGCAGTTGTCTTGCGGCATCTGCTGGACCTGGGCTTGTCAAAAACATCTCCAGTCATTTTTCTTGTTCTTTGTACTTGACACTGAGACACATTGAAGGTGTCACCACCTCAGCAGTGGATCTGGTCTTCAGCCTCTTGATAATTAACGCTTTGGTCTCAGGGTGGATCGTAGGCATGTTGTCAGAGGTCAAGTTGCAGTTGATGTGAAGGTCTGGTGTGCTGGGGTTCTTTTTATACACACCCACTAATTGATTGATCAGTAACTGATCACAGGTGAGGCTGTAATCTAGGATTGGGTGCATCATATGACAAGGCCACAAGACTTTTGTCTTGCCAAAATCTGACCTTTCTGTGTTCATTAAATGATCAATCTTTATTCAGTGAAGCAAATTTATTTTAGTATATTGAGCATAATTTGGGAGGGTTTTAGCTTCATATGAGACATTTCTAAAACCAATCGATTAATTTAAAGTCAGGTTATAAGCTTTTGTTTCTACAAAATGGATAAGCGACAAGACTTTGTAAGGGACTGTATATCTAAATTATATTTTGTTGCTTGAAATTCTCCTCTTACCTGGGCCTTCCTCCTCTTCCGGACCTGCTCAATCTTCTGGTCCAGGCTGGTGGGCGTCCTCTGCACCACACAAAAAACACACGAAACTCTTGAGTCTCAAGTGAACTCAAGAAGCCTCTTGCCTCAGTGGTCACACTGCCACACTTTTGCCTAGAAACTAAATATGCAGACTTCCTTTGCATTTCTTTTTAGGGGACAGATAAAATAATTCTGACTGTGAACATTGTTTAAATAAATAACAAAGATAACACCTTATTAGTCACATATATTGCTGAGCAATCTCTGGTGTCCCCCTCTCTTACCTTGGTCTTCATCTGGCTGAGGACGTCCTGTGGGAGCCAGGGCTGCTCTGTGTGGCCCACATCCCTCTCTCCAAACTCAAAGTCTGCGTTAAAGTCCCTGGCACCACGGCGACGCTTGGCCTGCTTCTTTTTACGGTTCAGCACGATGGGCTCCTCCTGAGGTCACACAAATACTGCATCTACACAACTTCCACAGGAGCTCACAGGGCTTTTGAAGCAGAAGTACATATACATCAGTCTGATCTGCCACTGTGTGTGCATCATTCATTTCCTCACAACAGTCGACTGACTGAAGCCAAGCTGTCGATGCACGTCCACCAACCAACACTAACCATTCACACAGCACCTACAAGCTGGGAAAGTGTCTTGCCCAAAGACACAAATGAACGCACTGATAACGAACTGGATGCATGGCCTTCGTGATATTTTGCAAATACTCTAATCGCTTAAGCACTACCCTCATCCCAATATCTTAAAGGTTAGTGGATTCCATCCCTATTGAATGCTGTCATTGTGCATTTGAGCAGTACACTTCAGCCTCGTATATTATACATTCTTTTTGTACACTTTTAATGTCATCTTGTCCTATGTGCCTTATTACTAGATGCAAGAGACGTTTCTGATGTGAACACTCGTCACGGTTCTGTTCGTCTCCAGGCGCCGTGTAAACACACGCTTCTACCCCCGCTCACTCACCTCACTGTCGGACTCGGAGTTGGGTTCCTCCGGGCTCGGGTCATCGTCCTGGAGGGTCCCGATTAGGCCCAACTGCTCCAGCATCCTGAGCGCAGAGGGTGAGTGTTGGCCCGGCAGGTGGCACAGCAGTGTGGGTCAGGGTTCCTCGCAGGGACCTTCAAGCGGCTCTGAGCTTCAGAGCTTCACAATGTTTGGATCAGCGTGAATACAACACACGCACACGTGCAGTACTCACACGGCTCACACGGCTCACCCGGTACTCCAGTACACCAGCGCTCTCCACTCGCACACGTGTGATCCGGAAGTGCGCTGCTCGCTTCTTCTTTTTTTAATTTTTGTCAACAACTGAGATGAACTTTTAGCGCCCTCCACAGCGTGGAGGAGAACGCTGTCTGCACAGGCCGCAGCACAGCTAAGAGTAAAAGCTACAAGTAAAAGTGGAAGTGTATTTTACACTAGAATAAAAAGTGGGTTATTTTAAAGGGATGGGCCTCACAAGTAATTGATCATCTGAAGTCAAAACATGAAATCAAAGAATAAACGACTCAAATCTGAAGGAGGCAAGCAATACAAATAATTTTATATAGTCACCATCAACATAAAACTTTTATAGACCCACAATGAAATGAGTAGGCTGACTAAAACTTTTACTCAAATAAAAGCACTGATAACATTGTAAAATCGTTTATTAGCCTCCTCCTGTGGCCAGGCTGCAGAATTGCTCGGTGGGACTACAAGCTGTTGATTGTAATGCAGCCAAGGTCCAGTGAAAAGCGTCAAGTTCAATAGACGTTTGGAAATGACAGCATAGATCAGCCCACACAGCACATTTGGGTCTGATAGTCTTTCAGTAGACTCACATATTTAACCTTCTTCCTCTGTTTGTTTCATTTGTTTTTGCAAAACCAATTCATACATCCACAGGGCACATTCGAGACAGACTCCAGTGCAAAAGAGCCGAGCAGTAGATGGAAGACGGTTCTCCTGTGAGCAGCTGCTGAAGCTCTGCTAAAGCTCTACTGAAGCTAAAGACTGTCCAAGACCCTGAGGTGTGGACGAGGTTAGTTTATAGTTTATAGTTATAACAATTAATAGGCCTCCTTCAGTATGCAGCTCTTCTGCTTTCTCTACTATTCTCACCAGCACAGCTAGCTTTGGCCTCTCTCTGGATTCACTCTTGTTTGAACTTCTGCGATACACAGTGCACTCAATGTAAGATTTAAAAATCTGTCTAAAAACTAAGAAATAGCAGTTTTCTCTTTAGTTCTCCTTCCGCAGTTGTGAGCAGTGACCCCTGTGAAAGGTGCTCTCACAAACCTCTTCAGCAGGGGGCAGTGTCAGGACAGTTTCTTGAGTAATGTAACTGTCTCCCTGCTACACCACTGTAAAGACAGGCTTGTGTTAGTAAAGGTTACTGTAGGTCATGAGCTGCTGAGCTGTTTCCATGGTAACACATGTTCACTGTGGGACAAAGTGACCCAAAACAACATGAGGAATCTGCTGACCAGGTCATGTGATTCAGGACAGGGGACACAGTGTCCCTCCTCCGGCCCTGAGCACTGCCTCTGTGAGTAAACTACACAAGCTGTACTTCATGTTTCACTAACATTCCTCAGTCCTCTCCAGATTGCCATGTAGGTGCTCAGAGGGCCTTCACTGTGCTGTCTTATTTATTTTAACCTGAGGAATAAATGCTTTCTTCTGCAGTGTGCCATCTGAGAAGTGCGCCCTCTGCTGGTGTTTTCTATTCACCTTATTCTTCCCCTCCCACTTGTGCCGTAATTTCTTTTAAACCACACTTTTTTGTGGCAGCACTTTTGGTCAAACATGAAGCCCATTCCTTTCAAAGGAGAATTTTAAAGTTTCACAGGTAAAATCTGATATAAAGGTGTTCGATTTGTGTAAAATGTGCATGTGACCAAAAGGTCCCTTATAGAACTGACATGCGGTGAAGATCAGCCCCATGCAAAATAATATAACCCCAATGGTGATGGCAGGGTCCATGCTAACTCCCAGAATAAGGTGAATAGGCTATAAAGACATTTCAAAGGACACTGTGAAGAGGAAAAGGGAGAGGACAGTTCCTTGGAGGCAGGAGAGAATTGCTCATCCACTCCAACTAACTCCTCCTGCATTATCCAAAGAGAACGTGGCAGCATTAGAGGTTCAGCTCAGTTTTACAAGAGAAAAGTCACACTATGGCACACATCTATGGCACACATCAAAAAGCAGAAATAAACTGGCTTCAGACCACTCCCTTTTCAAATGCCCCACTGAAAATCCGTAACTGTTAATGGGACACAATTACTCTATGCCTTTCCCTGCTACCCTCTAGTTATGATGTGGCTCTGATTCTTTGTAGTGGATTGGCCATTACACAGTTGTAGATTGAAGAGAGTTTCCCTCTGTCCTAGCACCATAAATGGCACATGTCCAGCTAATACACTAATACGGATTCAGAGTGTGGAGCCTTTGGTCCAGTCTCCATGTGGGTGCTGTTCCTGTAACCTCTCAGAGTAAACAGGAAGTGTTCTGTGAAAATGACTTTTTTTCCTAGAATTCCGTTGTTTACACTTACTGTACATCAGCTGATCAGCGACTACGAGGGCAGCCCTCATATGTCCCTCTGCAGTCAGTGATGAGTCTGTGCGGCCTCCATTCACACTACAGGGACATGGAGTGTTTGGAAAAGAGGAAAGAGTGTTAAAACATGAGTGGTTCCATCATTTGGTCAGGGCACGTGTTCATGGGCAGGTTCAGACAGCACCCACAGGGTTTTTGTGTGAGTGAGTGTGTGCGTGTGTGTACACTTGTGGGGGGGTGTATGTGTTTAGGGGGGGGACTCTTCTAACCCACTGAAGCAGAGCCACAGACCAGACCACTACAGCCAGGGAGGGAACAACCCAGACTCCAGCACAAGGCAGAAGACACGTCCCAGAGGACTGAAAGAGGACAGTGAGAGGACCCAGTGGACAGAGAAGACAGTAAGAAGACGGAGAGGCCAGAGTGGACAGTAAGAGGACCCAGAGGACAGAGTGGACAGTAAGAGGACACAGAGGACAGAGTGGACAGTAAGAGGACCCAGAGGACAGAGTGGTAGCAGGAGTGACAGGACAGACCTGGACATCCTGGGAGGCTGCTGCTTCATCTGTTTCTAGAGGTATCAGAGCATCTTTGAGCTGTGAGTTTATTCATCTTTATGCAGAGGTGGTAGAGGAGCCAAAAATTGTAGTCAAATAAGAGTAACGTTACTTCAAAATAATATTACTCAGGTAGAAGTACAATGTAGCGGTCCAAGAAATTACTCAAGTAAGAGTATTTGGGAAAACTACTCAACTACTTGTAGCTTTCAGTGTAACTGTCTGGATTGTCACTTAAAGCTTTTGTTTGGAAGAGGAAGCACTACCTTTACTACTTTTTAAAAACTTTTTTAGTACTTTTTTAAGAGTACTGTTTCACTGTACAATATATTACTCTAGTAAGAGTACTGTTACTTCCATAAAAATATGATTTTATCATTTCTTTGTAACTGAGTAAATATAAATGCGTAGCAATAGGCTACATCTATTCAACTGTCAAGTCCCATTACATGTTACGCTGGTGTTACACTTGTGTTTAGATGGCAGTTTGTGCAGCAATAGTTTTGTTTCTTGTGTTTAGTGCCATTCTCTACAGAGCTGCCTTACGGTGGCACAGTGGTTAGAGCCCCTGCCTCATAACAAGAATGTCCCAGGTTTGATTCTAGATCAGTATGTGCAGTGTCAGTGGGACTAGCCTGGTTAAATTGGCTCAAATAAAAGTGACGTGCATTAAAGTGTATAAAAAGAAAGTTGTTAGCCATAGCTTTTCATTTGGATCGTCATAGCAACGACCCACTGGCTTTGTACCGTGTGGAGCCGGCCTCTAATTAGAGCTCATTACAGAGCAGAGCGCAGCTTGTTCTAAAAGTGTCTGTTGCTGGCTCCCACAGCCGAGGTTACTGCAGTTCACTAGTACTTTACACCCCTGTCCCATGTCCCATAATTTCTGCTTTTAACTCTACTTTACTGGTTTTCTCCATTTTAAACTGACTGAAACTTGCAAATAGTAATTATGTCTTAACTATATTTGGTATAATGTTTTAGCACTTGGTCTGCAGTGGTGCAGTGAGTTGAGTGACTGAGTAGTCAAACCTCACATCAGCACTGACCTTTACTGGGTTCCCCAGGCCCATTGCTCACTCATACATTTGAACAGGAAGGGCATCTGGTGTAAAACATACAACATAAATGTCACTCAAATACCTACAGACTAAACTTGTGTTTCAGGTGTTGCTTGTAAGATGACTACTTTCTGGTTGTGGCTCCTCTCCTTCCTGTCAGCATCATGTGTCCTTTCTTCTGAACCGCCTGGGGTCAAAATCCGAATCACTGACCGGGGCCTGGACATGTGTAAGTTGTTTTCATCATTATCACGCAGTATAATTACTACAACAGACTCCAGACAGTTCTGTTTAAGACCGATGGACATATACATGAACCCTAAAGACTTGGATCTTCACTCAGACTTGTGAGTTTCTGAGGGACAGACAGAGATTCGGGACTCAGGCTCTGAATTAGGACTTGTGCACCATGGACTCTCCCTGGACTGAACTGATCATACATGTCAAATAGGGTCTTTGAATAAAACACTTAAATACAAAACACAGACACAAGGGCAGGTGCACAGATAGACCGCGTCCACGGTGAGAAGGGTCAACTGAGATCCGACCTACTCGCCCTAAGTCCTGGGGGCATACAGGAGAGGAGGAGGTTGTAACTGTTCACCTTCTCAGTGGAGCACCCAATGCTCTGCTGCAGTCTGTGTCTGTCCCAGTGGTCTGGGACCACACTGTGATGGAGGAGGCGAGGATAGACTGTGAGTGATGCCTGAGTAGAACTGCACCATCATCTGGGTTGGCTTTCCTCAGTCGTTCTCCACAGGTGGGCTCCACTGGAGGTGACTGATGGTGGGCTCCGCTGGAGGTCCTGGATGATGGTGGTGCCGAGGAAGCAGAAATAGTCCAGGGTGGTGTCTAGAGGTGCAGCAGTTGGCGAAGAGCCAACTGCTGCACAGAACATGGGAACATGGCACAGCCCTGTGGAAGTCCGATGCTGATAGTCTCAGTGTCTGAGACATTCTTCCAGCTGCGCTAACTCCAGTCTGTCAGGTGGACTCAGGCAGAGCAGAGTAGAGCAGGGAGGATGGTGTTGAATACAGAGCTGAAGAAAACCACAAACAGGATCCTGGGGTAGCTTCCTGGGGAGTCCACATATTCATACAACAGAGACAGATGCTGGGGGCAAGGAGAGTTTCAAAATGACAGTATGCACCTACTGGAGCTGGGATAAAGCCACCAACCTTCAGATCAGTTTGACTCTACCCCTCTGTTAACAGGCTTATGTTGAATTATGTTGTGCCGAGGAGTAAAGCAGTTTAAATACATTTGTCTCTATACAAGTCTCTAACTAGTGTATGACTTAAATTATGAAGACTAGGGATGTCAAGAGTAATAGCAATTTAAGAAACTTTTTAATTCCTAATTTTGCTAGTTTTTAAAATTGAATGTTGAAACAGTGCAATACAACATTTAGGTGTACATTATAAGCAGGCTTAATATTTAATTAATGTAATTCTAAACTTATAAAATCATCACTTTCACGCCAAGCCATTTTGTTGTTGTTGTTGTTGTTGTTGTTTTTGTCAATAATTGTGTCTATTCATAATATTTTTCTCACAATAACCGTAACTCAAACATTTGATATGGTGACATCCCCAAGAGGATTCAGTAATTATTTGGAGTGGAGAAATGGTCACTACTCCTCACTGCAGGGTGATATGTTCTGTCCTGCATGTCCTCTAAGCGTCCTCTGTCCCCTGTCCCACAGTGAAGGCAGAGACACAGCGCTTCGTGGAGCAGGAGATCAGTGACATTGTGATGCCAGAGATGCTGGGGAAGGAGGGCCGCTTCCAGTACACCATCACAGAGTAGGGTCTGCTGCATCCTCCACACTCGTACTCATGGAAACTTGACTTGTTGCTGTAGCATTCTGCACTAATAACACTTTGGGGGTTATTTACCTATCAATCAGAATTGTGCTTCATTTGTTAGAATCATTCACTATGATCTTATGGCTCATTTCTACACTTTATCCTGTGAAACGCTTTAGGATCCTGTGCACTCTGCACATACATCATACTGTTGTCCCAAAAGCACTTTAATTCATGTCTCCCTGTAAACCACTGGAGCATAATGAAACATGTCATGAGACAATATGCCAAACAAACAGGACAGTTGTTACCAGCTGCCTGCAAGTGTGCTGGTGCAAAACTATATCAATGAAACCATGACTCTGTGGACTCACCCCTAGTGGCTTCTGACCCCTGGAGCACCTAACTGTTTATGCCTTTGTGTGTGTGTGTTTAGTATAAAGATCATAGCCCTGGACCTGACCAATGTGGACTTGAGCTTCATCCCCACAGTGGGACTCCTCTTCGACGTGCAGAACTCCTCCATCACCCTCAGCTTCCACCGTCGCATCCTCTACTGGTTTTTGTAAGTCCTCTACTATTTTTTTTAAGTCCTGCTTTAAACACAACAGTGTGTCCTATTTATTAGAACCGTAATCAGCTCCATACTGTTCAGTACTCAGCATAGGTCCTCACTAGGGTTGTGAAAAAGTATTGAAAAGAAGATACTAATTGATATGATAACTAGTATCAAAACTACATACTCATTTGAGCAGCTCAAAAAAGTCACATTCACAGGACAGAAGTGAACCTTTCCTTAATGTCTTTAGAATGATTTTGAGCTGTATCAGAACAAGTATAAGAGCACATAGACCAGTATACACACATGGACCACTGAGGATTACACACATATGAATCCACATGGGAATAGAAAAGAAAGTAGGCTGCTATCATTTAATGTTCATCACATTCTATTTGTAGCAACAATTGTATTCCTAACCGTTTGTTGTTTCTGGGTGTAGAGGATCCAGTCCTAATGCGCTTCAGAATCCAGGTTGTGGTACATTACATTATAGAGCAGAAAGGAGAAGAGTGGGTGGATAGGATAGGATTAAATAATATTAATGAGTTGAATAGTGAAAGCTAGACCACCGGCCTGAAAGAGAGCAGTAAAAACTGTGTGACCTCCTGTCAGCCATACACCCAATGCACTGGCACCTGTGCGTTCATATGGGGCTTGACTGCACCTTGCCCCCTTGTGGCCAAGCCAAATATAGGTCACCCTGTGCCCAGACATAAACAGTGACCCAAATTAACCCCAGCATAAACGAAAGAAGAATGACTCCTACACTATTGTCTAAGGTAGAGTTTATTTTGTTTTATATTGTCATAGTTGTTTTGGTATTGGTATTTTGAGTATTGAGTATCAAATCTATTCCTTAATATCAAAATTGAGTTTGAAATTTTAGTACTGTAACAACACTATTTCCAAGTTCTGTTGTGGTTTCAGTCTGGTATTTGTGTCTTGCTCAGCTATGACACAGGTCTGATCAACGCCTCAGCAGAAGGGGTCAACATCCACACAGCCCTGACCCTAATACGAGACCTGGACGGAAGGCTGAAGATCGGGAACATGAGCTGCGATGCCAAGATCAACCGCATGAGGGCAGAGTTTAGTGGGACACTCAGGTAACAGCGATTACAAGAGGGCACAGTTCAACAAGGCACCACATGAAGGTGCAATTTAGTGGGACACGGGTATCAGCTATCATTAGCTATCATAACCCAAACCCTGAAACAACTATTGGTACTAGTCCCCAGCAAACCAACAGCAATCCCACGATCATGTGTGTATGTGAAGTATGTGTATGTGCAGTGATGTATCTCAGCTTGTGTGTTGCAGTAAAGTGTACGACTTCCTAGCAAGTTTCCTGACTACCGGGATGCGCTTCCTCCTGAATCAGAAGGTCAGTCTGTCCTCATCCTACCCTTGTCCTGTCATTGCCCAGACTCTGTTCTCATCTTTTCCCTGTCCTTGTCCTATCTAACCAGGCTCATTTCAGATAGGTATGTGTGATACTCTGATTCCTACACATTTAACAATCTGGACTGGCCCCCAATGAAAGTGATCAGGAAAATGTGGAATGTCTTGACACCCTATCTTTAGCCTGTGCCTATTCTCACCCTTACCTGTCTCTGTCCTGTCGTCTATGTGTGAGCTATCCTCTGACCTCTTGTCCTTTGTCTCCTGCAGCTGTGTCCCGTGCTGGACCATGCTGCTTTGGTCCACGTAAACTCCATGTTGGACACTATCCCTGTGCGCACTGAAGTGGACGACTATATTGGCATAGACTACTCTCTGCTGAGAGACCCGCAGGTGTCCCAGCGCAGCCTGGACATGGACTTCAGAGTAATTACTTCACTCTGCACACTACCTAAGCACTTAATCTGCACGTTTGTATCTACGGATGGAAACTAACAATGACCTAAATCCAGTATATTTCAACTAGTAAATTGTAATCTGAATCTCATTTAAATAATAAACTAATCTTCACTATCCCATGACATGCCACACTAATCATATATCTTATGGTATGAGTACATAATTATTATTATATGATCATATAATCATTAAATGAAGCTTAAACTGAAGCTGTCCCTACCTCCTGCCTGTTACTCACCTCCTGAACCATTTCTGAAACCAAATGTGAAGGGTGTGAAGAATCCCTCAGTCGTTCAAGTAGAATCCATGTCGAGGAGAAAATTCAGTTTGTCAACTGGACAAAAGTTATTTTGGTTGAAGACGTTTTGCAGCTTGGATGAGCTGATGCCATTGAACCATGCAATCTGTGCTTTATAGACACCTGCAGCTAGAACCTGCGTATGTAAATCCACGTCACATTACGCCCTCTCCACACCTCCACCTTATCATAAAAGGAGCATTCAAAGTGACTCGTGAATGAGATTGCCCTAAACGCGCACGGTTTCAAATGTATAATATTGTAGAAAATAATGAGTGGAATAAACAGCCCTTCTCCGTGGTTTGGCTAACCTCGATTTAAATGCTCAAATCTGAAGATCATTATTTGATATGATATTTGATGTGGATTTTCTGATGATTTCCTGATCAAACTCTTTTTCCCCGTGTCTCCAGACTTTGCGTAGAAGTTACAGCAGGGTCCTAGCTGCCGTAGAGAAAAGCAAAGAATGGCACTTAGGACAAGTTTCATAAATCCCGCAGTTGGCGTAACAAGTGCCTATGCAATGATTTGTGCATAAGTTAGCTTTATAAATGAGGCCCATGGTCTATTATAAACCTCAGACAAGTATATTCTTTCAATGAAAGGATCTGTAACACCTCGCTGACTGTGATATGTGACATATGCTCACAATATGATAATGTAACAATTATGCAGTACATGCAGTAGTCAGTAGTCAGTCATTTTAAAAACCAAATGCATTTGAATGACAGTATTTCTTTGTTAAATCACCAGTGGCACAAACCTTTGATGAAATACGGCTAACAAATCAGTGAATATGAAATCATATATTAAAAAAAAAAAAAACTGCTCCAAAAAACGTAAGGTCCTACATATTATAATAATGAGACTTGTTGTGTACGTGTTTTCAGGGCATGTTCTTCAGCCTGGCCAATGAGAATGAGCATCTGCCCAACCTGGCAGTGGAGCCGGTGATCCAGGAGTATGGCCGCATGGTGTACTTGGCCTTGTCTGAGTACTTCTTTGACAGTGGCATGTTTGCATACTACAAGGCCGGCATATTCACTATGGACATCGCTAATGAGAGGGTGAGCTGTGAGGACGTCATTTACATTGTACAACACATACTAGTACAATTTGACTTGGAATTGGAGTACATTAAATGGCCTGTATGACGTTATTCTTTTTATCTATGTTCTAATGTTGTTGCAATGTTGTGTTTTATTTCATTCACACTTGTTAAACACAAGCCCCGCCTAATGCTGTCATGTGATAATACAGGACCTTCTCCATTGTGTTTTAAAAGTCCATACACCTGGATGATTTCAGCCCTAGAATTTCCCATCTACTGAAATATAAGTAAAAGGCAGAGGCAGAGCTACCATTAGGCAAAAGTAGGCGGCCACTTAGGTCCCCTGAACCTGGAGGGACCTCCATCCAATTGCCCTCAGTACCACTAATGGCCAAGGCAATTTGATTTTCTCTCGATATGACATTAAATGAGAGTGGTTTACTTTTAAACAAGAAAACATCACCAAAATAGTATCTGATTTTCAAGTCTATTTTAACTGTCAAAGTCCATTTGACCCTGATTTGAACATAATCAGAGCATAATCATAATCATATGTAATGGATGTAAACACAAATGTAACTCCACCACTGGTAAAAGGAGCTGTTAACTTGAAAACTACCACTACATGACATCACAAGGTGGAACAAAGCATTTTCAGCTTTGGAGATATAGACTAGTATTAATTAAGGGTTATTCAAAGGTGTGAATAAAAAACAAAACACAACTCCAGGTCTGTTTTGGGTCAGCTGAGGGATGCAGAGATGGGTTCAGTTCATGTACAAGATATACATACATAAATAAACGCTCACAAGAGTCAGTTTGTTATTATGTAGAATCTTCTGAACATGGTTTAACATGAGCTTATTTGCCCACTGACCCTCTGGCCTGGCAATGTTGCAGATGCCCAGGGATCTGGAGGTGCTGTTGAGGACCACATACTTAGGAGTTATTGTCATGATGGTACGTATAACATGCTCCACCACCTGCCCCACACTCACCCCTCCACCCACCCTACCCTCACCTCTTCTCTTGTGCTGTCTTCCAGAATGCTGCTCTGGTGGACTCGCCCATTGCTCTGTACCTGACAGTCACGTCTCCACCCAAGACATCCATCAAGACATCAGGGGCCACCGTGTCTGTAACAGCTAATGTCCGTGTGATGCTGCTGCCCGCAGGGAGAGAGCCCATCCAGCTCAGCAGCATGACCATGGTACAGCTTGTCCTTCTCTACTTCACTTCTGACTCCAGTTAAATCCATTTCAGAATCTAGAATGTTTTTTTTTTTTACAAACCGTCCCACTGATCACGAGCCTTTTTATTTTTGTTCTTCTATGTGGTTTCAACACATTGCTAACACATAATATATCGAGATTACCATGTTACATTTTATTGAAAATGCTATACTCGCTGAAAACAACATATTAATTAACATGTTTATAAGTCTCCCCTCTCTTTGCTCCCCATGTTAAGTCACTCCCTCTTCAGAGCACTATCACAACACAATCAGCGTGCACTCCATTAATGAAACTACTGCACATTACATCAGGTTTGTCAAGTTGTTGTGTACAGTTTTGTGTCATGCTTCTGTATATTTATGGAGAACTCGAGTGGGAGCATGGGTGATGTTAGCCGGATTCATCAACCGGTTTCACTTCGTGGGAAACTGTCTGACCTCATAGCATTAGGATTCGTTCACTCGACAGTAGGCGGGTACTTTTTTATTTAACCAGTCTCTGCTATTTGGTCGTGATGTATGCAATGCACCAAATCCCGTAGGAAGAAGGGCAATAACGCCTTTCCCCTTGATAAAATTCACCAAACATTCTTTTTGTTCCAGTTTTAAATCCTCGATCTTGGAAATTGTTGCCAACACAGAATGTCTGGCTTTGTCTACATCCATCTCGACTGCTTTGTTTACTGTTGTGTTGTACCACAAACGAGACTCAGACAGGTACTTGAGTTTGAAGTCATGGCTTCACAGCTCACAGCTGATTGGCCTGTGTGCGGTCAACAACCTCCGGGGTTCTTGCAAATTGTCTAGTGTATTCCAATTCCTGACCTAGTCGCTGGAGAGGAATTAAATTGAGTGGAGACACTAGCTAGGGTGATGTAGGCTTGTGGACTAAAATTCTCAAACATGCAAGGACGATATCTAAAACCTCTTCAGGTGTGTTTTTTGATGAGCAAACAACATTATAACATGGTAGGTGCTTAATACCCCCACTTTAAAGTGGAACTAAATGCCAAATCTACTTTAAAAAGAGTTTTAATAACTGTTCCTTGTAATTTTTTTTGCAACTTTAATACAAACAAGGTCAATTTCAGATTTCTGATCAAAAACTCCTAATCTAAGCGTGTGCTGCCTCCAGTGGCCTCTGCAAGTTCAAGTTGCTGGTGACGTCATAAAAGACTGTCGTTATTACAAGAGAGAAGTCAAGCTGCTGTGTTTGTATAGCTCCAGCACACTCAGATGCTCCTGTATGTTACATATGTAGCTGTTGTATGTGATCTTTTTTTTAAATCTTTTTCAGGAGAACAAATTTAATGCTAAAGTGTCAATGAAAGGCAAGAGACTGGCCGTGCATGCTGACCTGCGGAGGTGATGTCAAACTGTCCCTCTGTCCCTCTGTGTCTGTCACAGTTCCTCTGTCTCAGTCTCTGACCCTGCAAATGCTTTGTTCTCAGGTTTAAGATCTTCTCCAATCAGTCAGCTCTGGAGTCTCTGGCGGTAAGACTTATAATGTTTCTTGGCTCACTCATGTCCTCTTGTCCTCTCATGTCTCACATTTGTGATGCTCTCCTCCTCAGCTTATCCCACTGCAGGCTCCTCTGAAGACCATGCTGCAGATGAGTATAGTCCCCCTCATCAACAGTAAGACGGCTCTCTCTAGTGGACACTTTTCTGTTAGCGCCACCCTCTGACAGTTGAAATGTTCCTGGTTCTGATCCTTGCTGACCTGTTGCAGACTGGACCAAGCGTGGTGTGAGGATTCCTCTGGCAGATGGCATGGACTTCATCGAGGAGGTGGTGGAGTATCATAATGTGAGTACTATATGTCTCCACAGAATATCTGCTCTTGGGGAGGTCTGACCACGCTGTGTCTCACAGGGCTACATTGTGATCGGAGCAAACCTGCACTTCAGCAAAGGCCTGAGGGAGATGATCCAGGGGAACACCACCAGAGCCTCAGACCTCTGAATGCACCATAACCCCTTATTCACCCCCTTATTCACTACATTGTAGTAGGCTGGGAGAATAGAATCTGTTTCTCTAACATGAATACGTCATTTTGTGCAAATGTTTTCTTTCTGAGATGAAATGTCAAACCTCACCCACAGGGTGCCAAAAGGGTGGGGGCCGGTTCTAGTGTGTGCTCCAAGAGTTGAGTCTGACTCAACTACAGTCTACAGGACTGAGGCCCAGACAGAATGACCAGCCCATCCTGGTGCTAAGCACCAACACAGACTTCCCCAGGCCATTAAAGGATTCTGATTTCAAAGGGTCACTGTGTAAGTGTGAGCGAATGTCTGCTTTTGGACACTTTGTATTTTTCTATTCATTCTGTTATATAGGCTACAAAGGTAGACCCCTGATAAACTCATAGAGCGATAAAAAGCATTGTGTCATTTTTAGGTTTAAGATTGAGATTGTGTTACTTGTCATATTTTGTATGTGCTCATTTTTATATAAAGCACTTTATAGTTTTGTGTGTTTACTTTATAAATAAAATGGATTGTTGCTCAGAAACCCATATAGGCTCTCATATAAACGCATATGCCTGCATTTTCAACCATGTTTGTGCATGTTAAATAATTCAAATTATTGTGTATGTTAAATGATACTAGTCTATTGCAGAAAACTGAATATCATGAAAAGTTCAATAGCTTTTACTCACTTCAGAAAGTCAAACCCAAATATTATCTTGACTCATGACACTTTGGGGCTGATCTTGCCCCCAATCTTAACTACTGCAAGCGTTAAGGAGGGGGCGTGTCCAGGTCCTGTACTTCGCTGCTGGAGGTTAGAGTGGGACGGTACAAGTACATATATGGTGACGGCATCTGAACCAATCTGTGACCGCTTTGGCATTTAAAAGCACTGTCTGTGTGGGTATATCTGTGTGGGTATGTCTGTGTGGCATGAGCGAGTGGGTCTACCTTGAGGTCTTGTGGTAACTACTGATTAAACCAATAATTAACAATTACATTAACAATTACTCACATAACTAGAGGAAAAAAACAACAACGCCACCTGGGGGAACCAGCTAATATAAAAGGCACACAGGTTCGTTGTTGATGAACAGAGGCATAATTCTTTGTATAGGCGTAAACATTGAGTTTCTGCATGGGAATGTCAGCACAGACTCCTTGTACAAGTATGATTTTCTAATATTGGAATAAATAAATTATCTGGACTTTATTTCTGGTTCAAGTGTAATTTTTATCTAAGCAGAAACTAACGAACACGAGAGGAAAAGATTGTTTTCCTCAACAGAAGTCCCATCCACAGAGGGGCCAAGTAAAGAGAGAGACCACTGAGACCAGTTTAATTATTTTATCTGCCTCCCTCAGGTTTACTTCTTCCTTGAGTTTTTTTTTTTTTTTTGGGGGGGGGGGGGGGGACTGTTGAGGAAAACAATCTTTTCCTCTCATGTTCGTTAGTTTCTGCTTAGATAAAAAATTACACTTGAGACAGAAATAAAGTCCAGATAATTTACTTATTCCAATATTAGAAAGTCATACATGTACAAGGAGTCTGTGCTCACATTCCCATGCAGAGACTCAATGTTTTACACCTATACAATGACTTTTATACACAAACTATAGCAGGAGGCTACCGTGGTTTAGACTTAGCGCCTCTTCGTTGGTGCACAGACCAGCCAGGCCTCTTGGTACGCTGCACAGTCCAATCAGACTCCATCTGGGGTGTTATCTATCTACCAAGTCCTGACATAATTCCTATCAGTAGTTCTTGTTCTATTTAGTTAATTGATTAGACATATAGATAGATATAGAATATCTTGTACATGAACTGAACCCATCTCTGCATCCCTCAGCTGTAATCTAGTCCCTATTTTCTGTGTCATTGTATTAGATGTATGTATTATCTGCCTCAATTTAAGTTTACATGTATGTTGAGAGAAATGAGAAGCGGCCCTTGAGTGACAGCCTAGCCCCGCCCCCTCAGACTCCGCCCCCACCCATCAGCTGACTGCACACCGGAAGTGTGCTCATGTGTCATGGCGGACTGGAGCAGTTGCCGCTGAGTGTTTGTGTTTTTCCCGTGTTTTACTTGTATTTGTCGTATGCTGTAGCGTCCCCGCGGGAGCCCAGCGCGCTCGGCCATGGCGCAGTGCGTACAGTCAGTGCAGGAGCTGGTCCAGGACTCTTTCACACCGATGGTCGCGGTGCTGTGCAGCGCAGAGGCGGAGCGGGTGAGCCGCAGGAACAGGCTCAGTTTCGCCGAGCTGCTGCGGCCCTTCTGCAGGCTCACGTCCGAAGGTACGACCTATTTAGACAGGCTATAGTGCGACCTTATGGACTACATCTACAACCAGAGCTAAGACATACTACTGTAAACAGCCTATAGGTTTATCCTGAATCTTAACCGTGCATAGGCTAACTGTAATAAGCTTTACAGAGGCTTTATGACACAGTAAGACTCAGCAACTCATGTACTCATGTTTAGTTTTTCTTTATTTTGATCCACGAAGAAATGTCTTTATGAAAATCGGAGGTACTTTATAATTTCTGTTGTGTTTGAGACAAAGGCCTATTACACTGTCTTCTGTAGAGTTTACCTCAGATTACAGGGACAGATCAAATGTGTAGATTTTGTGGTGTGGTTGAGTAAACAGTAGTTTGATTGACCTTTATGCTGCTCCTGTCCTTCTTGCCCTCCTGACCCTCCTCATCCTGTCCCCCTTCTCTCCCTGTTCCTCCTCTTTCTCCTGTTCTCTTCCTATCTTTCTCCTGTCCTTCTCTCCTTCTCGTGCTGCTGTCCTCCTCCTGTCCCTGTCCTCTTGTGTCTGTCCTCCTCCTGTCCCTGTCCTCTTGTGTCTGTCCTCCTCCTGTCCCTGTCCTCTTGTGCCTGTCCTCCTGTCCTTGTCCTCCTCCTGTCCCTGCCCTCTTGTCCCTGCCCTCTTGTCCCTGCCCTCTTGTCCCTGCCCTCTTGTCCCTGTCCTCCTGCCCTTGTCGTCCTCCTGTCCTTGTTCTCCTCCTGTCCCTGTCGTCCTCCTGTCCTTCTCCTCCTCCTGTCCCTGTCCTCCTCATTTCCCTGTTGTCCTCCTGTCCCAGGTCACATCCGGGACCCGAACAACGCTGTGCTGCAAGTGAAAGGACTGCGCATCAGTGTGACCAGCCTGAGCCCCAGCCTCAAAGCTCCCTCCTCCTCCCTGACCCCCGCCCAGCGCTCCACCCTACACCACATCGTCCTGTCCTCGCAGCCTCCAGAGGGCGCTCTCAGCAGCATCACCGCAGGGGACTACCAGCTCAGCTTCACAGGTGCACAGTTCTCTACACACTGGGTGGGGCTGCTTGTCTAGACCGGTGTTTGAGATCAGAGTTGTGTTCCACTAGGCAATATTTTGAGTTATTATTATAGCAGTAGTAATAGATTGTTGTAATAGATTTTGTTTTTGTCACACCAATGATTGCGTGCTCCGGCCCTCCGCCACTTGTCTGGATTAGAATATGACCCCAGGTCTAGGGGATATGATTGTGGTAGGTTTACAGAATACTGATGTGTAGTTTGTGTGTAGGCACTACTCCCTGGTTTGAGGCCTACAGAGAGGCCTTCCTGCAGACCATGCCCTCCTCGGACCATGAGTTCCTCAACCACTACCTGGCCTGTATCCTTTGTGCTCTAGGGCAAAATTATTGCCCACTTCCTGTTTGCTCCTTCTAAGCACTCACAAACACGTAATAATGCATCAGTTTTATATAGCGCTTTTTTAGACACTCAAGAACACAGAGCATTATTCATTCACTCCATACCTGGTGGTGGTAAGCTGCTACTGTAGCCACAGCTGCTTTGGGGCAGACTGACGGAAGTGAGGCTGCCAATCTGCGCAATTCGACCACCACCATCACTCACACACACCACTTTCATACTAGGCAATGTGGGTGAAGTGCCTTGCCTAAGGACACAACGACAGTTGACAACTGGCACCCCACCGTGGCACCTGATTTTCCCAGCGGTCTCCCATCCAAGTACTAACCAGGCCAAGCCTTGTTTAGCTTCTGAGATCTGCTGGGATCAGGCTTTGACAAGCTGGTATGGCCACATGTGATGACTGAATTTCCCAGATCTGTAATGTCATAAGTAAAGGATAAATAAGGAAAGCTCCATAACTCATAGGCTCCTTGCATTAGTAATGGCATGCTTGGGGGCAAGATAGGTTTTATTTTTCTCTCCATGGTTATGCTGACAGGAGTGTTAATGCCATTCCTGATGAGGGAACACCTGACCGGTGTAAAGTAATGTATGCAATCTATGTCTATTGTCCACTGAAGAATTTTTTCAATTAAAAGACATGTCCTGTGGATCTAAAAGTCAACTAAAAAGGTTGTTTGGCAAAAGCTCTCCAAACTAACTTCACTCACAAGATTACACTTTCATGGGAGGTCATGCACCTTTAAGACTTTTAATACCAGAACATACCAACTCTTCAACTAACTTACTCAACTTCGCTCTTGTGCTGTAGGCCCATATAAATTTGTTATAATGTAAATAAAATGATAAGCCAGATAATACATCATCAACTGATTCATTGAGTAAACGACAGAAGGTCTACAGCCCTAATGATATAACCCACAAGAGAATACTTCACTCTGAATACTCCACACTATGGGCCCCATGCTCCTGTGTGTCTTCCTGTGTGTTCTCTTTTGTGTCCTTTTGTGTGTCCTCCTATGTGTCCTCCTGTGTGTCTTCCTGTGCGTCCTCCTGTGCGTCCTCCTGTGCGTCCTCCTGTGCGTCCTCCTGTGTGTCTTCCTGTGTGTTCTCTTTTGTGTCCTTTTGTGCGTCTTCCTGTGTGTCCTCCTGTATGTCTCCCTGTGTGTTCTCTTGTGCATACTCTTGTGTGTTCTCCTGTGTGTTCTCCTGTGTGTTCTCTTTTGTGGCCTTTTGTGCGTCTTCCTGTGTGTCCTCCTGTATGTCCTCCTATGTGTCCTTCTGTGTGTCCTTTTGCATGGCTTCCTGTGTATCCTCCTTGACCTGTGACTGCAGGCCTGCTGGTAGTGTCCTCTTCAGAGGCTGTCCCCTTTGAGCAGTTCCTCAAGCTGTCCCAGGAGCAGCACCAGGTCCAGCATAGTGGAGAGTACAGCGCCCCTAAGTGGTTCATCCCCAACACACTCAAGTACTATGTCCTCCTGCATGACGTTAGCCAGGGTGACGACCACAGGTAGGTTATGAAGCTACATTAGAGAGTTTATAACTATGACTGAATGGAGGCCAGATCTGGTTTAATTATCTGATAATCAGGAAGTGCGCATTAGCATGCTAGTTCACGTTAGCTTTATCATTATTGCAAAACTCTACACCAGTCCCTGAGAGTGAAAAGCATGAGAAATACCTTTGGACAATACCAAAATGTTTAAACTGAAATAATTCTGTTTTTCAGGTTTTTAAAACAAAAAAACAGGTACAGCTTTTAAGGTGCTTTAATTCTCTAGGAATTCGTGTGACTGGGCCCGAGGCAGGTCTGGCAGGAAAAGGTGAAAGTGCCCCTCCCTGCACATGTGTAAGGATGTCAGGAGTGTTCTGTGTTGCAGAGCGGAGACTGTCTATGAGGACATGAAGCAGAGGTATGGGACTCAGGGCTGCTATCTGCTAAAAATCAACTCGCGCACCGAGGGGGCATCAGAGGAGGAGCAGATTCCAGACCCCTGGAGCCAGTACCTGCACAAGAGCTACCTGCACTCTGTGGTGAGACCCACTCACCTTCATCTGCCCTTCATGCAAATGTGTGACCCATCCTCTGCCCATCGTACAACTAAGAACATACTGTCTGTGTCCCTGTGTGACTGTGCAGGACGGGGACTCCACATCAGGCAGTGTGACAGCTGAGGCTCCAGAGCAGGCAGACACAGGTCAAACCCCTGCACACACACACATACTCCCCGTACATGCACACACATACTCCCCCTACACACCCCCACACACACACTCACACACACTCACACTCCACCTACACGCACACACGTACTCCTCTTACATGCATACTCGCTCACTCGCTCACTCGTTCAAATGCTGTGGTTTGTTTTGTAGGGGAAGTATCTCACAACCATAGTCAGGCTCTGGACACAGGAGCCCTCCCACCCCTGAGTGCCTGTGACACTGGCAGGAGAGCATCAGACAGCACGAGTGGGGCCCCCGGGGGCCACGGCACCTGTCTCACACTCAATGACCACGACCGCATCAGACAGTTTATCCAGGAGTTCACCTTTAGAGGCCTGCTGCCACACATTGAGAAGAACATCCGCCAGCTCAACGACCAGGTTGGTCCGTCAGCTGTGTACCTCACACACTTCAGTTGAGACACAAGAGCATGTAAAGCCAGTGATGATGATGGTCAGAGTGTTCTGTTGTAAATGGGAGCATTCAGGTGCAGTACAATGTCACACACATACACAAACTCCACAAATAAATATTAATGGTTTGCAACATATTTGGATATTTATGTGTCTGTAAATTGGATTCAGTGGCTCTGTTCTAGAGAGTCTAAACTTTCTATTGGCCATATCGGAGTCCAATATATTAGTTGGGCCCTACTGTACACATGTGCTAAGAGCCTTCCTGTGCCCACAGCTTGTCTCCAGGAAAGGCCTGAGCCGCTCCCTCTTCACGGCCACTAAGAAGTGGTTTGGTGGAGGCAAAGCCCCAGAGAAGAGTGTGGCTGAGCCCAAGAGCACCAGTGGGCTTCTGTAAGTACTGATCCTACATATGTGATGAACATGCCCACAAGGTGCTCTTTCTCCACATAATTTTGATTCAGCTGAAAACCTGACTATAATGAAGTGCGTTTTCCCAATGGAGGTACCCCCCAGAGGCCCCTGAGCTGCAGATCCGTAAGATGGCCGACCTGTGCTTCCTAGTGCAACACTACGAGCTGGCCTACAGCTGCTACCACACAGCCAAGAAGGACTTCCTGTCAGACCAGGCCATGCTGTATGCTGCAGGGGCGCTGGTGAGCTCAGTCTCTCTTACCTACATCTGTTTCTCTGCCCACCTAACTGTCATCTATGTGTCCCTGTTGACCTGTCCTGTCTCTGTGTGTACAGGAGATGGCGGCGGTGTCGGCCTTCCTCCAGCCTGGTGCTCCCAGACCATACCCAGCACACTACATGGACACAGCCATCCAGACGTACAAAGACACGTGCAGGTGTGTGTGTGGGGTGGCAGGTGTGTGCATGGAGTCAGGCGTGTGTGACAGGTGTTTGTGTGGGGTGTGGGTGTGTGTGTGTATGGTGGCAGGTGTGTGTATAGAGGCAGGTGTATGTGGCTGCAGTTGTGTGTGAGGGAGGGACCTCCAGGGACCTCCAGGGACCTCCAGGGACACACTCCCGCCTCTCTACCCACTCACTTATTGAACACTTGTTCAATAAGAAAAAGTGTGTGTGTGCAGGAACATGGTGTTGGCCGAGCGCTGCACGTTGCTCAGTGTGGAGATCCTGAAGAGCCAGGGCAAATATGCTGAGGCTGCCACACTGCTCATCAAGATGACCAGTGAGGTATGCAGGTTTTCTGTTTTTCACTGGACAATAAAAGATATTTATCATCTTCAAATTATCAGTCCTAGAGTAATGTTTGTAAAAAAGAAAAAGTTTCCAAGACTGGACCTAATAGTTGAGATTGAGCTGCTGGCTGTGTGTTCCAGGACTCTGACCTGCGCAGTGCTCTGCTGCTGGAGCAGGCGGCTCACTGCTTCATCAACATGAGGACCCCCATGGTGCGCAAGTTTGCCTTCCACATGATCTTGGCTGGGCACCGCTTCAGTAAGGCTGGACAGGTGAGCTCACCTCTTGCTCATGGACAGGAGGCACTGCGTGGATCAAATGTTATCACCTAATTTCAGATACTGCACAGAGCAGGACTTTATAATTATGCTCTGAATAATTAATAGCTTTTAAATAAACTGGATGCATTTTGGGAAATACATGTTAGCGGGGGTCTGGAGCAGTACATTTAGATATGCAAGTCTACAAATGGACCACCCCTAGTTATAAAAATGCTGTTATATGAATGTTGCTTTGACTCATTTTAAGCTACTCGCCGTATCCCCTCTGTGTGTGACTGTTCAGAGGAGGCACGCCTTGCGCTGCTACTGCCACGCCATGCAGGTGTATCAGGGCCGTGGCTGGTCTCTGGCAGAGGACCACATTAACTTCACCATCGGGCGCCAGTCCTTCACACTGCAGCGGCCAGACAGAGCTGTGGAGGCCTTCAAGGTCATCCTGGAGAAAGAGAGCCAGCAGACAGCCACACAGCAGGGGGCCTTCCTCCGAGAGTACCTTTATGTCTTCAAGGTGAGCTCCTACAGGATACACCTGGGCCCAGCAGCACTGAATGAACAACTGTTACAGATATGACACATGTGTATACTGTTACAGATATGACATATGTGTATACTGTTACGGATATGACACATGTGTATACTGTTATGGATATGACACATGTGTATACTGTTACGGATATGACACATGTGTATATTGTTACAGATATGACACGTGTATACTGTTACAGTATACACTTAGTGTTGGGAATCTATGGGTGTCTCATGATTCAGTTTGATTACAATTCTGAGGCTCATGATGCAGGATTACCTTTGCACCTTTATGTTTTACTGCATTTTACTGTTCAGATCAAATGAGGACTTGTAAAAAAGTTTACACTACAAGCTAATGAAGTGCTGCATTTTGCTCAAGTTTTCCTGAAACCTCAAACATGAATGAAATAAAACAGGGAGATATTCCTGTGGGTCACTGTGTGACAGTGGACTGCTCTGAGGACAGGACAGTAACAGCACAGTACTGTTCAGTGCTTCACTGCTGTTCTGAGAGAGAAGAGGGAGGAGGCAGGACTCAAGGTGAGAGACACAGGAAAAATAAACAGGCAGGGCAGCAGCTTCAATTTAAATTCTGATTATCATTATTAGAATCCAAGATGCATCTAATAAATGATTATTTTTCCCAGCCTTATTTTTGCTCCCTGTGACCCCAGCCCTTTGGGACAACGAATGAAAATTGGCCTTAGGCTACAATCCGGTGTGTTTAGACTGATGTTGTCATGTTCATTAACATGTTCTGTCCCAGTCAAATACATAAATAAATTACACCTGTATACTCTTATAGATATGACACATGTATTCTGTTACAGATATGACACGTGTTTTGTGTTATGGATTTGACACTTGTATAGTTTTAGCAGAAATGTGTGCTCTCTTGTGTAGCTCAGTGGTGTCTGTGTTCAGCAGAGTGGTGTGGGGGGCACAGAGACCTGCTCTGACCTGCCTCTGCCTTGCATCCAGAGCTCTGCCACCAGAGTGTACTTCGGCCCCGAGCGCCGTCCTGCAGAAGGTAAGGTCCACCTGTGTTCATGATAGCGTCTGTGTTAGTACACTCATGCTTATCTGGGCTTTTACTCTAAATGAGAGTCCTCCTGCTGCTACCCAGCAAACAGGATGCCTTAAACACGTGATTATACCACTATGAGCTGCGCGCGTGTGCATGTGTGTGCAGGAGAGAAACAAGCAGCCACACACGTGTCTCTGGATCAGGAGTATGACCAGGACAACGCTGCCATGTGGTGTCAGCTGGAACTGCAGCTGGTGTCTGCAGCTCACCGTGGGATCGCTCCTGTAGCGTTTCAACCCACACAGTACTGCCTACACAGCCAGACAGACAATCTGCGACGCCCCCTGGCTGTGCTTCAAGGTCAGTACACACACAGCACATATCATTACCTCATAACCATATGACCTCAGCCCTCAGATTACATGTGTGCAGAGCCCATCATCGTGGAGGTGCTCCTGAGGAACCCCCTGAAGGTGGCGTTGTCTCTGTCTGAGCTCACACTGCTCTGGAGGTTCACCGCAGATGGAGCCTCCACAGAGCTGTCCAACGAGGACACTTCTGCAGTTCTGGTATGCACCACCCTGGAGGTCACTAAACTCTCATTATAATGGAAGTGTGATGCAAGAGTGAAAAATTGCAATGTTTAATTAAACACCACTTAGTTTATGTATTTAGAAATTATGCTGCTGAAAACTGAACACATCAGATCAGATGTGAAAAGATATGTTGGTTATCTATGTAAATATATGTCTTAGGAATACATTGATACCACCTCTGGAAATAACATTTTCAGCCACAGATGGCTTAATTTTATAGACACCCTGAAAATCTAAGTGAAATAATGATGTGGTAGCCTAGTCCATTTTGCCAAAATTTTATTTTTGCAACTCAAAATGCTTCTCAGTATGTTGTGTGGTCCCCACGTTCTTGTTTACATGTTTGACGACATTGTGATTCCTAATGAGACGACGGATAGTGTCTCGTGGGGTGTTGTCCCAAATCTGTGTAACGGCATCAGTGAGCTCCTGTAGAGTCTGAGGATCAACCTGGCGGCATCTGATGGACCCAAACATAATGTCCCAGACGTGTTCTGTTAGGTCTAAGTCAGGTGATCATGAGGGCCATTCAGTTGTATCAATTCCTTCATCCTCCAGGTTGTGCCTGCAGACTCTTGCCACATGAAGCTGGGTATTGTTGTGCATCAGGAGGAACCCAAGGCCTACTACACCAGTGACAATGGGTTCAAGGATTTTATTTCAGTATCTCATGGCAGTCAGGCTATCCCTAACCCACTACCAGAGCACTTATGCTGAACCATGTTACGGGCAGCAGAGTGTTCTCCTTGTCTTCTCCAGATAACACACAGGCGCTCAGGGTGAATCTGTTCTCATCTGTGAAAAGCACAGAGCACCAGTGGTGGACTTGTCGATTCTGGTGTCATCTAGCAAATGCCAATGGAGCTCCATGGTGCGGCACGTTGAGCACAGGGCCCCCTACAGGACGTGGCACCCTCAAGCCACCCTCTTGAAGTCTGTTTCTGATTGTTTGGGCAGAGACATTCACACCAGCTCTTCTAAAGTCTTCATCTCCTCCATGTTCTGGAAATTGTACTGGGAGACACATTCAATCTCTTTGCAATGACATGTCCAGATGAAGTTGGACAATTTGTGCAATTTCTGTAGGGTTAAGTAGTCACCTCATACTGCCAATAGTGACGATCACTCTAGCCAAAGCAGCAAAAGTGGCAAACCAGCCAAAAAGACCAAGAAGGAGAAACTTGAGATGACCTCCACATGCAAAACCAGGGGTTGTCTCATTGGTGCCACTCTAGGGCATCTGATGTTCATTTCCATTAAACGAGGTATTATCTTTTTGTTCCTAAAACATTGCTCTGTTCATATTTGTTTAGATATCCAACTGATTTTTTTCACATCTGGTGTGTTTTCAAAGTGTTTAATTTTTTTGAGCAATGTATTTTCTGATGCGTAGAGGTTCTTTGGGTTCACACTGTTGCCTCATTAATATGCATGAGATGTTTATAACCAGAAGGATCAGTATCCTTTTTATCCCAGCCCTCCTCATCTTAACATTGTGCTGATCCCTGATAGACAGAGGAGGTGATGACCAATGAGGTGATCGCAGACTTTCCCCTGGCCCCAGAGGAGACCAAAGTGGTGAGTGAGACGGTGGCGAATGTGTAAACAGTGTTTGTGTGGAGGTGGTCTTGACACTTCCCACACACTGCTGATGTTGTGCTTGTGTGTGTCAGGCTCGTCTGAAGCTGGTTCCTCGGAGGACAGGCCAGCTCAGTGTGACGGGGTTGGGCTACAGCCTGTCTGCTACAGGGGATACTGCAGAAGGTACTGTAGGTGTTTCCACTGTCTGTGAAAAGCCTAGAGCTCTGAGTGCTAAGAAGAGCAGCTAACAAACATGTGCATCGAAATACAATCAATCAATCAACAACTTTATTAATCCCAAAGGGCAATTCAGTTCACACATCAATACATTTGAATAGTCATGTTAGTTTCAACATGCTTTAATTGTTCATTCTGACACTGCAGTAGTAATATCAGAATGCGGTAGCAGTTTCAGATTAAGTACAAGTTGGTCTAGAAGAGGTGGAGGTGACAGAGCTCATGTCTAGTATTGTCCTGTCTGGTTCAGCGTCCTGTTCTAATAGGAGTGGGGCTTAAGTTCAGTGTTATTGACGTGCTCCTAACTCTGCCAGTGGTGTTGTCTATGCAGCGGACATGCTGGTGGTACGGGGCAGGCAGGAGCTGAAGATCCAGGGCCCACGTCTGAATCAGACCAAAGAGGACAAGATGTCTGTGCGGCACGGACGAGACCAGAGGCTCCACCCCATCATCACGGCGCCCATGCCTTTACTGGAGGTGAGTGTGGTGTTCCCCTGTGCTCCTGTACTCCTGTAGGAGGCTTTATGAGGCTCATGAAGCTCACTGTACATGTTCTGTCCTTCAGGTGTTCTTCCTGCAGTTTCCATCAGCACTGCTTTGTGGAGAGATCCGGAAGGCCTACATTGAGTTCTGTAATATGAGCTCTGTGGGACTGTGTGGCCTCAGGGTGGTGTCCACTCATCCCACCTTCTTCACCTTTGGCTCTGCCACTAGCAGCCCACTGACCCCTCTGACCCCTGGCTCTGCTGAGAACTGCTCTGCCTACAAGACTGTGACGGGGGTACCCCAGCACTCACATGTGCTGGTGTCAGCTCAGGACTTCCTCCAGCCCTCCTCTGTCATCTCCATCCCCATTGAGGGAGGCGTGCTCAGGCCAGGGGAGTCCATGCAGCTGCCCCTGTGGTTGCGGGGCCCAGATAAAGAGGGAGTGCATGAAATCAACTTCCTATTCTACTATGAAAGCACAGAGAAGGGAGGCAAGATCAGGTAAGACCAGTACACTGTAGCAGTGTTTTTCTGTGTGCATTGTTACATCATTGTATAGTTCTAGTTTAAGAGCTCATCTCAGCTGTTGACACTGTTGTCCTCAGCCACAGGGTGCTGCGCCACACTGTCTTCATCTGCTCCAGTCGCTCCCTCAGTGTGACTGCCTCTGCCTGCCATACCCCCGGCCCCGCCCTGTCCACCCCTCACCAGCCTGACCCTCATCAGTCTAACCCGGTCCAGCCCAGTGGAACTCTTGTATTTGTGGATGTAGAAAACGTCAACCTGGTAAGCTCTGGTGTGTGCGTAAGTGTGCGGCTCACTTTGTGCTGTGTCTGACATTGTGTGTGTTGCAGAGTGAAGCTGGGGTCAGGGAGTTCCACATCGTCCAGGTGTCGAGTTGTGGTCAGCGCTGGTGCCTGCAGACTTGCATTAACCCCTCCCACAACAAAGGTCTGCTCCGTCCATACTGTCCATATGTATAATAGTCATTTCAGAATGTCAAACACATACATTATATAGACTCATGACACATAAAGTGAAAACTATTCAAGAATAGTTTATTTCTTGAATTTTTATGATTATGACTTACAAATAATGAAAACCAAAATTCAGTATTGTCATGGTGTCACACTTTAATCAGCTAATTAAGTAAAAACACCTGCAAAGGTTTCCTGAGACTTTAAATGGTCTGTCAGTCTGGGTCCGTGGGCTACGCAATCATGGGGAAGGCTGCTGACTGGACAGAAGACAGTCACTGACACCCTCTAGTTGGAGAAAGCCACAAGAGGTCACTGAGATATCCAAACATCCAAACATGTTCATAAAAACTTGAATAGAAGAAAAATCTGTGGTAGGAAATGGTGCACCAGCCAAAGGCATGACTGCAGCCTTGAGGGGATTGTCAAGCAAAATCCACTCAAGAATTTTTGGGAATTTCATAAGGAGTGGACTGAGGCTGGAGTCAGTGCAGCAAGAGCCCATGGGACATGAGACCATGTCAGAAGAGTCTGGGCTTTGGAGAAAACTGCTGCTGAACTGTTGCTCAGTGGTCCAAAGTCTCTTTTCAGCTGAACATACATTTTGCAAATCTTTTGGAAATAAAGGTCCCAGAGTCTGGAGGAAGAGTGGAGAGGCACAGAATCCACATTGCTTGAAGTCCAGTGTGAAGTTTCCACAGTCAGTGATGATTTGGGCTGCCATGTCATCTGCTGGTGTTGGTCCACTGTGTTTTCTGAAGTCCACAGTCAGCGTTGCCATTTACCAGGGCATTTTAGAACATTTCATTCTTCTCCAGACAAGCTTTATGGAGATCATGATTTCATTTTCCAGCAGGACGTGGTACCCGCCCACACAGCCAAAGGTACCAAAAGATGGTTCATTGGCCTTGGTGTTACTCTGCTCGACTGGCCTGCAAACTGAGAGACACCAGACCCAGCAATGAAGATGACCTGAAAGCCACAATCAAATGGGCTTCCATTCCACCTGATCTTCTCCATGGCACAGTGCACTGAGGCAGTGATTCATGCCAAAGGAGGCCCAGCAAAGTATTGAGTGCATGGAAATAAACATACATTTTCAGAAGCCTGACATTTCTGTTTAAAATGTTTTTTTTTTTAAATTTATTTTATGTAATCTTCATTTTTTCTTAGACACATAATTTTAGTTTGGACTAGTATGCTGCTGTCTATATGTGCTGTGTGACCCTGACCTTTGACTTGTGCTCCTGGTGACAGAGTGGCGCCTCAGCAGCAGAGAGAGAGCCAAGCTGTGCTTCAGAGCGGTGCAGTGCAGAGCTCCTTCTGGTACGACGTCACATACACACACACTCACAACACAACAGTCTGCGCTCATACAGTTCACACTCACACAGTTCACACTCTTTTCTCTTTGTGTCTCTGAATCCCAGATGCAGCTGACAAATTCACCTTTGTGGATATGAACCTTGCCAACGAAAGGGTAAAATGTTTTTTCTTTTTTTTTCTTTCACTCCAAAAAGAAACAAACCCAGTTATGCTCTTTTCCTATGCAATGAATATTTTCTAATACCAATGTGTAGGACAGGGGTGTCCAAGTGCACCTAGAGCCACATCTTAAAACATATTTGAAGCAAGTGGGCGATGGTCAATACAGTGGATCATTCATATTGGTGCTTTTATTATTATTTTATGTTTGACAGAGCCACCAAACCAAGGCTTGGGAAATTAATTTTACATGTGTCTCACAAAGCAATGTGATGTTATTGAGGTTATAGTGGTAGAAGTACTTAAATGTGCTGTTAAAATGACTGCCTATGATCAAACGGGCCATTTCAGTAGAATAAATTGGGTTGAGGGCTGCCTTTGGCTCCTAGGTCACAGTATGGAACACTCCTGGTGTAGGAGATTATTGTAGTGTGTACATTAAACATGTTACACATTACAACATTCATAGCCAAGGCTAATTTGCAATGTCCATCCAGAAAGAGTTGTTTTTTACACAAATTGTGATCCCAGAATGAGAATAAAATTGTCTGTGGTGTTGTGTGCAGGTGGTCAGCTCAGCCACTCCCTGTGGAGACTTCTTTTTTCGCTGCTGTGACACCAAGAGCCAGAGCCCCACAGAGCTCTCTCCTACTGAGCTAGACCTGCACATCATCGTCATCTGGAAGGTAAGGACCAGAGGGGGCCGAGAGGGGGTCGAGGAGAGAGAGGGCAGACCACATAAAAAAAGCAGGACTGTGCTGACCCTGGTGTCTTCTTCTGGTGTCTGCCCACAGGCCTTTGTGGTGGAGGACAATAAGCAGCTGATCCTGGAGGGACAGCTCCATGTGGCTCTGCAGGACATTGGTCAGAAGACCCCTGAACTGCACAATGTATGCACTACTACACACGCGCGCCACTCGCGCGCCACACGCGTGCCACACACACATGCTGGCTTGTATGGTTTTTGAGGAACATATCATTGTCTTACATTCATTTCCTGGAGACTGATTTTAACATTAACTATAGTTGTTTATTGCCTAACCTTAACCTTAACCTCTTTTTCTCTGCCTGTGTTTCAGCTGGACACTGCAGACATGATGCTGCTCAGGTTCCGCTCGGAGCCAGCCCTTCCTCCTGCGGTCCCCAAACTTGACTTCAGTGAGCTGGTCCGGACTAACCTTAGCTACCCTGAGAGTCACAGCCATGCCTTTGGCTCCAGCAGGTCAGTGCCTCTCAAATATTGCAGATAGTAAAGCACACTGTGATGGCAATGTGGCACAAGTTATTAAAGCCTAGCAAGACAGGACCCATATTATACATTTCCACCTTTGTCCTCAGCATGTGCGTGGTGTGTGTGAGCCTGACCCTCACCAACATGTCTGTGAGTGCTGCCCAGGTCAGCGTGGAGCTGCAGCACCGAAACTCTGGGTGAGAAATCCTCTTTCTGTTTGAGACTATAGTGAGACTAAGGTGGGACTGGGGTGACATTAGTGACCCTAAAGGGTGAAGTATAGTTCTGCATCGACTCAATGAGCACTGCCGCCATCGCCTTGTCTCTGTCATTTTTGATTTATGGATCTGCGTCAAGGTCTATGCACCGTGAAATAATTCACTGCTAAAACGCCAGCAGGCTAGAATATATGTCCATTTATATATACAGTCTACGTGTGACCTGCAGATGTATAATCTCTGAAAAGTTTAACATGAACCATCTCTAATGTGATAAAAGCACAGAACAGACTCATTAGAACAATATTCCTCTGTCACAGAAAGAACACTCATATTCAACTGAGTCATGTCCTTTTTAAGTCTGACAGAAGCTGAACTGCATCAGGGCACAAGGACTAAGCTGTTTTTATAGTGCTTAGTTTATGCAAGTTAGCCATGCGGTTTTAAGTTTCGTTTCTATAAAACGTAAACACATGTGAGCAAAGCTGCTTTAAACACATTATTTCTCAGTGTAAATTGAAAGAAAGGAAAGCCGAGTACAGGAAATATATGTAGTGCGGTGGTAGGGAGGACCAATCACAGCCCTTATCGTCTGCGTCGCTTCCCCTGCTGTCTGCATCGTTTTGATGCGTAGTTAGAAAATTTAGGAGATGCGCATCAGTCGACGCAGTAGCGTAGGGGGTATGCTTCGACACAGACGATTTGACGCTGGAGCGTAAATTGGCCTTAAGGTGGCACTACGGGTGAGACTAGGGGTGGAGAGGGGCTGGGGTGAGACCTGGGAAGTGATCTCTTCATGCTGGGTCTGAGCAGTTAGTTTACTAAATAAATACCTCAAAGTGAGTGGGAAATGTGGCAAAAATGAGTTCACTGTTTTCCTAGAATGAGCAGATTCAACTTGCGACCCAGAGGCCAAATCAGGCCCTTCTATAATTTTAACCAGCCCACAGCCCACCTTCTAAATATATATATATTTTTTCTTCTTTACTGGTCTTTTAAATCCTGATACCTGATAGTCCTAGTTTAATTCTGGGTTAGTCCTGGTTCAGACCCAATGGTACTAGTCTAGTCCTAGTTTAATACTGGTTCAATACTGAATTGATATTCTGTATCTTGGTATTTATTGCTGTCAAAATTGTGGTGGTGTGTTGTGTGTGTCCGGACCAGAGGCCATAGCCCTCAGAAAAAAAAAGTGGAATAGCCGTCCTAGAGCTTTGTAGTGAAAATAAATCTGAAAAGTATGGATTCACCATAGAGCCAGACTGACTGCTCCATAAGTGTGTTCCTTTTGTGACATGTGGCAGTGAGGCAGCCGACCCGTGCACTCTGTTCTCTTGGGTGGGGAAAAGCCAGTATCGAGTAATGCTGGGGCCAGAGGAAGTGCGCTGTCTGCCCCTGCACGCCTGCTTCTACAGCGCTGGAGTGTACGACCTGAGCAGTTGCAGAGTCCTGGTGAGACCTGCGCAGTCAGATGCCCTTCCAGAGAGCATCCACAGCCACGGCCCCGCACTCATCGTCATCAACAATGCCTGAACTGCACCGCACTAGACTGACCCTTACTCCACAGTCAGACTAAGGCATATGCAGCTGGTTGATACAACAACTGGGGATGCCTTGTGGCCATCAGCTTTTTTCCTGGTTTTCACCAAAGCCCTGTTAGGACCTCTTCACATCATTAATGCACTTAACAGTTCAAATGTGGAGTAACCTCGGCAGGAGCCAGGTGTAGCATGAAGCAGGAATTAGATCTCTGTTTAGGTGGTGCAGTGATGCATCTGCAGCACTAACTGAACTCTTGATGTTATTTGACTGCAGAAGTGTGGATTTTCAACTACATAATTCATGTCTCAAACACTTCTTTTGGATTGTTTTGCATATTGCACCATTGTTTGCTTGTAATATATATTCTGGGATCAAAATTAACTATTGTTAATATTAATCATATTAAACATGTCTGTGAATCTTCTGATCCTGTGCTTCATCATTAACAGTAGTCTGAGCACACAAGGGCCAACCTCACACACAGCTTAAAAGTTCGGGTTACAGTTTAGGTTTAAACCAATTGGATCTCAAAAGTGGTGACTCAAATGACTTCTTCACTGGTTTAAGAGGATTACTAAACAAATATCCAATGTTTTTTCAAATAAATTCAATAGAATTTAGTACAAAAAAGTTCATTTGAACATGTTTTATCTTGTATGAGGATACAAATTTAAAATCCTAGCTCCTTTAAAGCCAAAATGACCTGGCTAGGTAGTAAATGGCCTGTGGATCCCTTGTTTTCCTGCCCCCATTTCAACTTCCAAAAATGAGATGCACTGAAGTCTACACTTGGTGCATAATTAAAAGGGCATTTAAAAAAACTCAAATACCCAAAGGAAGACTAGCAGAATTCTTTTCAGAACTTTATTCAAACTTAATCTTTCTTGGCAGCAGCTTTTCTCATGGCGGCCAGGACATTGGTCAGCTCCTCTCTCTTTCTCTTGGCACGAATGTGAGTTCCGATCTGAAAGCACAGGGAGAAAAGAGATTAACATCTTCATGTCAGGCAAAATAAGACCCTATGACTAAACCCAGTCTCTACACACAGTATGTGTGAGAGAAGAGTCCAAGGAGCAAAGCATGACTCAAGACATTTGTGTCGATAGGAAACAAAAGTCCAAGCTCTGCCAAAACTACCTCAAGGAAAAAAGAACAAGATGGTGAGCTTGAAAACTTCTGCTGCAGACTGGGTAAGAACTTTCTGCAGAATATTTGATTTCTCTTGTAAAAAGAACGAGCCACGAGTGTGTTCAGCTGTTATATCTGCCACAAGTGACACTTTCATCAATGAAAAGTTTAGAATAGAATATGTTTTGGTCAACAGTAAAAAAGTGTGGTGTTCTAAAACTTTTGACTGGTAGTATATGTCAACACTGAAAACTCCATCCAAAATGCAGAGAATTAGCCACAAGGCAGGCATTTCTCCTCAAGATTAAACACTGATTTAACAAAATAAAGGAGTCATCCATTTCTATTAGTCTAGTCATAACTATTGTGCAGTTATGGAGAAAAAAAAAAAAAGGAACATTTGCAAATGTTATGGAATTACCATATTTGCTCCCCTGACTAACCAAGAACTAAAATTATAAACTTCATTTTTTTAAGTTTATAAATTTTTTTGTACCTAAAAACTAGACAAGAATTTTACAGTCCTGCTTTAGAAATGTAAAACTTTTCAGGAACGATAAAATTTTGTCCCATTGATACTCATTTGATAAAAGGGAAATGGTATTTATCTATTGTGATACTAGATTTGCCATTTGGACCCCCTTAATGTACTGACCCTCTTCTTGATGAACTTGAGCGCCCTCTTGTCCTTCGACACCTTGAGCAACTCCATGGCCCTCCTCTCGTAGGGAGCGAAACCACACACCTCACGGATCATGTCCCGCACAAACTTGCTGTGTTTGGTCAAACGCTGCAACATAAACAACACCAACTTCAGCAATCTCACCACGTTCTACAAGTTAGAAAAGTGTGCCGCTTAAACAATCTAAATTCAAATGACTGAACCTATAGGCATTACCACCAGCACAAATCAACTCCAGCTCTACTGGAGGGTCTAAACATTATTTTGAATGCGAAAAAAAGTGTTGAATAGAACAGTGCTCAGGACTGGGTCATCACACTGCACTTTGTTGTATTCGAATGCCAGTGTGATAAATGCATTTACCAGTAGTGACAAGGGTGAATGATCTGGGGGAAAATATTCAGCACCAATATCAGATGTATACCAATATTGAAACATTTAATCAGATATCAACTTCTAACTATAGGTTCAGCCAACATCCTGGTAGAGCATAAAATTTGATGTAATATTTGCTGGCCCTGAAAGTCTTAATGACTGAATTGTATTTACAAAGTTATGTAGATGTTATTTATTTCATGTAACTACAGAACACATTTGGATCAGCTTTGTCCCATTTTATTTTTGTTTCAACTAAATAAATGTGGTTCTCAGTCCACACTGGTATCGACTGATTGATGGTAGATACTTAAAACTGTAGTACTTTGTTTTAAAAGGGTTTGAATATTACACAAATAGTGTGAAGGCCAGTCCATCAGTCTTGTTTACTACTGGGACTTCCAGACGCTCTAGCACCAAAACACTACCAGGGTGGACACACTCTATGGATTTAGTACAGGTCAAAATTATGTTTCCGATGCGCGCTGTGCTCACGGCTGCACCCGGAGCACAGCTTACCCCGCGCCGGCGGCTGTGCTTCGGAGCGGACTCGTTCTTGGTGACCGGGTGGCCCTTGTTCAGGCCCACGGCCATGGGGTAGCGGATAGCCATATCTGCAGGAGAGGGATGTTAGAATGGCCCGGCTGTAGAGACGTCAGTGTGGGCTACAGGAGCGAACAGAGCCGGCCTATGATTCTAAGTGTTTATCTCTGCTTTATTGTCACCAATGTTGGTCAGAAACTCTGCACAGAGGCAACATGTATCTGTATCCCGCGTTACACAAAGCGAAAGTAAAAGATGGCGCAGATAAAAGAAGGATTCCAGATGAACTGTGTAAAGGGCTAATTCTTACCTGCTGTCTGCAATGGCGGTCAAACCGGAAAGACGGCAGCGAGGGCCAAGAGGCCGGAAGAGGCCGTTTAACAGCGCGGGCTGCAGCGCCCTCCTCTGGACATGTTCTCATTACACCCAGTGTTTGTGTGGAAAATTAGATCAGATTTTATGACAGGGATCTTTTATTTTATAGCCGTTACTCCAGGGCTTTGTCTATTGAGTGAGGCTTTTAAAAAAAATGTTATTATTACAACCATACAAAACATTTGCAACAATTAACAATTTACACTAGGGGCACAGGAGGCATTTTAAAAAGTACATGTTAGTACCATGGATCTATAATAAGAATACCTCAATCATCAGTACATACAATTATGCAACATGAGAAAAGATAAATAAAATAGGGTTTCCTCCACTGGTCTGGGACTCCCTGAATAAGGAGCTCAGAGGAGGAACTGAGAGTAGAGCTGCTGCTCCTCCACATTAAGAGGAGCTGCTGGGCATTTGATCCAGACACCTCCAGGGCCCTTCCCTTAAGAGGTGTTTTGGGCATGTCCCACCAGGAGATGGCCCTAATGAAGACCAAGGACAGGTTGGAGAGCCTATGGGCCTGTGTTAGCCTGGGAACACTTCAGGATTCCCTTGGAAAAGCTGGAATAAGTGTGTGTGGAGAGGGAAGTCTGAGCCTCCCTTCAGACTGTTGCCTCTGTGATCTGGCCCCAGGTCAAGTGGAAGATAATCGATGGATTGTCTCTATAATATAATCAATAGGTGCTGACAACACAAATGCTGAGTCATAGATGTTTGCACTATAGGAGTTGAAAATCCATTCATATTAGACTGACTTATTGTTGGTGCACAAACAGTCCACACGGTGACAAATGTATGAAACTTTATTGACACACCAAACAGATACAAAGCACAGCAGACACAGAAAAGTCTGCTTATTTCTTCCTCCAGAAGTGTTTGTACTGGTCGGCTCTGAACTGCTCATGGTACTCCTCCTCTGGGGGTCTCTGGGTGCTCCTCTTCACCTCCCTCCTCTTCAGCCTGGATCTGCGCTCCTCCTCAGACAGCGTGGACACATCTACGGGCATCTGGAGGAGCATGACAACACCTTAAGGACTGTACCAGCAACTGTGGGCTACCATTTTGATTTAAACCATGTTAGAAAGGTATCTTCAGAAACCTAAAATGGTATTTTGTAATATTTGTATATCTAGACCTCCGTCCAGAGCTCTCCCTGTCTGTCATCCAGTGGTAATCAGAGTCTATTCACTATTCATGTCTTCAGTGCAAGGAAATTCCAACCAAGCAGCAATCGTTTTGACTCCATTTAAACTGCATCTCTCATCAGTGTGCCAGCAAGGGGCAACAGTAGCATTTTGTATGCACAAAAATCAATGGTTAATTAAAGCCGCGCGCGGCGATTGTGGCCCTCGCCCCGGGCACGCACCGCCCCCCCGGCGAACGCCGGGGACTCGCGACCGCCCCGACACACCGCTCTCTCTTCCCGACAGCTCCCGAGGCCAACAGGTCGTCCACCAGAAAAATGACATAGTGTACCTTTAAAATTGGATAAAGTGAATGATTCTAGAGACAAACTGTAGACACTAAGCCACAGGTCACGTGACTTTAATGGTCAAGAGCACTGTCACACTAAGACTAAGTGCATGAAAACACATCCTCCACCAGAAAAGTTACATAGTGTGCCTTTAAATTTCTCAGAAGTGAAATTATTCTAGAGGCCAAAGTGTCAAACTAGGGCATAGGTCTTACTGACTTTTATGATGAGGAGTACGTCAGTGAATGTTTTGGCAAAGTTTTACAAATGAATGTAAAACTAATTTTATGTCACACAATAATAAATTGTGTGGATTCATATAGGTGGCGCTGTATCCCTGATAACAGTATTTGACATATCAATGGAATAAGGGTCATGCAGTGTATAACTGATAGAAATTTCATCACAATCGGACAAAACATGTGCATATAATAATTTTTACAATATTTTTGGGGGGATTCTCTGTGCCCCTGCTGGCCAACCGTGAAAAATACACCATGACTGTAATAGACATTTTTGCTTATAATCATGCAAAGAATTTATTCCCCGACTTTGGTCCAAGTCCGATAATGTTGACATTTCATGTCTAAGGTAGGGGGCGCTATACTGTTCACTTTTCATATGTTTTATAGTTTATTATATTCAGACCAATATCCCGCATTAGTGATTCAAATTTCAGCACAATCAAACTAAGCATGTCCCTGTAATAATTTTAAAAATATTTTTTGGGTGATTCTTTGCGCCCCTACTGGCAAACCGTGAAAAATGCATCATGTCCGTAATAGACTTTTTTGCTTGTCATCATACATAGAATTTATGTCCCAAATTTGGTACTAATCCGATAATGTTGATGTTTCACGTCTATGCTAGGGGGCGCTATAGAGTTCACTGTTATTAAATTTCATATTTCATTACATTCACACCAGCATCACGCAATTGTGTTTTGAATTTGAGCTCTCTAGGCCAATGCCTGTGGCTGTGACAGGTCACCGAAAAAACAGGAAATGAAGGCGTTATTCGCCGGCGTGCTACTGGCGAACCGTAAGGAGTATCCCAAAAAAATTTGGCAACTTCTGTGAGTTCATGTCTGTAGATGTGACATGTCAAATTTGAGCTCATTTGGACCAAACCCCGGGGACTTCAATCTTTTTGTAGACCCCCAAGTCAAAACGGCGGCGAATGTTTGATCCAATATGGCCGACTTCCTGTTCGTCATAGGGGTGCAGAATGATTGACTTTTTTGCTTGTAATCATGCGTAGAATTTAATCCCCAAATTTGGTGCTAATCTGATAATGTTGACATTTCATGTCAATGGTAGGGGGCGCTATAGTGTTCACTTTTAATATGTTTTATACCGTTTTATATTCAGGCTGAGATCACACATTAGTGATTCAAATTTCAGCACGATCCGATTAAACATGGGCATGTAATCATTTTTTAACTATTTTTGGGGGGTCTTTGCGCCCCTGCTGGCCAGTGGTGGAAAATGCATCATGTCCGTAATAGACTTTTTTGCTTGTAATCATGTCTAGAATTTAATCCTCGAATTTGGTACTAATCCGATAATGTTGATGTTTGTCAATGCTAGGGGGCGCTATAGAGTTCATTTTTCATATGTTTTATATTGTATTATATTCAGGCCATGATCAGGCATTAGTGATTCAAATTTCAGCACGATCGGACTAACCCTGTGTGTGTAATTATTTTTTAACTATTTTTTGGGGGAGTCTTTGCGCCCCTGCTGGCCAATAGTGGAAAATGCATCATGTCCGTAATAGACTTTTTTGCTTGTCATCATACATAGAATTTATGTCCCGAATTTGGTACTAATCCGATAATGTTGACGTTTCACGTCTACGCTAGGGGGCGCTATAGAGTTCACTTTTATTAAATTTCATATTTCATCACATTCAGGCCTGGATCACGCAATTGTGATTTGAATTTGAGTTCTCTAGGACAATGCCTGTGGCCATGACAGGTCACCGAAAAAACAGGAAATGAAGGCGTTATTCGCCGGCGTGCTACGGGCGAACCGTAAGGAGTATCCCAAAAAAAGTTGAAAATTTCTGTGAGTTCATGTCTGTAGATGTGACATGTCAAATTTGAGCTCATTTGGACCAAACCCCGGGGACTTGAATCTTTTTGTAGACCCCCAAGTCAAAACGGCGGTGAATGTTTGATCCAATATGGCCGACTTCCTGTTCGTCATAGGGTCATGCTACAATTCATCTTTTGGCTTGTCTCATTGTTCTCTATCACTGTCCCGAATTTCGTTTCCCTGCGACAAACTTTGCCTGTCCCCACTCCCATAGGGGTCCAATTCTAGGTGGCGCTGTTGAGTCGGGTCACTCGGGTCATTGTTGCGATGCCCATTTTATCAAATTTTTCGCCGGGCCGATCGATCTGGACCCTGGTTTGGGGACTTTTCGTCCATGTTCAGGGGGTCAAAAATGCAATCGTTTGGTCGGAAAAGGGAATAAAAAAAAAGAAACCGACGAAGAACAATACCCCTTGCCCCTAACTTTGTTAGTGGCGAGGGCCAATTACTTTGGATCTGTTTTGTACACCCGCTCACAGGGCTTGTCACTCACCACCAGGAGGCGTCGTGGCTCTCTGTATCGGATGTGCACTGTGGAGCCGTCGGGGCGGAGCAGCAGCACAGGGAAGCTCCTCTCGTACACCTGCCTCCCACAGCGTACCACACTGGAGCGGTTGGAGCTGAGGCGGGCAGTGTGTGTGTGGAAGGAACAGGCCTGAGACACAGCCGAGGAAACTGCCAGAGCCCTGGACACAACAGACACATTCAGAACACTGTTCTGCTCATCTCATGCTTCAAAATATTTCAGCTACAGACAGATGAATTTGTAGTCCACCCAGTCATACTTAAGGCTGAATGATGTGTGAGGGTCTAAACTACAGGTTTAGCTTCTTGTTATGCAGAATAAGACAGGAGATTTTGTTGTTTGTAGACAAAATAATGTTACTTCAAAAACTGCAGCCTATGTGATTTGCTAATTGCATCCATTCAACTGTGGTTCTACCTCTAGGTAGCCACAATGTGGGTGAAATGTTTTGCCTAAAGACACAATAGTGGTCCAAGGGTTCAATCCTCCAACCTTTGAATTAGGGAACTACAGCTCTAACCACTGAGCCAGTGTCACCACATTTGCGTGTGCGTGTGCGTGTGCGTCGGTGTGTGTGTGTCAGGGAATTTACCTAAAGACTCAATCATTAAAGAACAAGCCAGACACAACACAGTAGTTGATTTTACTTGTAGCAAGGAGTGCGAAAGCTGACTGACTGAACCTAGCACTGAAGCTCTCGCCCTCCTCACAGCTCTTTTATTGAAGCATCACACAATAACCTTGACATGACTATACGACATGTTTTACAGTTGTTATCTCTGACTAATGGACTACAGGTGACGATGCATATCATGGTGTACATACAGTTTCTTCTTAGCCCACTTTATCCCGTGTCAGCCCCAATTTATTTACAATCATTAGCAGATTTTCTATCATGTTTTCTTTAAATGGGTCAGCTGGTGCGTCAGCAGCTCAGCTGATGTTTCTGTTGTTACATACAGTTTTGAACAGAGCACAAAGCAATTTTGATAATCTTATATTGTACAATGATTAAACATAGATTAATACTTTTAAAGGACTTGATGTGTTTAAACATACATTAACACTTTAAATGACTTAATGTCTCATGACCCAAAAAATTCTATAACAGTGTGTCTGTGTGTGTGTGTCTGTATGTGTGCGTGTGTGTGTGTGTGTTGCTGACCATGTTCAACTTCGTGCCCTTTTCTGTTTCATGTGACATGGCAAAAACTATTTATTTAAATTTCACACTCGCAAGATGATTACGATTTTAACTGGTTTTAATGAATGTCAGAGCAGGGCCTTTTCAAACAGATTAAGCTCCATGACCTATTATTAATATACTGTGTCAGACACAGAGCCAAAACAGGCTGCTTTATGGAGGACAGATACATTCACTCTTCTGTCGTTTATGTGTAATAACCATACATTTAATTAGTGGGAAGATCTCAAACTGTTTATAAGTTAGAAAAAATATCTCCTGAGCTGTGCATTTCCTTGTTTTCTTTCAAAGAAATCAGTTATCTAAGGACTGAATGAGTAGTAATTAATAGGGCTGTATGCCTATAGTTACTTAGTCCATTAATCGATCGATGGAGAATCAAAATGTGTATTAAGTCGACAAATCAGGTTATTTAGATGATCAGGATTGAAGGATTGAAAGCAGAAAGGTGAGTGAGTTGGCTGAGGATTTGCTATTTTTTGGTATTTATTTCAAAAGTCAGATTAAACTCATGATTCACAAGTTTTATCTGTCTTTATAGAAATGCATTGTTTCCTAATACCTTTTCTGCAAAAATTTAAGGTTTTCTAAAAAACTCAAAGTTTTTAGTTTTTGAACTCCCCGTGCAGGTGTACTCTTGCAGCTGTGTTATAATTTGGAGAGCTTTTGTCACACCCCCTTTTTAGTGGACTAGTCAATAGTTTGGACATGTCTTTAGTCCATCAAGTATTGGCTGTATTTATTTACAGCCATAGTAAATTAGATTTCTTTTCCAAGAAGTAATCAATAGTCAGTAATCAGATTAGTTTTGCAAAGTAATCTGACCAACACTGCCCGACTCACTCAGAGCATGGTGGGGGCTGGCCAATAGGAGGAGTGGGTGTGGTAAAGTGTCTAAGCAGAACTGCAAGAACAGAAACACTGAAGATGGAGGGTAATAATAATTTAAAAACTAACACTGCATGACATCACAGGCGGGAATGGAGCATTTTGGGCGTTGGCGATGTAGACAGACCAGTAATAACTGTGTGAATGAAACACAACTCCAGGTATGTTTTTGCGGTGGTAACAACATTAGAATACGACTAAACATTCACAGGGGTTATAGAACCTATAATAAAATACAATGGAAGCTTTTCCTTACATCTGGGAGAATAACATCATCACATTCTAAAATCTGTTCTAACAACAACACAAAGCGTTATGGACACGTGTGTTTCAAAGGGCTGAAAGAGAGTGTGCCGATGAGTTTGTGCAACAGGGGAAACTAATGGACCACCAGCACCAGAGAGCACCACCTGCACCAGAGAGAACCACCTGCACCAGAGAGCACCACCTGCACCAGACAGCACCACCTGCACCAGAGAGCACCACCTGCACCAGAGAGCACCACCTGCACCAGACAGCACCACCTGCACCAGAGAGCACCACCTGCACCAGAGAGAACCACCTGCACCAGAGAGCACCACCTGCACCAGACAGCACCACCTGCACCAGAGAGCACCACCTGCACCAGAGAGAACCACCTGCACCAGAGAGAACCACCTGCACCAGAGAGAACCACCAGCACCAGAGAGAACCACCAGCACCAGAGAGAACCACCAGCACCAGAGAGAACCACCAGCACCAGAGAGAACCACCAGCACCAGGTCAGGTCAGGTGGGGTGAGGTCAGGGCAGGGACGCTCTCACACGAGGGTTCATTGTGTTCAGAGTCATGGTCTGAACACTGTCTTCTGCTAATTAGCCTGTGCATCTAATAATAATGATGTTGTGTTGTCTGACGTGATCACTGAAAATCTCTGATGAATCCTGTCTCCTCTGTCCTCATCGTTGGTTTGCCCGTGCTCAGCCGCCCGGAAGCGTGTCCCCGGTCAGTGCGTGTGGAGAGACGTGTGTGCGGTCGGTTCTTACCGGTGCAGCAGGCTCCACGGGCGGTACGCACTCCCCACAGACATGCTGGACTGGAACACCGTGGATGTCTTCTGGTGGTTCTGGTCCCTGTGACACCAGTTCGCTGCGCACGCGCGGTCACGACCTAGCCACGTTTCGTCGGCTCTTTTTGGCTTGCGTGGTTCGGTTGAGCGCCGCCCTCTGGACTCTGCGTGGCACTACTGTAGATGCGTAACCCTGGGACTGTGAGCTTCACTTTCTCTCCAGGAGGCGGCGGCTTGCTCGCGTCACCGCTGCGCCGCTGCTCTCCAGAAACCCGCAAAAAAGAAAAGAAAAATACTTCCGTAAACTAAAGCCGGGTCGGTGTCCGGTCCGTGTGTGGCCAGCGCGTCTCCTCTGTTTACTGTTGGTTCCAGAGGTCCAGACTCCGGTCCGGATGCTTGTCCCGGTACGTGAGCGTACACTGTAGTCCCGGGCCGGCTCTGTACGCTCCTGCGCGCTCCTCTCCCGTGATCAGCGCGTGATGAGGAACTGACGAGGACGACAACACAGAGGTGAGGACGACAACACGGCGGTGAGGCGTTCGGGTCGTGTCCCCTTGCTCCTTTTGTCCAGGTGTCGTTTGGGGTTCGGAGGGGGGCGGGGGGAGAAGAACGTACGCGTGGTTTTGGGCTGCACTGTAAGCTCATCACTTTCGCTTTATCACTGTGTGACTCTGTGCAGGTGTTTGGCCCCTGTGGATAATGTACTCTCTGCTCGGTGTATGTTTCAGATATGTCTATCGAGTGGAGCTCTGGGATCGGGGCCCTGTCCCCGTGGGGGGGCCCAGCCTCCCTGCTCTGGACCCTACTGCTGCTGGTAGGTTTCTCAGGTAAGTGCTGCCCCACAAATAGTAGATAAGGACTTTTATCCTGTCAGTTTGTGGCGGAAGCTCTCAGTACATGACTATCTCTACCCTTTACCCCATGTCACTTATTCAAGTGAGGATTGTGGCTGTGCATGTTCTGATGCCATTTTTGTAAACTCCCTCAGTCTTCCACGTAGAATCTATGACAAAGGAGGAATTTCTCCTTTCTATGTTATTGTGTGGTGGATCCCAGTAACACTGAGAAATTTACTCTGCCCCAGCTCAGTGTGTCAGTGTGAGCAGAGCCTCTGGTGTCTCTTCCACTGCACTCCTCTTTTTTCTCAGTCTGTCTCACTTACAAACAGCCCTGGAGCATTGTGTAGATGGTATTTGGAAAAGGTTTCACTCTTCTGCACATCTCCTCCCTGTGTCCAAACCTGCACTCTCAGAGCTCCTGTGGCCTGGCCTGCTGACTCATCTATCTCGTGACTCTGACTTAGGACTTGACATATTCCAGTAAAACTAGGTTTTGCTCACCACCTGTGTCAATGTACAGCTGAGGGCGCGCTCAGAGAAAGAACACTGTAAAGTGAAGAGTGTATAGAAAATCCATTGTGTCTCTGTTCTTGTCCCACACTTATGTCTCTGCTCTTTGTCTCACACTCGTGTCTCTGATATCCTCAGAGTCCAAGCTGCAGCTTTCTGCTCCAGAGGCTGTCACCCTCCAACTGCTTCATCAAGACACGGTCCACATCAGCAGCAGGTGAGCAGGAATGGGGACATATATCCAGGTTAAGAACAGACAGGACAGAGGGTATACAGGACATGGGACATGCAGGACAGTAGTGATGTATAGATGATACCTCTGTGTGTAACATTCTACTAGTGTCAACACTGTGTTGACACTGTGTTTGTGCGTTCTAGAGTACATTCTGAGCCTCACGCACTTCGCTCTGCACAAGCTGCTTCAGCACATGAGACACACCACAGACACAAGACATGTATCAGTCACATGACATTTCTTAAAGTGATACACACAGAGACACAGCAACACAGGTGTCACTTTCTGAGCTCGACACGTGTTAACACGTCTACTCATTTGACCCAAAACTACAGGACAGCACCAAGGACATGTGTCAAGGACAGGACAGGGGACATGTGTCTAGAATGGGACAGGGGACATGTGTCTAGAATGGGACAGGGGACATGTGTCTAGAATGGGACAGGGGACATGTGTCTAGAATGGGACAGGGGACATGTGTCTAGAATGGGACAGGGGACAGTCGTCGCACTCAGTTCTTGTGTGTTTACAGTGCTCCTCTGAACGAGACTCTGATGCTGCATCTCAACGTGACATCCAGCTCCATAAGTAACTGGTCCTGTGTAGTGTCCTTGCCTCAAGAGGTAACGCCCAGACCCCAGTACCATATCTGTAATACTACTACAGTACTACCGCCCCAGTACTACCCTAATAATACTAACTCAGTATCACCCAGTACTACTACCGGTAGTACCCTCATAATACACATGTAATAAGCCGATACCATCACTCCATCACAACAAAACCTTTACTCCTGCCCCAGTCCTGCCCCAGTCCTGCCCCAGTCCTGCCCCAGTCCTGCCCCAGTCCTGCCCCTGTCCTGCCCCTGTCCTGCCCCTGTCCTGCCCCTGTCCTGCCCCTGTCCTGCCCCTCCAAATGCCCCATACTCCCCTGTACCAACCTCAGAGCCCTTCAGGTCGTATTTTTGCCCTGAAACTGGAGCTTCTCTTAGACATGCCAGGTCAGTATGAAGTGTGTGACACTGTGTTCTGTTCTTACCTTAGGTTCTTCTGAGTGTAGGCAGCTCAGGGGCCTCGTTTAACGTGAGTGCACTGGCCGTGGGACAGGTCACCGCCTTCCTGATCTCCAACTGCTCAGACCTCAGGTGTGTGTGAGACTGCTGTGGCAGAGCATCTGACTGCTCCTCCTGTCTGCTTTTCTCTATTTTTGTCTGCTCCTCCTGACTGCTCCTCTCTATTTTTGAGGACTCCTGTCTACTCCTGTCTGGTCCTGACAACTCATCAGTGGTCCTGACTGATCAAGCCTGCTTGAGTCTGCTCCTGACCACTCCTATCTGCTCCTGACTGCTCCCTGTCTTGCAGTGTATCCCTGCGGATCCGTTTCCTGGTCATCCACAGTCACGTAGTGGAGCTGCTCAGTGAGGTGATTGGATGGATTTATTTCCTGGCCTGGTCGGTGTCCTTCTACCCACAGGCCTGGGAGAACTGGACCAGGAAGAGGTGACTCGCACGCACACGCGCACAGAAATACACACACACACACACAAATGCACACACGCACGCACACACACGCACACACACATGCACACGCACACACACATACACAAACACAAACACACACATACTCAAACTCAAAACTGTACACAGCAACTTGACAAACCTGATGTGATGTGCAGTAGTTATGTTATGTTGGTCATAGGTTTCGTCATGATTAGTCTACTTTTATTTGTCATATTTTTGATGACTAAATAATAAACTATTAAAAATGAAAAAATGCATAGCATAGTCAGATGGCCGATGTCCAAAAGCTTTTTTTAATTTTTAAATTATGTTTTGGCAAAATGTCTTCATCAGATCATTTCCACAGTACACACAATGGTTGCCAGCCCAGGTCCTCATATCCACACCAATGAACGGGAGGTCCCAAAGTGAGGTCACCCAGTGAGATCAGCTCATTCTACAACAAGAACATAACATAAAGACATTCTCATAAAATACAAAAATAGTTTGACAATATCACAAAACATCTTAGGTCAAAGTCCACATTACGTCCATGAGGAGCAAGAGTCAAGTTGGTGAATCCAGGAGCCTCATTTATAAACCTCTCTTAAGCACAAATCATTGCGTAGGCGCTCTAAGCCAACCACAGGATTTATGAAATGCCTAATAAGTACTGTGCTTTGCTTATCTCTCCGGCAGCTAGGCATTTTTGCTATGCATATTTTTCACTTTTAATTGCTCTTCCTTGCATTTGCACTTCATGAAGAACTTTGGTGTGCGTTTTCTGTTTCATTTAAATAATAAACTATGACAGAAATATTAGTTAAAATGAGCAGCAATGTGTCTGAGCAGACTTGTGAACTCTGCTGTTCTGTTCCAGTGTGGTGGGGCTAAACCTGGACTTCCTGGCTCTGAACCTGACGGGGTTCTTCGCCTACAGTGTCTTCAACATTGCTCTCTTCTGGGTGCAGACGATAAAGGTACTGCTCCACTGGGTTGAGTAGGTGACGTTTTGGTTTAAGGCGAACATGTGTGGTAACTGAATGTCTCTACCCTTTCTCCCCTATTTCATGCTATAGCAGTCCTGTCAAATAAAGCCTCTGAGACAGATTTTATTTTGTTTAAGTCAAGATGAGTAAATCAGTTGCCCTCTATCTTCCGTATCTCTATTTGCCATAACTAGATGTCCATCTGCTGATGCCCCTCTTGCCCCACTTACAGCTGTTCTGCTGTCGAGTACACTGGGACAACAGTGGTCTGACTGTCAACAATTCTCTGGAGAACCTAGACATAAATCAGATCTAGAGCTCAGCATACTCAAACCTACCTGTGCAATGTGAACAGAGAGATTTTAAATGGCTTGCATTATTGTACCTAGTGCCAAGGATATGCCCAGAATAGAAGAAATAAATTAATTATAAAGAAATTGTTAGTTTTCAGAATGTGATGATGTCATACTCTCAGATGGAGTCAGAGACAGATTTCCCTCTTGAATACGTTGAACTATGGAAAAGTTGTACTATGGAATGTCTAAAATGTCAACTCACAAATGTCTGTAAACAAAATCTGTCTGTAAACATGTTTGTCTGAATAACACTGACAGCTGAAATAGAACAAAGACTTCTAAAGCATGGTGTTGTTGACAGGAGGAGTTTCTGCAGAGGGATCCAAACGGAGTGATCCCAGTGACAGCGAGTGATGTGTTCTTCAGCCTTCATGCCGTGCTGCTGTGTGTGCTCTATGTGTGCCAGGCTGCGCTCTATCAGGTGAGCCCTCATGCCCGTCTGAGAAAGCCACAGGCCTTCTGCAAACACAACATATCACTGACGTATGGAAGAACAATGGCATTTTGATTATGATGTTGTTGTTGTTGTAACCCAAGCCGCCTTTCATCTTCGTCTTCTAAGTTAGTCCTTGGAATTCTGCAGCTCCTCTGGGGTCTGTCCATAGAGCTCCCACGTGGAGATCTGATGGTGCTCGCTGAGCAGGGCAGGTGAAGAGGTGCTGTGTCGTGTGAGATGTTTGGCCGCACTCTGGACAGGTGTCAGTGATGTTAGTGTCAATCCCACTGACGTATGAGTTCAAGAGTCGACTGTATCGTGAGCGCAGCTGAGCCAGAGTGCACCTGGAGTCTCTGGGCAGCTGCAGTTCTTCAGTGCTCACTTTTGGGACAGGATCACCTGAGTGTGGAGCCCAGACAGAGGGGGTATAGGCTGAGGCAGCTTGTATTGCCATATGCAGGTGTATGAACCAAACCCCATTTCTGTAACTGTCCTAGTTGGTGTTGGAGTTGTCGGTGCCTATGATTTTTTTCACCTGCTTTCTGAACAGGGTGTCTCTATGATGTGTACGGTTTCTGTATGCAGAGTGGGGGATGGAAGTATTTAGCAGCCAGTCTGCAACCTCAGAAGGAATTGCATGCTAAGCATCACATTGTGGTCTTTTAGTTTCATAACACCCGTTTTATGATGGAGATGGTCAGTTGGGGTCATATGTAGACAGCCTGTTACTGTCCATTTTGTTTAATTTGGAGGTGCCCCCCAGTTAGTGTGAGACACGTTGGGAGTCCAGACTGGTGCTGTGCACAGGCAGTGGTGGCTTTGTAGCTTGTGAGGAGCACCTCCAGTGAGCATCCGCATGTACCAGCAAGCTTTTTTAGGATGTTGCTTCACTCACCTAATTTAGTTGCAGTGTTGTTACAGGGTTTTAAAAATATCAAAGACTGGTCAAAAGTCACACTTAAAACTTCCCGAGCTGTGGGCATTTTGATTATGATCCAAAGTCATGACTTTTGGAGATTTACAGCTTTTTTATTATATTATAATGTAGTTTCCTCATCACAGACATAACTGGAATTGTATTTTGTTTCATTCACAGCTATTCTTCTTAAAACTTATTTAAAACACAGTTCCACCTTGTGATGTCATGTGGTAACACAATATATGAGGAACAATATATTTTGGGTCATAATATTTATCGTGTTTATATTTTTGTTGCAATAGTGGGGAGATTTCTGTTATTTATTTATGTAATATTGTAAAAAACTGAGCTGTTGAAAAATAATTTCCAGGGCTAATTATTGATTCAGCTGTATATTTATTGTAGCTCAGCCCTTTTAATGATACTGTATTAAATAAATAAAAAAAAGGTTACTGGGATTATCCTGCTTTATTGTGATTGTGTCTGTGGTAAAAAGTAGTTTTAGTATTAGTCCCGCATTGCTCACGTAGCAGACCCTCAGTCCCATTTCAATAAGAAGATTTCAATAAGAAGAGTCATGCTTTGATTACATGTTCACAACTGATAAAGGACTGTCTGTGGCCTCATCTGTGTGTGTTGTGTTTCAGAGGGGGGGGCAGACTGTCTCCTGGCCCGCTCGAGGCCTTTTGCTGCTGGGCTGGACCTTCGCTCTGGTCAGCCTCTTTCTGGCTGTGGCCCGGGTCATCAGCTGGCTACAGTACATCTACTACTTCTCCTACATCAAACTGGCAGTGACACTGGTCAAGTATGTGCCCCAGGTGAGAGACGCAGCCAAGTACGACAACACAACACTGCTCTAGGCTTGTAGACCCTTTACAAATGAGAATGAAGGCATCTGGAGGCAAAAGTGAAGTGTCACATAATGTGATTTCAATGGGGAAATTGGATTGGCAGATGAGTTTGGCAAATAAAAAGCACTCAGACACATGTGAGTGAGATCAAACCCCAGTTTGGACAGTTACTATTCTGTTTCAAGTATGTGTTTATTTAATAGAGGATATGTCCATCATATGCTCCTAAGTATTATTAGAAATGTTGAGCCCACTACAGTTTTTCACTTTCTCTCCATAGCAACTACACATTTCATCATAAATGATACTTTATGTGAAGCTGAAATGCAATTTTGAGGCATCCAGATTGTATTTTTCTCATCCTAACTGAGAAGCAGATTAACTGGCATTTCTAATTTGGAAATTCAAATTTGTTTGTTTTAAACTATTGTTATAAAGTCTTTGTATAATGTATGCTTCACTTTCACTCCACTTTCCTCTAGTGTTGTCATGATACTAAAATTTCAAACTCTATTTTGATACTAAGGAATAGACTTGATCCTCAGTACCGATTCTGATACCACATTGACCATTGACAATAGAATGTGATTTTCAGCATTCCTTTTACTATATTCCCATGTGTCTTATATGTGTGTAATCATCAGTGGTGCAGTAGGTTCATAGTGTCCATGTGTGTATACTAGTCTATGTGCTCTTCTACTTCTGATGTTCTGATACAGCTCGAGATCATTCTAAAGTGATTCAGGAAAGGTCCATTTCTGTCTTATCAATGGGACTTTTTTAGATTTTGATACTAGTTTTAGTATCAATTAGTACCTGATTTTCAATACGTTTTGCAACCTTATTTGCCTCCATTCTGGAACATTCTGATAACGGAGTATTTTAAAGGTTCTATTGATGCATAGCATACTAGTGAATCTAATTGTTGTATAACATACAGCCACTAATCCGATATAACCCATCCCTAGGACCAATGCAGAGGGGGAGGGGCCTGTAACCATGATTACATGCAGTACCTGAGTCATATTGTTCTGCTGACATGTTCATGTTCATGACATTTGAACAGTTTGTACAACAATTGAAATCTGCATTGGACCCTTCCTGGACCACTTCAACAGCTCCCCTCCACAGACAGTCCCTCTTGTCCTGATATGTCTGCTCTGTGCTGTGTTATCTCATGTGCTGTGTTATCTCAGGCCTATATGAACTACCGCCGCCGCAGCACTGTGGGCTGGAGTATTGGCAACGTGCTTCTGGACTTCACTGGAGGAGTGCTCAGCATCCTGCAGATGGTACTGCAGTCCTACAACAATGGTATGCTCTCATCCTCACTATCTGAGTATGGGCCAAAGGCTAATCATCTAGAGGGGCGTACTATGAAGCCAGACGGGTGGCTAAACTGGGTTAGAGAAGCTCAAACCTTGGACATCCTGTATGACAAAGGTGGCGCTCTTTTCAGCAAGGTGGCATCACTGTAGTAACAGAGGCAGAATGCACCTGGTCTAGAGCAGGTTAAGAGCCACAGTTAAGAGTTGGATCAGATCTTTGTTTTTGCACGTTATTGATCATTACTATACTGTAGTCAGCGCTCTTACGCACAGCTCTTCAGTCCTTTACAAGATTGGTTTCTTTAGTCTTCTAAAAAAAAAGCCTTGTGATCTAACCACCTTCATGACACTTTTGTTATCTCTGAGTTGAACTGAGAAACCAGCTCACTGGATTAAAGCCTGGCTGTGTCTAACAAGGCAGTATACTGTATTCCCCTCAGAGCACACAGGCTCACTGGAGGCAGAGGCCCCAAGCCCACAGTTCAGGGTCAGGACAGGCTCAGAAATAAATGTGTGCACTACAAAAAAGGGCACACCATCTTTTTTTATTACTGCTACATTTTAGATCCATACTGAAGATGTCAAATGTATGAACCAGACATATGGAATTATGTATCTAAGATACATGTTAAATTAACTAAAACTAAATAGGTTTTTGTATTTTAGATTTTGCGCCATTAAAGTATACACTCTTTGCTTTGTTGACAGTTGCAAACCCTTGGCCTTCTCAATGAGCTGTATGATGAAGTCTCCTGCAATGGTTTTCACTTCACAGCTGTTGGGGTTTATTAGTGGAAGGCCAAGTGTATCCAACGCAGTGGTCAAAGCAAAGGACAAAGGCTATTTTGGGCTATTTTTGAGTAATTCTCACTTTTTTGTTTACTACATTCTGTCTGTATTCATTCATAATTTTGATGCCTTCGGTGAGAATCTGCATGTAAATAGTCTTGAAAATAAAAGTAAAAAACATGTCCAAACCTGATAGTGTATATTTAATGTACCTCATGTATGTGGTTTAAAGAGACAGGCACTTATCCCAGTTTTGTAAATATGGACAGCTCCTCTATAGAAGAAATTCTCAAGCTTGAGTAAAAATTGGTTTTGAACATAGTACTCAGTCTGGTGAGACAGTGTACAGTATGTTTATGTGTGTGTACATGTGTGTGTGTGTACATGTGTGTGCACTTGCATACACTCATGAGTGTGCCCACCTGAGTGTGCGCACCTGAGTGTGTGTACTTGTGTTTGCAGACCAGTGGATGCTCTTCTTTGGAAATCCCACCAAGTTTGGACTGGGCCTCTTTTCTGTGCTCTTCGACCTGCTCTTCATCAGTCAGCACTACTGCTTGTATAGGACACAGTACCAGCCTGTCATCGAAGAGGAGCAGGGTCCAGATGAGGACTGTCCCAGGACTCAACCCGAACTGCACCAGGACTAAACCAGGGCCACTGTAGGACCAATAGAAGTATGGATCAGGTGCTGTTGGTCCCCGTGCTCAGTGGCGCCTCCAGGATTTTGACCCAAGGACAGCTAACTTGACCACACGGGTGGTTAAGATTGATGTCTTCTCTTTTTTTTTTCTTTTACAAGGGTGTAGGGTCTATTGCTTTTGCAATTTTTTGTCAACTGTCTTATAAAGTTGAGCACTCTCGAGCTCCCCACGTCACCTCGCAAAACAAACAAAAATACAGAACACAACAAAGTATTGCATGGAGGGTCAAAAAAATGTATGAAATTTGACAGAAAATTACTTTACATACATTTTTTTGATAGAGATGACTTAAACTATATGGTATTTTTAACCTTGTTGCCACGGTGATGCACAAAATCTCCAATGAGATTTTGTTGGGGGAGATCCCCAAAGTTCCCATTCATGATAATATCATGGAATATTGTGAAATTTGCCACAATGACTCTTCATGTCATCCTGATCAAAAAAAGACAATGACAATCATATGGAATATTTCACTGGGTTGCCATGGCAATGCGCCAAAATGCCCATGTTATCCTTATGGCAAAATTTCAAAATATTCCTACATTTCAAAGTGATAAAACAACTTATTAGTTTCACTGAAGAACGTCACTTTTGAAGAACGTCACATTTGGCACAGGTCACTCCGAGCAAAAAAGTCCAGGGGTCAATGTCGTATTTTGCACAGTGTTGCCATGGCAATGTCCCAAAATGCTAATTTTTATCTATGCTAGCACATCAACATCTTCAAGATGTGCTGTTTGTGTTTAGTGAAAAATACAGGCCAAATAACACATAAACAAAAATAACACAGACACGTGTCAAGGCCAAGTGTGAGCCGCAACCCATTGAATGCTACTTGCAGTTTTAATTAGTTTTTATTTTTACAAAATTATGTTGTTTTTCTTTTAGTAGCCTTTTTTTTTTATTAGTGGAGACTGTAAGGGTCACCAGAGAATTTTTAAAATGACAACCCACTTTTATACTCAAATCGATTAATTGTAGTCGAGTTTTATTACAATTTACCATACTGATGGTAACATCAGATAGATTTGTTTTGGTGAACCAGATTGCAACTTCAAGTTTTTCTTGTGTTTACTGTACTGATTCACAGTCTGTACAAGGAAATAGTACAAGGACAGTTAGAATACAACTTCAACAAAATATATTTTAAAACCTTATTTATAATGAGCTTTTGTGTGTGAGAGAGCAATGACCAAAACGCATCCAAATGTTCAGTCACCAGCCAGGCCATCTGACATGGCCGAACCTCAGGGGGGACATTTAAATTCCAGTGGTTACGCATTGAGGACGCCTTGTACTTATGCATAAAGGGCATTTTACTTATTTTATTGTACTTTTATATTAATATCACCTACAAATGAAGCCTCACATGTTTGTAATTGCAGATGTATTTTTTCATTGTATTGTCTTTTATTTGAAGCTACTTAATACACCATATTAGTTTCTTCTGGGTTAAAGAGAATACATTATGCTTTTTTCAGGTATTTAGTTTAAAACTAAATACCTGAAAAAAGCAACAGTAGCTCAGTTGGTAGAGCATTTGCCCACTGATCTGAAGGTTGGTGGTTTGAATCCAGTTCTCAACCTAAAACATTGCAGGTTGAGTGGTCAGATCCACTGACCCACAGGTTGGCTGATGTGATTCCAGCTCCCACAGATGAATGTTGTCTTTGTGTCCTTGCCCACAGTGTCTGTGTACACTGGTGTGTGAATGGGTGAGCGGTTCCTTTTTGTAAAGCACTTTGAGTGCCTTGAAGGTAGAAAAGCGCTATAGAAAAATGTGACCATTTAAACTAACATATACTTGGTTCATGATCTTGGTTTTAGTTTATTGTAAACTACAGTATTGATATACTACTGTTATAGCTGAAATAACATGAACTGGCATTAATCTGATCACAATCACAATGATAATTGAGGCCTGCATCTGCACAGCCCAGAGTGTGCACCATGAGGGGCCCTTTTTCAACCCAGAGATCCCCATGGGTCCCCAATAATAATCTGCACTCTAGTCAAACACATGTTTTGATTTTCCTTCAGAGTTACATAATCACACAAATAATATTGTTTATAGGCTTAAGAGTCAGTAGCTCAGTTGGTAGAGCATGCGCCCACTGATCGGAAGGTTGGTGGTTCGATTCCAGCTCTCGACATAAACATCACAGGTTGAGTGGTCAGATCCACTAACCCACAGGTTGGCTGGTGTGATTCCAGCTCCCACAGATGAATGCTGTTGTTGTGTCCTTGGCCAAGACACTTAACCCACCTTGCCCACAGTGTCTGCGTACACTGGTGTGTGAATGGAAGAGTGGTTCCTTGTTGTAAAGTGCTATAGAAAAATGTGACCATTTACCATAAGAGGGATTTAAAGTGCCTTAAAATTTAGCAGTTTTAAAAAGGCACTGCACTCCCAACTGGACCTGTGTCACCAGAGCCTTAACCTGCAGATAGACACATCTAAGTGTGTCTCATTCTCAGTATATAAGCAGATCATCGCTCATGATTGGCTGCAGGCGCTGGGGTTTGTAGTGACCATTCATTCATGCTTCAAGAAATGCTCTCCATAAATGAGAGCTGCACTTTGCCCGGGAGCCCTGCAGAGGCCGCTCTCGCCCGGTGCAGCTCAGCGGAATCCGGAAGGGCAGAAGTTCCGTCCTTGAGTCAGTCACTGAGCTCTGCAGCAGAGAGATGGGATACTGGGACAGTCCCGAGGGCACGGCGTGTGTGGAGAAGACATGGATCACCACCAAATTAGGCACTGCGCTAGGTGAGTGCAAGCCGAGGGACAGTGCGTGGAGCCCGGCCGCCGTCCGGAGGATCCACCGCTGTCTCCTGCCCGATGCTAAAGCGAGCTGCTAACAATGCTAATGCTGCTGCTTGTTTACATGGGCCCCGTATATAAACCATACATATATATATTATATAATATATATATATGTATATAATATTTATATATATATAATATATATGTATATAATATTTATATATATATATGTATATAATATATATATTTATATGTATATATATATATATATATATATATGCGTGTGTGTGTTTTATACAGTCTGCGGCCGAGCTGTGAGAAATACTTTTACCAAGAGAGTCTAAGACAGGTGCTTGAGTAGGTGCTCTGATGTGTATCGGCTCATCACTCACATGTTTGACTTTAAAACAGCTGGATGTTTAGCCATGAGTCAGACCGTGTAATTATAATAAAATAGATCAGACACATAGACAGAGGCCTGACTATCTGAATACACACGTCCCGGTTGGATCCAACTAAGTGAAGTGAGCCATCATATTTGAGCTGTACCAAGTAAGCTTTCTGGTGGATGTTCCACTTCAGCATTTCTCCGTAGGTTTAGTGAGGTTATAACTTTGAAAGTACCACAATATGCATTCAATATTGTATCAGTGGAGACAGTGATGGCAGTATCAGATCACATCTGTGGAGAGAAACCTTTGTTAAATGCGAGGATTTTCTCGGTATTTCTCCAGAGTGAAAACACATGAGATAAATGCAGGAAACATCTACCCTTTACGGTTTTTGACCTTGGTAATAAGGTCACTGCATAGTGCACTTCACTAGTCAATTGACACTTCTGCTCAAGCATCTGTTTTGTGTGCTGTCTTACTGATTCTTCTCAGAGTTTCCCAGATGCATGTTGTAGTTAGACTGGTGAGACCAAGAGGCAGTGAGAGCTTCTTCTAACATGTGTGTCTGTAGGGCTTGTGGGTTCAGCCTATCACATCGTAGCCTTCCAGCCTGAGTCAGCCCTGGCAGCTCTGCAGAGGACCACCAGCACCACCGTCACTATGGGTATGACTCCTCACACATACGCACACGCACACACCGTCACTATGGGTAGGACCACACACATACACACACACCGTCACTATGGGTAGGGCCGCACACAAACTTGTACACACACATACAGTCAATATGAGTAAGACTCCTCACAACTTGCACAAATCCACACACATGCACAGTCCTTATAAGTTAGAAAGAAGTGCATTTATACTAATTATTTTTAAAATATAGTATTGTAAGTAAAGTGTGTAAATGTTTGTGTGTTGTACTGTGCAGCCTCTCTGGGGGCCATCTTTGGCATGGCCACCTGTCTGAGCGCCCAGGCCCGAGGGACCCCGGATGACCCACTCAACTACTTTATTGGAGGCTGTGCCTCAGGAGCTTTCCTGGGGGCCCGCAGTGAGTGCACTTCATGTTCCACACACATAAGTGTTGCAGTGTTGCCTCGCATAAACATACTAGTTCTTATGTTTTACTTATCCTCCAGAGAACCTAATGTACTGTCTCACTCTGTGGTTTAGGCCTCTGCAGAAGTGTCAAAACATTATGTAATGATCATGTAAGCATTAAAGACATTGGCTTTCATATTCCAATATCTACCAGTAAAAAGGTTTGATTTAATCAAAATGGTCAGTTTCAAAATGTGCCATTCTGCACTGTGACCAGCAGAGGGTGACAGCACCTAAGTTTTCTGAGGGTAACAAAGTTTGTATGTACATTTGTAAATTGATATGTTCTTTGTATAAAATACTATGTCTCTTATCTTCAAAACTCTGAAAGGTACAATGACATTACCCTTATTCTTCCTCATCTTCCTCCTAATCCTAATGACATATATTCACTATAGTTTACTAAAGCAGCCCAGTGCACAGTGCATACACTGACCCTCCACTGTCCGACCCTCCACTGTCCAACCTTCCACTGTCCGCAAAGGCATGTGTGTGGCCTTGTATCCTTCATCAAGTCACAGGGTGGAAGGAGATATTATTACTGACAAAATTATTCTTAATTAGTAGTTTGGAAGATATCGAAAATATCCAGTTGTAACAATAAAAAAAAAAAATCAGCAAAACACAGTGTGCTGCTGTGTGCAGAAACTGGGAAATCCAAACATGGTTTCATTTTTGATTGTTTTTTCTCATCACTGAAAGTTAGATTAACAAAACATTTGAACTGTTCCTACAGCCCACAATCCCATGACAGGGACGTCGGCGTGCCTGGCTTTGGGCACTTTGGCATACTTCACTAAAGTGGGCAAACAAGAGGGCTGGAGATTGACCGGACCCCCGCGACTGTGAGGCGTACCCTGTAAAATAAATCTAATGTATCATAAAGTCTTTGTGTAATAAACCTGTAAAAAGAACAGTGTGAGTATGTGATGCTTTGAAGGACCAGTGTGTGGTGCTGTGTTCCCTCTGCACCTGTGATCTTTCAGCTTGTTCCTGTCGGCCTTCTCCTGTCAGCCTATGAACACTTTAATCCACTTAGTGTTTAATCCTGAGCTAGCTCCGCTGCTACAACACAAACCTCTCTTTAGTACACTCAGTTTCAGTGTTAAGTTTACTTGCCTTTACTCAAATGTATATAGGTACACTTCAGTGGCCTCTAATTTCAAGTAGTTAATGACATCACAAGAGTTTGCTATGATTAGAGCCAAGGATTTCTGAATAAATAACTAATATTTCATACAAGTAGAGTGACTATTGTAACCAATAGGGCTGTAATTATCCAAATGATTCTAGTGAACGTGTGTGAAGTTTAAAAAGACAGCGGAACACTTCCTGTATTACCACATGACATCACAAGGTGATAAAGAGTGGAGTGTTTCCATATGAGAGAAGAACACAAAATATGCAAGATTTATGTGTTAAACATCTGTGAATAAAACAAAACACAAGTCCAGGTCTGTTTTTGATGAGGAAAATAACAGATTAGAAAATTGGTTAATGTGGGCCCTTTAAACCTTACTCTTAAGTCAAAATGTAAAAAACACCTTTTACATACTTCATATTTTATTTCACAACCTATAAACAACAATGGATGCGAGCATATTATACACAGTTGGCTAAAAATGCTTGGACATAATAACTAGAACATATAAAAGAGCCACCTTTACATATGTTACAGTGAGACAGGTGCGGGTCAGACACAGGGCTAGTCCAGCAGTGACCGCTCACACAGATCCTACATTCACGACCATTTGGAAGACAACCAATTGATACTTTGCAATGACATTATGCTGGGGGTGTTCTACATGGATCTCTATGATGGAATGTTCAGCAGTTACTATGAAGACACACAGTTGTAAACACTGTCAAAATGTAAAGATTGTTTGAAAACACAATGAATTTGAAGAGCACATTTTCAGGAGTCTGGATTTCAACAAAAATGTTGAGTGAAAAACTGTTGCTGCGAGACGCTTAACAGTACAAATCACCAGTTCCATTTAAATCAGTTCTTTATAGTCAGATTATGTTAAAATAAAGTCTAATAGAGCTTCAGACAGGGCAGTGTCTACAGTTACCGTCACACCCCCGGGAATGTTGATAACGTCAGCTCCAAAGTATCAATAGAAAGAGAAAGCAACTGCACTCAACAAAAAGCATCAAATCCCAACGTCTAAGCTTTGTCCTGGAGTCCAAACGCCGGACTATCCATCTGTCAGCTAACCCTATGCTCCGGCTGCTGCTCTGGAGATCCACACAACTTGTTCTAAACACAACCAAAACCAGTTAGTACTAATGTAAATGCACAAAGCAGTGACAGCGAACTGAGGCCATGTCCCATTTCTGTTTACTCACCTCTTCACAGCCTCAGTACCACAGCTGTCTGTCATCCACTGAAGAAACAGGGGCAGAGGAGACTGGGTCATAGAAAAGGAGACCGGGTCATAGAGGAGAGACAGGGGAAGGGCAGAATACATTGTTTATGATAACTGAAGAAAGAAGGCTGTGAGGAGGCAAGTGAGCAGAAATGGGATGCACCCCAAATGTCAGATGAACGTGTCCATTTTGAGAAGGGGCCCAGGTGAAGTGGTGAACAGGTAGTCCATGTGCAGCTGCAGTCACACAGCTAAGACAGACTAAGCAGTGACACACAGGAATCATGAGGCGCTCCCCTGAGTTTAAACGGTCAAGAGTCCTGTGAGGGCCTGTGGCGCTCCTCGGCCAGGGGCCCTTGGCTGGGGGCCCGGTCACACGTAGAACAGGCGCACTCTCGAGGTGCTCACGTGGAGGTCGTCGTCAAAGAACTTGGTCTCAATTATGACATTCCCCCTAGAGGACAAACATCGCAATTAGACTCTGTGAAAGGCTATTCATTCCAGTCTGAGAGCACAGAGTTAAGAACACATTAGGATTAGATGGATGGATGGATAGATAGGGGCACCACACACACACACACACATGCGCACACGCACACACACAAAACTGGTCAAAAGTTTTATACCAGCCTAATTTTTCCAGTTATTTATTGCAATTCAAGCCGTCCAAGTCCAATGAAGAGATTGAAATGGTACAAAGGTAAGAACTGAACAGTCAGAAGTTAAATAAAAAAGATAAAAGATACAAAACACAAGTCCAAGCTCTGCCAAAGGGTCATTCAATGCCAAATCTCCGAATGCCCCCACCCGACCATCTCAGATTTGACTGAAAAAATTCTAGGAGGTTCACACATTTTCCAGTAGGAAAAATATTTTGTCAACCCCCCCTGACCTGTTCTGAGGAGAGTTTTCCGAGGAGCCACTTTCAGATTGCTGTATCTAAAAAAAAACTATTTAAGGTAGGTCCTTCAAATTTTCAAGGGTTAAAATCTGGCAAATGTACTTGTACAATCTGAACTTTCACACATGTGCTTTTGATTTATCACAGATTTCTGGGGGCTTGAATTTGGTTGAAAATTCTACTCTTCAAATCCAAGGGCATCTTTGAAAGACTGTGGAAACTGAAATTTCAAAGACAGAGGTTTGATATTGAACATTCACCTTCCCACACATGCTGTGTACTTTGTATTTTAAAACTGACCCTCTGTGATGAAAGCTCTACAAGATATTAAGTGTTCAAAATGGAAAAAATTAATTAAGTGCCATCTTTACCATGTTATACCAAAAAAAATGACAGCATAAACAACATAACATAAAACAACATAAAATGGACTATTATAGAAAGAAGTCTGTTTTTAACATATCCAAAACTTGTCATGGTGTTCTGCCTTATTTTTGCAAAATGAATTTTTGAAAATGTGGTGTCCACATACATGCAGAGCATTCATGGACTATGAAGACACTTTCAGAAGCAAAGAAAACACTCTGAATATCTGACACACAGCTTAAACTCATTTCATTTTTAATAAACTATATTTGAAGTATAACTTATATGTAGTCTTTAGATATAGAAATAAAAACATGTGCGGTGGGTTAAAGTCAGTCATCAGTAATGTGCATGTTGTTTGCAGTGAGATGTTCTGAGTGTGCTGTTACTGTGTCAAAATCAAACTAAAGATGACATGAGCATGTGAAGTCCATGGCTGACAAGCTGGAAAGTAGATTTGCAAATGCACTGGCAGTGCCAGGTACCAGAGATAATCACTGTTTCAAGTCAATTCAACATCATCTGGGGTCAGCAGTGTGTCTGGAACTGCTGGATTTTTAGTCTATTATGAGACAAAACATGCAGAAGAAGAGGTTTCACAGGGCTTCCAAATCAGTGACATGATACCTGGCCAACATGTAACCTGTGTGTACAACCATCACTGGTGGGTGGAAAACATCACAGAGACATCTGAAACCCAGCAAGATGTTCAGACATAATTCATACATCCACACAACCCAGCAAAAAGTTTCTCTTGGCCCAGAAGAAAAGACTAGTGCTGGATACGTTTACAACACATCATTTCTAAAATAGATGTTCCAGCACTCCAACAAGGTGCCCAAGGTGCTTTAAACAATTCAGGAGTGTTACACCAAAACATCTGAAAGTTTTCTCAAAGAATTGAGATAATTTACAATAGTTGAGTAATCAAATCAAGCATTTTGTTGAGTTTAAGCTGTGTGTCAAATATTCAGAGTGTTTTCTTTGCTTCTGAAAGTGTCTTCATAGTCCATGAATGCTCTGCATGTATGTGGACACCACATTTTCAAAAATTCATTTTGCAAAAATAAGGCAGAACACCATCACAAATTTTGGATGTGTTAAAAACAGACATCTAGTCTTTCTATAACAGTCCATTTTATGTTGGTGGGTGCTGTCATTTTTTTGGTATAACATAGTAAAGATGGCACCAAATTTATTTTTTCCATTTTGAACACTTAATATCTTGTAGAGCTTTCATCACATAGGGTCAGTTTTAAAAATACAAAGTACACAGCATGTGTGGGAAGGTGAATGTTCAATATCAAACCTCTGTCTTTGAAATTGCACTTTCCACAGTCCTTCAAAGATGCCCTTGGATTTGAAGAGTAGAATTTTCAAGCAAATTCAAGCCTCCAGAAATCTGTGATAAATCAAAAGCACATGTGTGAAAGTCCAGATTCTACAAGTACATTTGCCAATTTTAACCGTTGAAAGTTTGAAGGCCCTACCTTAAATAGTGTTTTAGATATGGAAATCTGAAAGTGGCTCCTTGGAAAACTCTCCTCAGAACAGGTAAGGGCAGAGTTGACAAAATATTTTTAATGATAAAACTATAAGGAGTTGGGAGCTAAAATTTGGGACTTTTCCTATTGGAAAGTGTGTGAACCTCCTAGAATTTTTTCAGTCAAGTCTGAGATGGTCGGGTGGGGGAATTTGGAGATTTGGCGTGGAACGAGACCAAAGCTACCTCAAGAAAAAAGAACAAGATGATGAGCATGAAAACATGGAGTGTCCAGCACAGTGTCCAGACTTAAACTCCATGGAGCTGGTTTGGGATGAACTGGACAGAAGAGTGAAGCAACCTACAAGTGCCACACATTTATGGAACTTCTGCAACAGACTTGGGAAGAACTTTTTGAAGAATGTTTGATTTCTATTGTAAAAAGAACAAGCCACGAGTGTGTTCAGCTGTTCTATCTGCCAAAGGTGACACTTTCTTCAATCACAAGTTCAGAATACGTTTTGGTCGACAGTAAACAGTAAAAACTGAAAAAAGTGTGGTGTTCTAAAACTTTTGACTGGTAGTAAAGAGAGAGAGAGAAAGAGAAAGAGTTTCAGATTAAATTATGTTTCGATAAATAAATTCTTGGAATAAAAGAACATACTATATAATATGTAGACTATCATTTAATAATAATATAATAATCTAATATAATAATATGTAGACTATCATTTCCAGTGTGAAGATGCTCCACTATAGTTCTCTTGGCTGCAGAATCTGAAGGGTTTGTGTGTTCTGTGATCTTTATTGGGCCCATAGCCGTTAATCTTCATAACATATGACACACTTCCACAATAATCATGGTAAGAAACATACCTCTCCAGTTAGCAGCACCTCTATTACTTTTATCTGCCCCTTTTATAGGCACATTTTGGCTCCTACAATTTGATTTCATAAATATGTTGATATAATGTAGTCTAGTAATAATTCTTAGTGTGTGATTTTCACCATTACCCCAACAGTACAGTCTGACACAGCAGCCTCCATAGCTGCAGGTAATAAATACACTGTGTAATGTAGGGTTGTCAAAAGAAAATCAAATACTAATCAATAAACTAAAAGTAATATCAAAACTAGATACTCATTTTCATAAAGTTTAATGGATTGATTTGAGCAGGTATCAGTACTAAAAAAGTGACATTCACAGGACAGAAATGAACCAAGTTTCAGAATGATCTTGAGCCATATTAGAACATGTAAAAAATCTCATACCGTGAAGGAAGTACTATTATTTTCCTTAGTATCAAAATGGAGTTTGCTATTTTAGTATTGTGACAACACTAGTACGAGCATCTCCATGGCCCTTCTGTGAGGTGTTACTGCTCAGGTGAAAGATCTAGACAGGACTCACGTTAAAACATTAGCGGGCATCATCTGTGACTCGGGCGCCGCCTCGATCAATGACTGCCATGTGTTGGTGGAGTTTGGAATGACAAAGCCAAACTCGAAGAACCATTCTGTGAGACAAAGGGGTGATGGGTAAGGTCAAAGAGGAGGGCGAGCAGCTTATCACTGAACACAGGCCTGTACAACACAAACTCATCCAACTGCTCAAACAAAGGTTCCTGAATTTACAATGGTTAGTGCTAAATAGTCTGCTATGGAGGGATGGAAGTGATCACGCAGCTCTGGTTGCTATGGTAACATGTCAACTTCTGTTGCAATGAACAGGCTTAACATGCCTATTTTGGACCATTTTAAGTTTTATATTATGGTGTAAATTGAGATGAGGCTTTAAAGTGACAGATTTTAAAGTTACTTCTGCAACATGTTAACTACCCCAAAACATTTCCCTAAGCTTAACCTAAAACCTAACCTTAACCTAAACCAGGGGTGGGCAAACTACAATCCGGGGGCTATGTGTGGCCCTGTAATCTTTTTAATCCAGCACGCTAAACATGAATAATAGTAATAATAATAATAATTTTCAGTGTCATTTCAATAAATAGTAAATACTGTGGGACTTGAAAGACAGATATTTTGTTGTAATGCTTTGTAATGTTTTTCAATTATGGGACATTTCAAAAACCTGGTATATGTTTTCTATATATCCCATGTTATTTTTTTCTCTTATGGGGTGGGTTAGCAAAAACTCCATCCATCTGCTCCTGGTCCGGCCCTTCCATCAAATTTTAGAACCCTTTGTGGCATACAAGTCAAAATGTTTGCCCACCCCTGACCTAAACCCTCACCTTAACCTAAACCCTAATCTTAATCTAAACCCTTAACCCCAACCTTCGGGGAGGGGCCGATGGGATAGCCCCCCCATGTGGACACCTGTTGTGGACAGGACCGCAGCACTGACCTTCTAGACACTGTCCTTTAAAGAAGACCTTCTGCTCCAGCCTGAATTTCTCCAGTTTCTCGGAGGAGGAGAAGTTGAGTTCTCGGGACACGGCTTTGCACTTGAGGATCTTCTTGGGCACTCGAGCTGAAAACACACACAGTTATGAGAAAAACTGTCTGAGGCCACTAAACCAACACACACAGTCAGTCTGCAGGACTAATCGCTGTCAAGTTACAATATACCATTTGAAATTAGCACATGTCAAAAGGTAGCCATTTATCCATGTTAATATAACCCAAGAGTCCTGTCTCTTTGGTCTTATTGCTGTGATATTACAACATTCTAGGCCAATAAAATGTAATAAAGATGGGGGCAGTTAAAATTATTACTGTTCAAATTAAATTTTTTGATATAATACAGTGAGTTTTTAGGTCTAGTCAGTAATGGACTAGACCTAAAAATCAGGTTCAATATTTGTGAATTCACCTTTTTTGGATATTTCATGATTAAGTACAATGTGTTCAATAGAGAAAACTGTTTCTTGCCCCCAGTCTGGCAGTATGACATCACCACTTTCCAGAATCTGAAAACCACCAATTTTGTAGAAAATCTTGTTCCTAAACTTGTTTTGCAAAACTTTTCCAGGACATTTTATTGTAGATAACAGAATTGCGGCCTCTACATTTGCATTACCCGCTGCCAACAGTTTTGAAAATAAGATGTCTGTAGCTCTACTTAAACAAATAAGTATCAAAAATCAGATTACTAATCAATACTAGTATCGAAACTAGATACTCATTTCAGCAGGTATTGATACTAAAAATGTCCCATTCACAGGACAGAAATGAACTTTTTCTGAATGTCTTTAGAATGATGTTGAGCTGTATCAGAACAAGTAGAAGAGCACATAGACTAGTATACACACATGGACCACATGGTAATATAAAAGAAAGTACTACTATTTAATGATGAAAATCACATTCTGTAAAAATCACATTCTAAAGAAAGATCGTGACAACACTAATTAATATCTCCATAGAGGTTCTGCAGGGTGATATATGCAGGTAATCTGGTTTTATATAAAAATATGCACAAATTAAAATTAGGGATATACCGATACTGAAAAATTTGGTGGAGCAGGTATCCGTTCTATGATATTGGTTAGGCCTGACAGAGTCTTTAATTTGTCTTTAATAAGTGATAAAACCATTTACAGGGTGATTGTTTGAATCCATATGGAAATATTTAGTAGTCATTTGAAGGATAATTAACAGTTACAGAACACAGTTGTCTCTCTTGCATTATAAGTTAACTGAGTAAGATGGAAATAAGTGTCTTTTTCCATCCCTATTGGTTAAAAAGTTCAAGTATCAATATAGGTATCAGAACTGAAAAAGCTGGCTCAGTGCTTCTCTAGTTAAAATGCTTTGCAAAGCCTGGCTTTGGCTGAGATGACACTAGTAACTGCATGTGATAATGATTTTACTGGACATCCAAAAACACATCACATTTAGGCCGACTGTCAGCAGAGCATTGGGTGGAGCATACAGTTTATGGGGTGGAGACATATTTTTAAGGACAATTATTTTCTCCATGACATATGGAAAAGTTTCAAATTTTCTAGCACATTATTTCTCAGGTTTTTCCATGTGACTAAAATGTCAAATTGACACCACAATGATAATAAAATACAGTCTTTCTTTCAACAATAGAACGTGATTTTTAACATTAAATGGTCGCATTTTCTTTTCTATTCCCATGTGGCTTTATGTGTAATCCCTCAGTGGTCCAGTAGGTTCATAGTGGTCCATGTGTGTATACTAGTCTATGTGCTCTTCTGCTTGTTCTGGTGCAGCTCAACATCATTCTAAAGACATTCAGGAAAGGTTCATTTCTGTCCTGAGAATGGGACTTTAGTACAGATACCTGCTCAAATGATTATCTAGTTCTGATATTAGTTTCTAGTATACTAGTATACTAGTTATTATCTCGTATTCGATACTTTTGACAGACCTGTGCATGGTACATGGGATTTTTTAATTTCTTCTATCAAACCTAATGCTTTTGGGTAGAGTCTTGATTATTTGTTTACACTGCAGTATTGCCACTAATCCTTGTCCACCATGCTTGATTCCTAATGCAGAGAGAAATGTAGGTACCGTTGGACTGACTCTAGTAGTAGTAGTAGTAATAGTAGTAGTAGCAGTAGCAGTAGTATTATTACCTTCATGCTCCACCCCGGGCACAGACAGGTCCTCAGTCCCTTGCCACAGCACTTTGCCAGTCTCCGCATCTCGCAGGTTCATCCAGTTTCTGAAGCACCACAGTTAAGTCTCAAAGCACAGAGTGAAAACCAGCTCAACACAAACCACCAAAACCTCACAGCAGCACGGCCCGCCAGTGCTCCTCAGCTCTACAGAGTATTCCTCACCACTACAGAGTGCCTCTCACCATTAGAGAGTGGTCCTCACAGAGTGCCCCTCACTATTACAAAGTGTGTCTCATCATTACAGAGTGTTCCTCACCATTAAAGAGTACTTCTCACAATAGACCAGGCCACAATGGTATTCAAGGTGGAAAACACAAGTCTTCTCTTAACTGCCATTAAATTTTAATCAGACATTTACGAGTCCTTAAAAGGGCATAAAATGCTTCAAGGTCAGTATTATTACATTATTATATGCTATTATTATTATGCTCGGTGGGTAGTCCTTAGTTATACTCAATTACATTTACTTGAGTTTCTAGCAGCATATTTCTATTTGAGTAATATTTTTATTGAAGTAACAGCAAAAGTAACTTGACTAAAATTTGTGGTTCCTCTCCCCACTATGAGTAAGTCTAAAGTGACAAAAGATTTATGTGGCAATCTGAAATGATTTGGAACATTTGATGGAACTTTTGTGTCTCTTGCAGCGCTCCTTCAGATATGATTTATATCTCTCTTTTGAAAACACCAGATTTTGTGCATCATTTATTGTTTTGCCCTTCACATTACATTCACTTCAAATTAGAAATCTGTTACATTAGAGTAAGTTACTCTTGAGTCATTTCTTGGACCACCACTTTATCTTACTTGAGTAAAATTTTTGGCTCCTCTACCCCCTCTGTATATGCTAAAGCCTTATTAAATAATTGATGCATAATTATTTTGTCATATTTTCAAAGTAAATTAGACACATAAGGTTACCAGATTCTGCCCAATGATTTGGCCCGGTGCAGACTGTGACTTTGGGGTCAGGGAACAGAGGCAGGGGGCAGAGCTGTCACCGTCAGATCTACTTCATGTCACCCACACGTGGCTCCACTCCAGTCTGTCTAAACATGAGAGGCAGAGAGCGGGATGCCGTCAGGAACAGCAGGCACGGCACCGGAGCACAGGGGACCATCCCCCACGAGTAGACGCTCACAGGAAGGGAGCCGGGAGCCGTCCTAATCCTGGCGTCCGTGTGCAGCGTGAAGACTGTGTACAGTGGAACAATGGAACACTTGTGTTGTACTAAACCTCCAGGGTGGATACAGGAGCCAGTGTGCGCCGTAATGAGCCCCAGGTGAGGCAGAAGACACTCTAACACACCCTAATGTCCCCTGTCGGAGCCTGTCGGAGCCGTGCACCTGTCACAGCCACGGCCCGAGAAACAGCAGATCATGAAGCGACTTATCCGCTCCTCTAACGTCCTAATGCCGCATGCATTCTGGACAAGTCCCTGCAAACAGACCCTGGCTCTGTGAGGCAGGCTCAGCATCTCTGTCCCGTGCACACGCACACATACACGCACACATCACGCACACATACATACACACATGCACGCTCCAGAGAGATGTGTGCGCACAAAACACAACACACACCAACCAAAGCATTAGCCGCTAGCGGGACTACGGAGGACTACATGAGCTAAGAGCTAATACAAAACTCACATAAAAGGACATTTGTAGCGTTAGCACTAATGCTAGGCCGATAGCTAACCTGAGGACCCCCGACAGTCGCGGCTCCATCAGCCGCGGGGAGGCGCAGCAAACCCGGGGACACACAGGGAGAGAGCCGCGGAAAGGATACAGTTTGAAGCCTTTCAGTATCTCCTTGGCCCTGTCTTCGTCTGAAGACATCTTCAAAACTATCTGGAAACAATAGTCTTAACAATTGCTACCTAAATAACGACGAGAAAAGCATAAAATACGCGTACTTTCCTCGTTTTTGCGTTAGTGCTAGGTAGAAGCTGATCCGATAATGCAATGAGCTAAATATACCCCGAAGTCAGAGCTAGCCTAGCCGCCTTTGAGTGGCCTGTCCCGTCCCTCTGCGGACCAATCACAGCGCGCAGCTCGGGCCCGGAGGCGGGACTTATAAGGCAGAAGAGACGCGTCACCAAGGCAACGGCCGCTGCGCGCGGCCCTGATCACGGCCTGATTCCTGCTCTGCTCCAGGACCAGGACCAGGTCCCAGTGACTCCCGTCACCCTGCGTCCAACACCCGGGACCACAGGGGCCAAAAGAGACACATGAACACTATAGCTATAGCCATAGCACAAGATAGCTGGGCACATACATAAATGGACACATTGCTGGGCATACAGCTGGGCAGGCTCCCACAGAAGTGCACTTCTCTTGGCGCTGCAATGGTGATAACACCTAGTTCAATATATGTTTTAAATGTCACTTGCAGGCCTAAAAACAAACTGAAAACAACGTTTTTATTTTATTTTAATTACTATTATTTAAATCAAAGTTAAAACAAGCACTGGCCTGTGCTTATTAGGGTACTAGTTATTGTAGCCTCTTGTGTGGGGACATAATTACGTCACAACATTACACTTGGTTCTTGCATTTAGCCCCTGGCAGAGGAGCCTGCTTAACTCAATACAGTATATACACTCCTTATTTATTTATTTATTTATTTGTATAGCACGTTCAAGCTCTGGCCTGTACAGTCACTAGAGGGCGCAATTGTAGAGCAAACAGCAGACTCAGCGGGTCTGAGGGTAACAGGCTACCTACAGGTTATGTCACTTTTATTAGTGTGATTATAGTAGATTTTTTTTTTATTAAACCTGTAATTTTTACAATTCTTTAAACTATTGTGGTTTCATTTATTTCACCTTAAATATAGCTTGTAATGTAATGCAATTTTAATTAAGTAATTGCAATTTTTATTAAACCCTGATGAAGACCAGTTAAGGTCGAAACATGTTGGCTTTGGCCATTTAAATAAAGGCCTTTTACTATATTTTTACTTGTGCATTTTTTTTTACTCTTTTTACTTCTTTGGAGTGCCCGGAGTCCTGTTGTGTTTGATAGCTTGTAATGTGCTGTGCTGGTTCCATAAGTTTCTCATGCTTAATGGTAATAATACTTCTGTAGTCACAGCTGCCATGGGGCGAGGCCACCATCGATCACTTATACACCACATTCTCCACACCACAAGTGTCATGCCCTTGATACACAAGAATAGCAAACAGTACTAGATGACATTTTTTCACAGACAGACAGACAGATCAGTATATCAGCTTATTAAGTATAAAAAGCCCTTCAGATTGGGGAACAGTGTGCATGTGCTCCATACATATTATTATTAAAGTGTAGTCTAAGAGCTGCTCAGGCGAAGTACCCCCACAAGAAGATGTTGACTGTGAGTAGCAACAGAGCATTGATGTTACACACATGTCTCCACAATGGCTCCTCCTGCAGGGACACCAAGGGGCTGCAGTCAGGGTCCACAGAAGAGCTGCTTTGCCCAGTCAGACCACACATCCACAGGAGGGCCCTGTAGCACCAGCCCCTGGGGGCCTGGGAATCTGAACTGGAGGCCTGGGGACTCTCTGACCCAGAGGTCACACCTGGAAGCTCCACGCGGGGCTCCTGACTGTGTCTAGACCACCAGGTCAACCGGTGCAGCTGCGGCATAACACCACACATGTATTAGATATGTCTAACAGTGACAGCATTACCAGAGAGGTGTGTTTATCTACGCTCTCTTTTAGACTGCACAATGGTGATTTCACATCTCATTTTTGAAAAGAGCAGAATCTTTTTCTATGTAATTATTATACATTTTACACTAACTAATGCTGTACCAACACAAGAATCAGCACAGAAGCAGAGCATTGACACAAGTGAGAGCTTTGTGTACTCTGAGGTCTCTTACACTGTGAGGAGGGATGGGCTCTGTGGCCAGGCTGACAGCGCAGATGAGGAGCGTGCTCAGAGCGAACAGAAGCATGCTGAAGTACAGGTAATGCACCTGTGCCAGGACAGAGGGTCTTAGGTCAGGCTGCCCACATGACGGAGCAGAGTATGAGAACTCCAGGGCCATCCGTATACCACCGACGATAAGTCCGCCCATCAGTCCCCAGAACGCCCCCTACACACACACACACACACACACACACACACACACGCACACACACACATACACATACACACATACACATACACATACACATACACATACACATACACATACACAGATACACATACAGCACAATATGTCAGGTTTAAGGTTGTCAAAAGTAATGAAAATCAGAAACCGATTGTTACTGAAACTGGTATAGATACTATAGGTACTCATGTGAGCAGGACTCAGGACAGAAATTAACCTTTTCCTGAATGTCTTTAGAATGATGTTGAGCTGTAGTAGAAGAGCACATACACACATGGACACTATGAACCTACTGCACCACTGAGGGATTACACACATATAAGACACATGGAAATAGAAAAGAAAGTACTTCCATTTAATGTTGAACATCACATTATATTATCTAAAGAAAGAGATAAAGTCAAAATCTGTACTGAGTATAGAGTCTATTCCTTAGTATCGAAATCGATATTGATCGCCTCTTCAAACAAGAACACAGTCACCACACTGTGTGCGTGTGTGTGTGTGTTTCTGGTTCCTACCTGCTCATTGGTCCGTGACCAGAAAATAGCCAGTAGGAAAACAGCTGTAATAGGCGGGGCTAAAAAACTGGTCACTGATTGGATGTAATCAAAGAGTTGTCCACTGTTAGCTGTTTGAATGACTGGAATCCACAGCAGACTGATGCAGACAAGGAAGAGGATGAAGAGCCTGAAGCACAGAGTTCACAGACACAACACACACAGGTCATACACAGATCACACACAGGTAACACACAGATCATACACAGGTCATACACAGGTCACACACAGGTCATACACAGATCGCACACAGATCACACACAGATCACACATAGATCACACACAGATCACACATAGATCACACATAGATCACACACAGATCACACACAGATCACACACAGATCACATACAGATCACACACAGATCACACACAGATCACATACAGATCACACACAGATCACATACAGGTCACACACAGATCACATACAGGTCACACACAGATCACACACAGGTCACACACAGATCACACACAGGTCACACACAGGTCACACACAGATTACACACAGATCACACACAGATCACACACAGATCACACACAGATCACACACAGATCACACACAGATCACACACAGATCACATACAGGTCACACACAGGTAACACAGAGATCCCACACAGATTACACAGGTCACACACAGGTCACACACAGATCACACACAGATCACACACAGGTCACACACAGATCACACACAGATCACACGCAAGTCACACACAGATCACACCCAGTCACACACAGATCACACACAGATCACACACAGATCACACCCAGTCACACACAGATCACACACAGGTCACACACAGATCACACACAGATCACACACAGGTAACACAGAGATCCCACACAGATTACACAGGTCACACACAGGTCACACATAGATCACACAGGTCACACACAGCTCACACACAGGTCACACACAGAACACACACAGGTCACACACAGACCACACACAGGTCACACCCAGTCACACATAGATCATACATACGCAGGTCACACCCAGGTCACACGTAGGTAACACGCAGCAGCTTCTGAGGAGGTTCCATGTACTGGGGTGCGTGTATTTACAAAATGACATTGTGGTTAGTTTGTTGAAGTCCATATGACAGGTTTAATTCATATGGACTTCAACTATTCTTACTATTCTTATTAGGCTTTCTACTTCTCCCAATTTTAAAATGCTCTCTTCCAACTTGTGATGTCATATAGTGGTAGTTTTCAAGTTAACAGCTCCTTTTACCTTTAGTTTCAGAAGGGACTGGCTGAAATTATCCAAATCAGACATGTCAGACTCAGGCCCAAGGGCCAAATTTGGCCCGTGATATAATTATATTTGGCCCGTGAGATCATATCAAATATGTATCAGAGCTGCCCCTCCGGTTACAGACAGACTATAGAGACATTATTTATTTAAAATGTTGTTATTATTTTATATTATGCTTGATCTGGATTCAATGTTTAAGCAAAACTATTATTAAACATTTATTTTAATAAGAAAAGGTTGAACTTTACATATCTCGAAGTAAGAGAAAACAAGCTAATTTTTTCAAAAATATTTAGTTTGGCCCACAGCTAAGTCCCAGTTTTTAATTTTGGCCCTCTGTGAATTTGAGTTTGACACCCCTGATCTAAATGATTCTAGTGAAGGTTTATGGAATTTAAAACCACAGTAGAGCATTTCCTGTATTATCATGACAACACAAGGTGGAACAGAGAGTATTTTTAGTTTGAGAGAAGAAGCGTAAATCTGCAGGGTTTGTGTGTTAAACATGTTTGAATGAAACAAAACACAATTCCAGTTTTCATGTTTTTCTAATTACGACTAATTAGAAAAACATGAAAACCTGATGCACACTTGTTGTTAATGTAATTTAGTCCCAGCGTGTTCACTGTGCTCATTAGTAAACGGGTGCTCCCTGTGAAATGGCAAATGTAAATTTTAGAGAAGGCGTGCACCTGCCCACCACCATGAGCTCCCTCTCGCTGGCGGCAGGGCGGAGCCTCTGGTACAGGTCCAGGGTGAACAGGGTGGAGCTGCTGTTAAAGATGGAGGTGAGGGATGACATGAGGGCCGCCAGCATCACTGCTAACATGAGGCCGCGCAGACCTGCAAGAGCAAAGAGCGCCTCAGCCCATCAGTGAGAGGGACTGCACAACAGCCAATCAGAGATCAGGGGAGAGCACAACAACCAATCAGAGATCAGGGGAGAGCACAACAACCAATCAGAGATCAGGGGAGAGCACAACAGTCAATCAGAGATCAGGGGAGACCACAACAGCCAATCAGAGAGAGGAGGAGAGCACAGCAGCCAATCAGAGACCAATGGGACAGCACGACAGCCAATCAGAGACCAGGGGGATAGTACTATAGCCAATCAGAGACCAAGGGGACAGCACAACAGCCAACCAGAGACCAGGGGGACAGCACAACAGCCAACCAGAGACCAGGGGGACAGCACAACAGCCAATCAGAGACCAGAGGGACAGCACAACAGCCAATCAGAGACCAGGGGGACACCACAACAGCCAATCAAAGACCAGAGGGACAGCACAAAAGCCAATCAGAGACAAGGGGGAGAGCACAACAGCCAGTCAGAGAGAGAGGGAGAGAGGAGCAGCCAATCAGAGAAAGGGAGAAAACAACATCCAATCAGAGAGAAGTTAGAAAAGAACAGCCAATCAGAGAGAGAGGGCGAAAAGAACAGTCAATTAAAATGAGAGGGACATTACAGCAGCGAATCAGAGAGAGTGAACCAGTCAGTCTAACGTGGATACAGATACAGATACAGATACACATACACATACAGATACACATACACATACAGATACACATACACATACACATACACATACAGACCTGAAGGCATGAGCTCCACTACCAGTTTGGGGTAAGCGAGGTTGGAACAGCCCACTGCCGTCCCACACACCTTCTGACACAGCTCTGGGACCACGCACGCCACCTCATCTAGAACAACACACAGTCCTCAGCACTCTCAGCCAATCAGAGCAAGAGGGAGAACACAGCAGCCAATCAGAGAGAGGGACATGTCTAATGCCTCATCAGAATCACACACAGGTCTAAGCCTGTATTTCACTAAAAGGATCAGTGATGGACACAAGATATGTTTTAGGTTCTCTAAAAAGTGCTACTATTTATGCAGATAATGCATGTAATTATAAAGATATAAAGAGAATCATTACTTTAATAATTACTTTTACATACGAATACCAAAGAAATTGCATATCCTCAGCTAACTCATTCACCTGTCCTTTCTGCTGTATTCCATTTCAATCCCGATCATCTAAATAAAATGATTTGTTCAAGAGCACATTGTGTACATGTAACCTTTCTTCTATCACAATAACAAGCACACACACAGTTGGTACAGAGGAGGAGTGCTCAGACCTGGGTACAGGGCACGGCTGATCATCCCGGGCATCACGACGAAGAACATGGGCAGCAGTTTGAGGTAGGCCCCCAGCACACTACCCCCTTTGGCATGGGACAGGGACTTGGCCGACAGGGACCTCTGCACTATCACCTGCAAACACACACACACACGTACACACACACGAGTGAGATTAAAGTGGAACTAACTCTAACGCTTTGAATGCTTAATATTGGAATTTTTCAAAAGGTCTATGTGAATGGAAAAAGTACTTAATACATAGAAATTGCTTTTAGAAATATGAAACAAATAGATATTAACAGTACAATTCTTTCAAAATAAGCAAATCAAGAAAATAAAAGGAAAACAACAGAAAAGATATGATTCATAAGAGGAGTAGAGAATGTCCTATTTTAGTTTGTGGAGGAAATTGCTGTTGAAGTATTTTATAGTCTGTATGCTTTTCTATTTATTATATTTCAAATAGTTTCTATATAAATGTTTAGATCAATTAAGAAAAGATTTGTGCATATGGAATGTTCCCTTTCGAATGATTAGGTTGGTGATCTGGTTTAGGTCATTATTGTTGAGTCGTGAGTGTGTTATTATGTCCTTAATGGATAAATGAATATTGCAACCATAATTATAAGAGAGGAATTCCATCCATCCATCCATTTTCGTCCGCTTATCCGGAGCCGGGTCGCGGGGGGAGCAGCCTAAGCAGGGACTCCCAGACTTCCTTCACCCCAGACATGTCCTCCAGCTCCTCCGGGGGGACCCCGAGGCGTTCCCAGGCCAGCCGAGAGACATAGTCCCTCCAGCGTGTCCTGGGTCTTCCCCGGGGCCTCCTCCCGGCGGGACATGCCCGGAAGACCTCCCGAGGGAGGCGCCCAGGAGGCATCCGGAACAGATGCCCGAGCCACCTCAACTGGCTCCTCTCGACGTGGAGGAGCAGCGGCTCTACTCCGAGCTCCTCCCGTGTGACTGAGCTCCTCACCCTATCTCTAAGGGAGCGCCCAGTCACCCTGCGGAGGAAACTCATTTCGAGCGCTTGTATCCGCGATCTCGTCCTTTCGGTCACTACCCAGAGCTCATGACCATAGGTGAGAGTAGGAACGAAGACTGACCGGTAAATCGAGAGCTTCGCCTTTCGACTCAGCTCCCTCTTCACCACAACGGTCTGATACAGCGACCGCATCACTGCCGAAGCTGCACCGATCCGCCTGTCAATCTCACGTTCCGTCCTTCCCTCACTCGTGAACAAGACCCCGAGATACTTGAACTCCTCCACTTGAGGCAAAGACTCCCCACCCACCCGGAGAGGGCAAGCCACCTTTTTCCGGTCGAGAACCATGGCCTCGGACTTGGAAGAGCTGATCTTCATCCCAGCCGCTTCACACTCGGCTGCAAACCGCCCCAGTGCACATTGCAGGTCCTGGCTCGATGAAGCCAACAGAACAACATCGTCCGCAACAGCAGAGATGAAATCCTACGGTCCCCAAACCGGACCCCCTCCGGCCCCTGACTGCGCCTAGAAATTCTGTCCATAAATACAATGAACAGAACCGGTGACAAAGGGCAGCCCTGGCGGAGTCCAACATGCACCGGGAACAGGTCTGACTTACTGCCGGCAATGCGAACACAGCTCCTGCTCCGGTCATACAGGGACCGGACAGCCCTTAGCAAAGGGCCCCGGACCCCATACTCCCAGAGCACCCCCCCACAGGACACCACGAGGGACACGGTCGAATGCCTTCTCCAGATCCACAAAACACATGTGGACTGGTTGGGCAAATGCCCATGAACCCTCGAGCACCCGATGGAGAGTGTAGAGCTGGTCCAGTGTTCCACGGCCAGGACGAAAACCACACTGCTCCTCCTGAATCCGAGGTTCGACTATCGGCCGGATTCTCCTCTCCAGTACCCTGGCATAGACCTTACCGGGAAGGCTGAGAAGTGTGATCCCCCTATAGTTGGAACACACCCTCCGGTCCCCCTTCTTATACAGAGGGACCACCACCCCGGTTTGCCAGTCCAGAGGTACTGTCCCCGACCGCCACGCGATGTTGAAGAGGCGTGTCAACCAAGACAGCCCCACAACATCCAGAGACTTCAGGTTAGGGTTAGGGTTAGGATCTCACGGATCTCATCCAACCCCGGAGCCTTGCCACCAAGGAGCTTGCCAACCACCTCAGTGACTTCGGCCAGGGTGATGGATGAGTCCGCCTCCGAGTCCCCAGCCTCGGCCTCCTCGGAGGAGGACGTGACGGTGGGATTGAGGAGATCCTCAAAGTATTCCTTCCACCGCCGGACAACGTCCCCAGTCGAGGTCAGCAGCTCTCCCCCCGCACTGTAAACAGTGTTGGTGAAGAACTGCTTTCCTCTCCTGAGGCGCCGGACGGTTTGCCAGAATCTCTTTGAGGCCGTCCGATAGTCCTTCTCCATGGCCTCCCCGAACTCCTCCCAGCTCCGAGTTTTTGCCTCCGCTACCACACGGGCTGCAGCACGCTTGGCCCGCCGGTACCCGTCAGCTGCCTCAGGAGTCCCCCGAGCCAGCAAGGCCCGATAGGACTCCTTCTTCAGCTTGACAGCATCCCTTACTTCCGGTGTCCACCACCGGGTTCGGGGATTGCTGCCGCGACAGGCACCACAGACCTTACGCCCACAGCTCCGAGCGGCCGCATCGACAATGGAGGCCGAGAATGAAGCCCACTCGGACTCCATATCTCCGGCCTCCCCCGGAGGTGCGAGTTGAAGGTCCCTCTGACAGAGGGCTCCGCCAGACGTTCCCAACAGACCCTCACTACACGCTTGGGCCTGCCAGGTCCCTCCGGCTTCCTCCTCCGCCAGCGAACCCAACTCACAACCAGGTGGTGATCAGTTGACAGCTCAGCCCCTCTCTTCACCCGAGTGTCCAAGACACGCGGCCGGAGATCAGATGACACGACGACAAAGTCGATCATCGACCTCCGGCCTAGGGTGTCCTGTCCTGGTGCCACGTGCACTTATGGACACCCTTGTGCTCGAACATGGTGTTCGTTATGGACAAACTGTGACTAGCACAGAAGTCCAATAACAAAACACCACTCGGGTTCAGATCGGGGAGGCCGTTCCTCCCAATCACCCCTCTCCAAGTGTCACTGTCGTTGCCCACGTGGGCGTTGAAGTCCCCCAGGAGAACAACGGAGTCCCCGGTCGGTGCACTGTCTAGTACCCCTCCCAAGGACTCCAAGAAGGCCGGGTACTCTGCACTGCTGTTCGGCCCGTAGGCCGACACCACAGTGAGAGACCTGTCCCCGACCCGAAGGCGCAGGGACGCGACCCTCTCGTTCACCGGGGTGAACTCCAACTGAGCTGTGGGGCAATGAGCAGGCCCACACCAGCCCGCCGCCGCTCCCCATGGCCAACGCCAGAGAAATGGAGAGTCCAGCCCCTCTCAAGGAGTTGGGTTCCAGAGCCCAAACTGTGCGTGGAGGTGAGGCCGACTATATCTAGTCGGTAACGCTCAACCTCCCGCACAAGCTCAGGCTCCTTTCCCCCCAGTGAGGTGACATTCCATGTCCCCAGAGCTAGTCTCCATGTCCGGAGATCTGGTCGCCGAGGCCCCCGCCGTCGACTGCCGCCCAGATCTCTCTGCACCGGCCCCATATGGATCCTCCTGCGGGTGGTGGGCCCACGTGAGGACGACCCCACGTCGCTCCTTCGGGCTGAGCCCGGCCGAGCCCCGTGGGGGGAGGCTCGGCCACCAGGCGCTCGCTGGCGAGCACCCACCCCAGGCCTGGCTCCAGGGTGAGGCCCCGGTGACGCCAATCCGGGCGACGTAACTGGCCTCTGTGTTGCACTCATCATAAGGGGCTTCTGAACCGTTCTTCGTCTGACCCGTCCCCCCGGACCTGTTTGCCTTGGGTGACCCTACCAGGGGCATGAAGCCCCTGACAACATAGCTCCCGGGATCATTCGGGCACTCAAACCCCTCCACCACGATAAGGTGACGGTTCAAGGAGGGGAAGAGAGGAATTGTGCCACATATTTTTAGAAGTTTATAAAGAACATTTTGATCACAGAAGATGCAGTTTGTGCTTATGTTGGCAAATTTAGAGATGATACTATTGCATGGATAGATATTATCTAGAATTTTGAAATGAACCTTGTGGACTTTGTTTGTGATACAATATTGAAAAGGTGATGTCCACGCTTTTTCCAGTTTATTTGACTAATATGTGCATTCCAGAATGATGCAGAATTCAAATCAGGCTTGTATGGCTATGGTATGGCTATAGATTTTCTAATTCTTTATTTTATGTTGATTTATTTGGAGCGATCATTAATTCCAGTACAGTATTATTGCGTTTTTGGTATCTCAGATGAGATTTTATTAACATGTGAATTGCAGTAGGTATTGCTTTTATTAGATCACTTCTTTGTATTTGACAGGAACTGATTTATCCTGTAAACAAACATATCCAATACAAACATGATACCTCCATTGATCCATGTTTCTTTATATAGACTATGTTTTTTTATTGTGATCCATCTATCCATTTTCTTCTGCTTATCCAGGATTGAGTCCGGCCAGCAGGGACTCTAAGCAGGGACTCCCAGACTTCTTTCACCCTGGACACTTCCTCCAGCTCCTTCGAGGGGACCCCAAGGCGTTCCCAGGCCAGCCCAGAGACAAAGACATTTTTATTGTATTTTTGCCATTATTCCAAATTATTTCTTCATGAGGAGAAATTGTGAGTAGAACATAGCTTCCATGCCAGTAGGGCCTGTTGGTGAAATTTTGATTAAGTCTAATGGGAACTTTAGATACATGTGAAAAATCCCTCAGTCATCCAGGTAGAATTCATGGCAAAGGAGAAATTCAATTTGTCAACTGGACAAAAGTTTATTTGGTTAAATACGTTTCACAGCTCATCCAAGCTGTTACTTCAGTTCTGGTCAGATGCTGGTGAACACTTCCTTAGGAGCTAACTACAGTGAAACTACTCTGAAACTAACACACCTACTTGTTTACGGTTTCTGTTTGTTAGCTCGGACTATTGAACTGCACTGAATGTGGGGTCTTTTTAGTGTAACCATTCAGGTCCATAATGGAGCTTTCACACCTCTGGGCCTGACCTGGCTACAGCTGTTGTTCTCTTGTTTGTTTTGATTTAGGTTTGAGGGTGGAGTTGTAAATAGGAGACACATGGTGTCTGAGTCCCCCATTTCTGTTTAGAAGAAGGATTCTCGTTCTTCTTTCTCCTTTCAAACCAATTCTTTTCTCTGTGGCTTTTAGATGGAGATGTACAGCAGACTGAGGACCACTGCTGCTCTTGTGGACTGGCTGTTTTGTTTCTCCAGTGTAGTGCTCAGTGCAGTCTTCACTACACTGAATGAAGTAGACCACATTGCTTTGTCTGTGGCTCGGTGTTTTGTCCTTTGGGTGGACCTGAATGATTCTCCTAATAAGACCCCACACTCTGCAGTTCAATAGGCCTAACAAACTAACAGAAACCGTAAACAAGTAGGTGTGTTAGTTTCAGAGTAGTTTCACTATAGTTAGCTCTTCCCTGCAGGCACATATTCTTCATATGTACCCACCAGCATTCTGACCAGAACTGAAGAAGCTACAGAAGCTCTGAGAGGCAAGAGGGGAAAAAAGAGGCATGTCATTTGGGGTCTATTTTCTAAGTTTTTTTTTTTTTTTTTTTTTTTGCATTAACAACTCAAAAAAAAAAAGTATGGGTCTGGGGGGCACCCTGATGTGGAGAGCAGCTGGGACCGCCGGCTGCTGCTCATCATGGGGAGCAGACATTTTGCATTTTGCGCATTCTCGTTGTGATGGATTTGTGTGGATATTTGTGTTATTATTATTACCATATAACTCATAAAAGAGAATGCAAAAGTAAAACTCATGAAAAGACTGGTTTCAACTGAAGTAAATACACTCACAATCAGGAGCAGGTGAGTTTTAAACCCGAGCCTCCCACATCCTAACCCACAACCTAACACAATGAGCTATTCTACCACTGGCTCACCAGTGCTGAAGTTTTGGTATTTACAGGAATATACTGGGAAAACACTTAACAGTTAACTATTTATTTATTTATTATTATTATTATTATTATTATTATTACATTTTTGAGTTGTTGGTGCAAAATGGAAATGTTTTAAAAAAAATTTTTAGGAAAACATTTCTTCTTTTTTTTTAGATTTTTTTCTTTTTCTTTTTTGAGTTATTGGTAAAAAAAAATAAATAAATAAATAAAAAACAGAGCCCAAATGATGTGCCTATTTAATTTTTTTTGGCCTATTTTTCTTTAGGTACAGTGTAGTTACAACTCATGAGAAACTTTTCAATGTGTGCAAAGTTATTGTTCAGTATAAAGTTCCATAAAGATGTGAGCTTTTAAATCCAAAAGGTTGATCACTTCTGTCCGCCCTCTGATTCTAAGCCAAGCTTTACTTTCTTCAGGTAGTACTTTCTGTTTTTCCAAACAAAATGAACGAAAGCATTATTTCTGTCTTTGCAATAAGAATCATCAACATAAAGGGACAGTGTGGAATAAACACATCTCCATATATCTTCAGCTTCAGTAATACTCGCTCATGAATGGACAGATCTCTCTGCAGCCACATGTGGGGACTGATTTAGTCAGGTGTAATTTAGGTGCAAAATGAAGCTGTTGCCTTTGAGCTGTGTCTCTGGAGACACGGAGGCTTAAACATTTCACATAATTTTTCAGTTTCTACTGTCTCAACAGAATATTTCACTTTTGGAGATGTTATGTTCTTGTGACTTGTAATGCTTTAGGAACTTGTGACTTGCCTCGTAGGGACTGCTGAGCTCCATATAATCTGCTGCATTAGACTTGTCTCATATGTTACAGGTAGTGGCCCGTTGGTTACCTGGTCCGTGCACCACACCCAGGTGGCGAGCACCGTGAGGCCGAAGATGAGGCCGGGCCAGGGCAGGTCTCCGGTCAGGGGGTCCCTCAGCAGGTGGAAGGCATCATGGCGCGGTAGGTGACATGTGGAGTTTGGCACAGTGACTGAGGGCACTGCCTTAGGATACAGTTGCTCCAGCCCCTCGTACCAGCCCACACGCGAGAACGCTGTGGACCAACACACGTGAGGACAGATAAGGCTCCCAAACCAAATATCCAAAGTACCAAATCATTCATATCAAGGTTAGGTAGAGTAGCCAAAACAGCATCTGCTTTTTGTCTTTGTTTATTTAAAAGGCCTATATTACATGTTCCATTGTGTTTTTAAACTCCATACACCTGCTCTAGTATCATTTGGATGATTTCATACCTAGAATTGCCAATCTCCACGGACAAAGAAAACTACTGCTTCATGACATCACAGAGTGGAACAGAGCATTTGGAGCTTTGCAGATGAAGACAAACTAATAATAAAGGGTTACTCAAACAAGTGTGAATGAAACAAAACACAACTCTAGGTCTGTTTTTGAGGAGGTGACAGTATTAGAACATGGCTATGGACGTTTATAATAGTGAATTGTGGAAATTGTAATTTAATACTGTATGTATTTTTATAAGATGAAATTCATGATTTTATAAATACCTAATGCTTTGTTGAGGTGTGTGGTTGTATTGTACATGTTTGAGTGTGTGAGTGTGTGTGGGTCAGAGAGTGGACAGTGTGAATAGTTCTTATTGTGTGATTGTATCATTTATCCTATAAATCAGGGACTGTAAATTGAAACAATCTTATCTTTAATCTGGTGTGGAACATGTGTTTCCTATTATTTTAATGTCTCTGTACGTTGTCCTTTCAAATAAAGATGAAACTAAACGTAAACTCACAAGAGTCAACTGGCTACCACTACCACTAAACCAAGAGTAGACAGATAAATATTTTATTGATCCTGAAGAAAATTCTATTTTTGACAGCAGCAACAATGAAACAAACATAATAATAACAATAGAGCAGTCCATCCTCTGCATTCATCATTTATAGTGATAAGTTGTACAGAAGTGTGGCATGTGGGACAATCTCCAGAGTCTGTCTGTGGAGCAGGACAGGGACAAGAGCCAAAATATATCTCAAGTAAGAAAGAGTAAAAAAGTATTTACAAAAACTTCAACTCAAATAAGAGGAACATAAAGTGGAACATAAGTGATTATAAATTTGAATTCTACTGTCTAACTGTCCGATGATCATGTCAATGTCAGTGCATTTTTCTCTAGATATATTAGGCTGGTGCATCTCTTACCTATGAACATGAGGGAGAAGGCCCCTCCCACCATGATGACTGTCTGCAGGGCATCAGTGTACATGACCGCTGCCAGGCCGCCTGCACCAAAAGAGAAAATTATAAACCAAATAGCTATCTGAAATGTATATTAGACAACAAATTATTTTATTTAGATTAAAAAGATCTACATGCACGGAAGGAGAGAGTATGGAGCGAGCTGAAGATCTGGGACTAAATCCAATTTAAAGTGGGAATGAACACCTAAACACACCCACACTAGACAGAGCTGCTAAACTGGGCAACACCTGGAGGACTGACGGGGAGAGGGAGGAGGGAGGAGGGGCGGGGTCTGGCTGTATAAAGAACAGTGTGATCTCTCTCTCTCTCTCTCTCTCTCTCTCTGTCTCTCTCTCTCTCTCTCTCTCTCTCTCTCTCTCTCTCTCTCTATATATATATATATATATATATATATTAGGGGTGTCAAATTATCGCGTTAATTGCGATTAATTAATTACAGTCATATTTAGCGCGTTATGTTTTTTAATCGCGTTAATCTCATTTTTAATCTCTAACTTTAGTGTTTCTGTATGTGAGTTTCTTTATTATAAAACCTGTTTTTATGTGTTGTTGGGACAACAACACACACACACAAAACACATTTATACATTTTTTTATTTCGGTAATTCCACTCATTGCCGGAAAGCAACACAAAACACGCGCAGTGAGAGCGATGTAAACGTCATGTTAACGTTGGCTGCATCAGTCGCACAATGGACGAGGTCGAAGAGCCAGTAGAACAGAGGCAGCAGTGCACAGGTAAAAACACATTCGTGTCTTGGAAATTATTGTCCCGACGTGAAATATAAAAGAAAATAACAAATATAATATCGCCTGAAAACAACCTGCATAGGCTCATGATGTCTGCACTACTGTCCTATAGTGACCTGCCACATGAGAGGACACGCACACAAACACACACACACACAAACACAAACACACACCTTCATCATCGTCATTAACCTGAGAACACGCGGACCACGTTTCCTTCCGTAGACACTGCGCGGACACCGCTGTCCTCCCGTGAGCCGCGTGTGGATCGTGTTTTCTCACTACGCTGCGTAAACCGCGCTTCCTCCTGTGCGTCTCTAAACCAGAACTAACACCAAGACTAAAACCAGGACTAAACCAGGACTAAACCAGAACTAAAACCAGAACTAAAACCAGGTCTAAACCAGGACTAAACCAGGACTAAACCAGAACTAAAACCAGGTCTAAACCAGGTCTAAACCAGGACTAAACCAGGACTAAAACCAGGTCTAAACCAGGTCTAAACCAGGACTAAACCAGGACTAACACCAGGACTAACACCAGGACTAAACCAGGTCTAAACCAGGACTAAACCAGAACTAACACCAGGACTAAAACCAGGATTAATCCATTCCAGGACTAAACTAGGACTAAAGTAGGTCTAAACCAGGTCTAAACCAGGACTAAAACCAGTGATCTCATATATATTTCTCTATCAATAATATTTTTAATTAGTGCTGTCATGCGATTAAAAAAAATTAGAGATTAATTAATTATGATCTGTAATTAATTAATCTAATTAATCTAATTTTAATCTCACCTAAAAATTGCTGAGAAAAGCCTTCAATTTGAGGTATTTTCATTTAAATTCATTATTACATTATTGTGGCAGATCAAAAGACTGATATAGATTTAAAAAAGTGACTTTATAAAGTCATTTATTGTTTAACAAATCTCTCCAAGTTGTCTGTTGAGCCCAAGTCTCCATGAATAAGAAACTGTTTGTTGTAAAGTAAAGACGAGGAAATCTGAACATAATAACTTTTGTCTACTTAAAGACAATAAAAAGTCCAGTCTTTCCTTAACCATATTAAAAATATTATTGATAGAGAAATGCTTTATATATGAGATCACTGGTTTTAGTCCTGGTTTAGACCTGGTTTAGACCTACATTAGTCCTAGTTTAGTCCTGGAATGTATTAATCCTGGTTTTAGTCCTGGTGTTAGTTCTGGTTTAGTCCTGGTTTAGTCCTGGTTTAGTCCTGGTTTAGTCCTGGTTTAGACCTGGTTTAGTCCTGGTTTAGTCCTGGTTTAGACCTGGTTTAGACCTGGTTTTAGTTCTGGTTTTAGTTCTGGTTTAGTCCTGGTTTAGTCCTGGTTTTAGTCTTGGTGTTAGTTCTGGTTTAGAGACGCACAGGAGGAAGCGCGGTTTACGCAGCGTACGCGAGAAAACACGGTTCACACGCGGCTCACGGGAGGACAGCGGTGTCTGCGCAGTGTCTACGGAAGGAAACGTGGTCCGCGCGTTCTCAGGTTAATGACGATGATGAAGGTGTGTGTTTGTGTTTGTGTGTGTGTGTGTTTGTGTGCGTGTCCTCTCATGTGGCAGGTCACTATAGGACAGTAGTGCAGACATCATGAGCCTATGCAGGTTGTTTTCAGGCGATATTATATTTGTTATTTTCTTTTATATTTCACGTCGGGACAATAATTTCCAAGACACGAATGTGTTTTTACCTGTGCACTGCTGCCTCTGTTCTACTGGCTCTTCGACCTCGTCCATTGTGCGACTGATGCAGCCAACGTTAACATGACGTTTACATCGCTCTTACTGCGCGTATTTTGTGTGGCTTTCCGGCAATGAGTGGAATTACCGAAATAAAAAAATTTATAAATGTGTTTTGTGTGTTTTGTGTGTGTGTGTTGTTGTCCCAACAACACATAAAAACAGGTTTTATAATAAAGAAACTCACATACAGAAACACTAAAGTTAGAGATTAAAAATGAGATTAACGCGATTAAAAAACATAACGCGCTAAATGTGACTGTAATTAATTAATCGCAATTAACGCGATAATTTGACACCCCTATTTTTAATATGGTTAAGGAAAGACTGGACTTTTTATTGTCTTTAAGTACACAAAAGTTATTATGTTCAGATTTCCTCGTCTTTACTTTACAACAAACAGTTTCTTATTCATGGAGACTTGGGCTCAACAGCCAAATTGGAGAGATTTGTTAAACAATAAATGACTTTATAAAGTCACTTTTTTAAATCTATATTAGTCTTTTGATTTTGATCTGCCACAATAATGTAATAATGAATTTAAATGAAAATACCTCAAATTGAAGGCTTTTCTCAGCAATTTTTAGGTGAGATTAAAATGAGATTAACTAGATTAATTAATTACAGATCATAATTAATTAATCTCTAAATTTTTTTAATTGCATGACAGCACTAATATATATATATATATATATATATATATATATATATATATATATATATATAAATATATATATATATATATATATATATATATATATATATATATATATATATATATATATATATATATATATATATATATATATATATATATATATATATATAATAATTTGTAAATCATTGTTAAAAACTTGGACTAATATTTCTTGGGAAACAAAGGGTTAATATAACGGAATGGAAATGGACCAATCACATTTTTCTTCCAGTGGTATCTGGGTAAATCTGTGACTCCTCCTGCAGCACTGAACTAAAGAAACACCTGCAGGACCTTCAGTGGCTGGAATGAAGACCAATGTCAATGTGAGGTTGAGTTTGAGTTTGACAGTTGTCTTAGTCAATCATATTTCATTGAGTTATGGGCAGGATCATATCACAACATCTTCTGGGCTTTCGAGAATACCCTGTGATAGCAAATATAAGTGAGACTGCAGCATTAAAAAATGCTCTGGACACCAGGGGCCCCTGACAGAAGGAGAAGAAAGAAACGGGTTCCATCCATGTTGAACAGTAGCTAATGATTATTAAACAAATATATGTAGTAAGTGAATGTGTGATTCACTTTATTTAGTTTAAAAAAAATAAAATAAATGACAGGCACTGAAAATGTGTTTGCACCAATAAAAAATGAAAACGCTTATAACTTTGGCATAGAACTTGACAGAACCAAGATTCCAAGTGTATAAACACAACTGCAGGTATGTTTGTGATAAGGTAAAAAAAAAAAAGCTTAAAGCTCTCCAGACTAATTTTTTTGTAATATAGGATATTTAATAGACTAAATGACTAGAGGCATACAGTTTTTGTACGTCATGTCTTGTTTGAGGTGTTGCGGAGTGGAAAGAGACCTGCGATGGTGTAGGCCGCGGTGACCAGGAGTAGCACAGCTGTGGACAGGTACAGATCCCAGCCCAGAGATACCTGGATGAAGAGTGCGCCCGAGAAGATGTCTGTCTGCACACAAACACACACACGCTTACACAGACTGGATACAGGACATGTGCCTTGATAGTGACCGTGTTTTATCCTAGTTAATCCGTCTGACAGGATATGGTCCCAGACGCACGTCTTTGTAAGATTTTGCCAAAGGGTGTGGTTCTAGCTGGTCTAAAGCGTAGACAATTAGTTGAACATGCTACAGTAATACACATAAATGTGTAGTGCCTTGTTAATAGTCCTAAATCTGCTTAGAGGCCGAGTGTGAAGTCTGACCGAGATCTTGGTGAAGATGTAGAGGATGAGGGAGAGGAGGGATATGTAGATGCGTATGCGTGCCCCTCCAAAGCGTCGGCACAGGTACTCAGGCATGGTGAGGACTCCAGCTGCGATGTACACAGGGATGAACACCCAGCCCAGGGCCACCAGCACCCACGCTGCCTGCACCCAGCACACATTTACTGCTCACTCTGTCAACACTGTGGAGCTTTGAAATTAGATTGTGTTTTTGGTTTACAATAATAATAACACTAATGCCTGAGCATTCTCACACACATACACCACATTCAAATTAGTTAAAGTGGGCAAAGTGTCTTGCCTAAGGACACGATGACAGAACATGGTCAGAGCTGGAATCTGTCCTCTGACTTTTGGGCTTGAGGAGCACTGCTCTCAGTGTGGCCCCAAACACTTTGTAGCTGTGCTCAGAGTGTGTTTGGAGTCTGGAGCACTGGAGAGGGTGAGACTCACGTTCCACTCGAAGCCGCCCACAGCCAGGCCCCCTGCGGCCCCAGTGCCCGCCAGGCCGATGAACAGCCCACTGCCCACATTACTGGACATGAGTGATGCCCCGATCTGCAAAAACACAGAGTCACATCTCATATGCTTTTACAACTGCACATCTCAGACCAAAGACATATGCCATGGATTAAATCACGTGAACAACAAAATCACATATACGACACAACTGAGATTTTCACTGTGCTTTGGATCGGGAGCCGAACATCAGGTGATGCTCTGACTCCTCTGTGAAGAAGTGAATGTACTGAAATGTTTATCTTATTTCATTCTATACGGTACACTGTTGAATGTGCAGAGTAAAAAAAAGTAAGTTGTGTAAGACTAAACTGAATGAAAAGTTCAGTGCTTATTCTGTCAGTAAAGCCTGCTCTTCCCTCTGTGTGCAGCGTCATGTTGTGAACAGAGCACTCACCGGCCACCAGGTCATGGAGCGGCCGGCCATGAAGTATCCACCCACTGTGCTGCGATTGGCCCGTATGGATGACTGCACACACAGCACAATGTATCACCACCTTTATACGATCATATTACATTAAACTATCATGATGAAACTGTGATAATATCATAACATGATTCAAAATGATCATGAAGTTATGTGATAAGAAAGTATAAGGAAATTGTACTGACAAATGGCAGTAATTGTAGTACAACAACTAGTAGTAGTAGCAGAAGGAAAAGCCTGCTTGGTGATCAGAAAGTTCGCCTCCACATCACAGATGACTGAACAGTTATATGTTAACATAAGCTTTGGTTCAGCGTATTCAGAGCTGTGGGATTACAGTGGAAAGTCAAAGGAACCAAACGCAGAGCAGCGTCCACATCTTCAGCTCAAAGGCACGATGCTCCTGTAGTGTCCATGGGACACACGCCTCATCCACCCCTGCCCCAGGGTTTTTGTGGATCACACATTTGCTGATGAAGTGTGAAGTTAAAACAAGATGCTGGTTTGATTTGAAGCACACATGTGGCCGTTTTGATTGACCATACATCACATTAGGCCTACATTATTCCAACACACTTTCATGAATCAGAGTCTGGGCCGAGCAGGAGCATTGGACTCTGTGGTGCCCTCATATAGACTGAGATCATACGTACCCAGATGCCCACTACCATGACAAACACAAAGTATGCCACCAGCACAGCGATGTCAGCCGTGCCCAGGCTCAGGCGAGACGGAGGGGCCGCAGTGGGAGGAGCCACGCTGCTGTCTGGGGACATAGACACAAAACACATACACAGCCTAAGTTTCACTTGATTTAAAGCAGACAGACTGATCAGACATAATAATGACCTGTCAGTCACCTGTCAGTCGCTGCTACACTGTGCACACGCACAAAAGCCAAGGGGCACTATTCAAGTAAAGTGTGAATACCTTACATTTAATGCTATTTTTGTATTCTATGTTTTGTCTGCAGATGGAAATGAGCCCAAGAGCGACTGTTGTGTACTCTGGTACAAAACATCTCTTCAAGGTTTGTTTGATTAATGCTCCTGTGCATGGTCCGTGTCAAATAAACTAACTAAACTAAACTAAATAGAAAACACTTCTTGTCAATGTGAATTTCTGGAATTCAGTTAGAAAATTGGTAATTATTTTCAATTTTGAGAATCATCAAGATTATATGGGACTGAATAAGGTTAAACATGGAATAACACTGCTCAAGCTCTGCAGTAAAAGTGAGACACAAACATATCTGAGCTCAGGTATCTGAGTTTAAATATCTGAGCTTATCAGCTCCAGCTAAGATCAACAGCATCAGAAACGCATCATTGTCATGGGAATGAGGAAGTAGTTTCAGGCATCAGTCCAAGTCTGGTATTTAAGGAAATGGATCTGTTCCACTGAATAAACACTGTTCACTAAAGCCGTGTGTCTGGATGAAGAGCACCCTCAAACTGATGAAGAGCACTCGCAAACTGATGAAGATATTATTAATATTATTAATATTATTATTATTAATATTATTACAACATTACAAGCAAATAATAAGCAGCTTTGATACCAAAGAAATCTCCATAGGCTCCATGTTTGTGGAAATAGTGGAATTTAGAGAGATCGAGATCAAGTTTGTTTTTGAGCTGTCATTCTATAAATGTGATTTTCTGTTGATTGTTTCACAGTGGTGTTGATGTCCATAGCTGCATGGTGGTGAGGATCAACATTTAAATACCAATTTAAAATATTGGTGTTAATTTTAATTTTGGTATTTCATGCTGGTCACAAGCAAATAAGCAATCTGTCTGTCTTGGAATCTGTCTACAAACAAGCTCTTAGGATCCTTCAAAACTGTGACAATATCATCACTGCAGCATACTCAGCAAACATCAAAAGGAAAGCTTTGATCACATGATTTAATTTGCAAAAAACAGGACTCTTGTTCAAAATGATTGACAATATGGTTCCTCCACCACTCAAAAGGTTTGTCACATTAACATCTGAACAGATGATCAGAAGAGCAACGTCCACATGAAGTGGCCAGTGTGGCACCTAAAGAAAAACTGTCTTAATCAATCAGCATTCTCTTTCCAAACTAGAACAGTATGGAACAAACTATCAACACACTTAAAACTATACACTTCAGAAAGTTTAGTGCTGAATTGAAAGAAAATACTTTTAACAAGGCAGAAGTGCCAACTAATCTAGGAAAAACAACATATACTAACAACTAAATGAAATCTGATTAAGGGCGCAGAGGAGCAGGGAGGGAACGGGATACAGATATTTACTCTAATTCTACTTTTATAACTGTTTGTGTATTGATTGCATTTTTGATGCTGTTTTTGTATTCCATGTTTAGTGCAGATGGAAATGAAATGAGCTCAGAGCTACAGTCTGGTACAAAACATCTCTTCAATGTTTAATCATTGATTAAACCCCTGTGCATCTTTCCTGTCAAATAAACTGAATCAACTAAAGCTGTGTGGTGTTATGTTGTGTTGTGTGGTGTTATGTGTGGTTTGGTGTGGTGTTGTGTGGTGTTGTGTGGTTTGGTGTGGTGTTGTGTGGTGTTGTGTGGTTTGGTGTGGTGTTGTGTGGTGTTGTGTGTGGTTTGGTGTGGTGTTGTGTGGTGTTGTGTGGTTTGGTGTGGTGTTGTGTGTGTGTGTGTGTGTGTGTGTGTGTGTGTGTGTGTGTGTGTGTGTGTGTGTGTGTGTGTGTGGTGTTGTGTGTGTTGTGTGGTGTTATGTTGTGTGGTGTTGTGTGTTTGGTGTGGTGTTGTGTGGTGTTGTGTGGTGTTGTGTGGTGTTGTGTTGTGTGGTGTTGTGTGGTGTTGTGTGGTGTTATGTTGTGTGTGTGCTGTGTGGTGTTGTGTGGTGTTGTGTGGTGTTATGTTGTGTGGTGCTGTGTGGTGCTGTTTGGTGTTGTGTGGTGTTATGTTGTGTGGTGTTGTGTGGTGTTGTGTGGTGTTGTGTGGTGTTATGTGGGGTGCTGTGTGGTGTTATGTGTGTGTGTGTGGTGTGTGTGGTGTTATGTGTGGTGTTGTGTGTGGTGTTGTGTGTGTGTGTGGTGTTTGTGTGGTGTGTGTGTGTGTTGTGTGGTGTTGTGTGGTGTTATGTGTGGTGTTGTGTGGTGTGGTGTTGTGTGGTGTTATGTGTGGTGTTGTGTGTGGTGTGTGTGTGGTGTTGTGTGGTGTTATGTGTGGTGTTGTGTGTGGTGTTGTGTGTGGTGTTGTGTGGTGTTGTGTGGTGTTATGTGTGGTGTTATGTGGTGTTGTATGGTGCTGTGTGGTGTTATGTGTGGTGTTGTGTGTGGTGTTGTGTGGTGTTGTGTGGTGTTGTGTGGTGTTGTGTGGTGTTATGTGGGGTGCTGTGTGGTGTTATGTGTGGTGCTGTGTGGTGTTGTGTGGTGTTATGTGTGGTGTTGTGTGGTGTTATGTGTGGTGCTGTGTGGTGCTGTGTGGTGTTATGTGTGGTGTTGTGTGTGGTGTTGTGTGGTGTTGTGTGGTGTTATGTGGGGTGCTGTGTGGTGTTATGTGTGGTGCTGTGTGGTGCTGTGTGGTGTTATGTGTGGTGTTGTGTGTGGTGTTGTGTGGTGTTGTGTGGTGTTGTGTGGTGTTATGTGGGGTGCTGTGTGGTGTTATGTGTGGTGCTGTGTGGTGTTGTGTGGTGTTATGTGTGGTGTTGTGTGTGGTGTTGTGTGGTGTTGTGTGGTGCTGTGTGGTGTTGTGTGGTGTGGTGTTGTGTGGTGTTATGTGGTGCTGTGTGAGTCTGTGTGAGTCTGTGTGGGTCTGTAGTACCGTGCCGTGCCGTGCCGTGTGGTGTTACAAACCTGTAGTAGACGTCGTGGACATTGCTCGTGCAGCTTTCAGTTCTCCAAGAGATATGACACTGCTCCTCTGAGTTCCACAGCACTGGACAATCATTGATGACTTTATCATTCAGTTAAAGTTCAGCCAGAGCCACACTGCAAAAACACTCTCATATCATCTTACCTACTTTTAAATGAAATCTGATATTGATTTACAAACTGTCATAAATGTCCATGAGCTGTTCAGTTTGCCTGGCTGGACTGCATAAAAAAATTAGGTTTTAGGGAAATAAAAGAGCTCTTCAGCTGCCTACTGTCCATGTACAGTTGTTGTTACATGATTTGCTTTGCCGTTATCGTTTTGTTTTACTAAACTAAAGGTCCTGTATCATGCAAAATTGACTCTTGTGAGCTTCAAGTCGTGTTAGAATGTTGTTTCTTAATCAAAAACATATCTGGAGCTGTGTTTTGTTTCATTCACATGTTTGAGTAACTCTTTATGTTTGTTTAAATTTGTTCTAACTACAGATGTCATGAAGCGCTAGTTTTCAAGTGAACAGCTCCTTTTGACCTTTTGTTCAGTAGAGCTTGACAATGCCATGGCTTAATCATCCAAATGATACTAGTGAAGGTGTATAGAACACAGTGGAGCACTTCCTGTATTACCACATGACATAACTCCAGGTTTGTGATGAGGAAATAACACTGTATTAATATGGATACGAAATAGTGTGATATGGGCCCTTTATACTACTGTTTATTGTTCATGCGTGTCATTGCAACCCTATATATTTTTAATGTGCAGATGAAGTTGTAACGTCCCTGTGCCTATAGAGCATTTTGTCACACTTGAAGATGTTTTTAAGATTGTGTACAAATGCAAATCTAATGAAATAAATAACAAGATAAGCCTCCTGAAGAAAGACTTGTCCTGAAAAAATAATTGCACATCTACCAGAGGCTGAGACTTGCAAGTGACTTGGACTCGAGTCAGACTTGAGTCAATATTTTTAGAACTTAATAATAATAATAATAACTAGAAAAGCACTCAGAGAGCGCAGAGCTCCTCCAAGGACTACAGTCCCCCTCATATTAATTGTGTTTTCCATAAATATTTGTCTCGTATCTTTCAATTTGGAATATGAAAGAGGATCCGATTGTCCATCCCTGAGTCAAATTTCATGGGGTTTGGTCAATAATTAATCGAGATATTGAGAAACAAAATTTTTGGCCCCATTTACCACAATGTTAACTAAAATTTCAAAGTGATCCAGAATCCAGGATTTCTTCTGGATCACCCCCAAAATGAAATCAGTTCTTCCTTTTCACATTTCCAACAAATCCTGAAAATTTCATCAAAATTGGTCCATAGCTTTTTGAGTTATGTTGCTAACAGACAAACAAACAAACAAACAAACGCCGGCAAAAACATAACCTCCTTGGCAGAGGTAATAATAATGCTTCAGTTCCGTGCCTTTTTAGACACTCAGAGACACTTCACAGAGCATTATTCATTTACTCCACACCCGGTGATGGTGAGCTATTACTGTAGCCATAGCTGCCCTGAAGCAGATTGACGGAAGCGAGGCTGCCAATCTGCGCCATCGGCCCCTCCAGACTTGACTTGGACTTGAGTCCTGTGACTTGAGAATACTTGATGCTTCTCTTAAAAATATATATGTTTTTTGTAAATACTTTTCTCTTTACAGTTGTAGGTGGTGCTGTGATGTGGTATCCTCAAATGTACTACAGTAATACACAGTACTACACAGTAATATGTAGTACTACAATACAGTAAAACAGAGGGAACTACAGAGAACTACATGACAAAATAACTCTTATTTAAATTTGAATTCTGATTGATTGTAATGATTCAGTGATTAAAGATTTTGTCAAGACATTTAAAAAGTAAATTTTTTTTACAACTCTTATATATATGCACTTTTTACAACTCTTCTATAGACACTCTTATATAAATATACCATGACTTTTAAATACAATTTATCTTAAAATTCATATCAATTGCAAAAATCTAAACTATATTTGGTACTTTGGTTTAAAGATTTGAAATGACTTGAAGCTCAAAGTAGACGACTTGGACTTGACTTGGACTTATGGGCCAGAGATTCGAGACTCGACTTGGACTTGCCTGGCTTTGACCTCGGACTTGACTCGGACTTGAGGTCAAAGACTTGAGACTTACTTGAGACTTGCAAAAGAACAACTTTGTCCCACCTCTGATATCTACATCTCTTTATAGTTCTGACATTATGGGCTCAGGCTAGAGGATGAATTGACAATGAATTGGGTGAGGAGGCGGGTGTGGAGGCGGGTCTGGTCTCTGGAGTGGGTGTGGTCTCTGGAGTGGGTGTGGTCTCTGGAGCGGGTGTGGGTGAGGAGGCAGGTGTGGGTGAGGAGGCGGGTGTGGGTGAGGAGGCGGATGTGGGTGAGGAGGCGGGTGTGATCTCTGGAGTGGGTGTGGTCTCTGGAGTGGGTGTGGTCTCTGGAGCGAGTGTGGGTGAGAAGGCGGGTGTGGGTGAGGAGGCGGATGTGGGTGAGGAGGCGGTGGGTGAGGAGGCGGTGTGATCTCTGGAGGGGGTGTGGTCTCTGGAGTGGGTGTGGTCTCTGGAGTGGGTGTGGTCTCTGGAGCGGGTGTGGGTGAGGAGGCAGGTGTGGGTGAGGAGGCGGGTGGCGGAGTTCTAGATGTATTGCCGTTTTTGGAGGTGGGTGGAGGGGGCCGCGAACAGGAGGCTGTTGCAGTAGTCGAGTCTGGAGGAGATGAAGGCATGAATGAGGATTTGTGTGGTGGGCGGAGAGAGGGAGGGGCGGAGATGGGCGATGTTGCAGAGATGGAAAAAAGCTGTTTTGGTGATGTGGCTGATGTGGGTTCTGAATGAAAGGGAAGGATCCATGAAGGTATCTTCATGGACCCTTCCCTTTCCCCAGTGTTGCTTAGAGAGATGGAGTAACGGTGCAGCCATCGATGAAGAGAAAGATGTTCTGAGCTGTTAGGGGCTTCTGAGTTAACGTCAACACAACTCCCAGTGGAAATGTGTCACACAAGAAATATAATATAACAACAACTTTATTATGTCATTATTTTATTGCCTCAGATGACAACTATCACAACTTTAACAGAACAAAATAATTTAACATTAAACTTAATTAACTAGGTGTAGGTCCCCGTGAAGTGGGATAATCAGGAGGGCGGCACACTACAGATACCACCTGTAGTGTGCCGCCCTCCTGATTATCCCACTACAGGTGGTAGAACAACTGTTGTTTAAGCCTTGAACATCCCAAAATCAGTGGCAGCTGGACAGGTTGGCTGAACCATGTGTGCTTGCTTACACACAGCCAACTGCTGCAGAGCTCGGTGCAGATGTAATAGAAAGGCATCTTCAGTTGGTGGAAGACAACACACATTTCCTTTGATGCTCACAAAGAGATGTGCTCAGAGTGTGTCTAGAGCACCACCAAAGTCACTCCTGTCATAGAGTGACACCTGGTATTGCCGTGCTGCCGTTATAACCTCTAGCGCCTTACTCGTTATGATTATTTTTTTGCATTAAATTGAACCAAAATCATGTAGAAATCTGTTTTAAGAATTATTTTTTCACTGAATGTTGTCACTCCCTGTGTTCTTTGTGTAGCAGAGCAGCATATTTGTACATGTACTTCAAGGTAGTAAAGTTGCCAACAACGCCACCTGGTAATGCCAGGACACAGTGTTTTTCCCCACCCACTATAGACACACAGGTTCGTTGACTGAATATGGCGTGAGACTTGAATATACTTTACATTGAATTTATTATCCATTTTTGCAAAGGGGTTAATAACAAATATCCTCCACCAGTCCTGTGCGTTCATTGGGTCGCATGGCCTCGTTGCTTGGAGTTACCTTAGGACCATTATCACAGTCAATATTGCGCCTCGCAGTAGCTCTTCCCCCAAGACGAAGACTTCAGAGAGCGAGTCCTTTCACCAAGGGCCACGACCACAGAACAGACCAGGTACACGGAGAAAGAAAATAGAAAGAAAAGGGGAGGCTTCCCGCCAGCAGGAGCCTAAATATAACATGTTACATTTAACGTACAATACACACGACAAAGAGGAACACAAAATAAAAACCATAGCGACATACCGTGTAGAATTCACCGCGGCACGCCACCCAAACACGCAGAGGACCGCCCAGCGCCGAGACACAAACGCTAAAAACACAACCTGCGTTAACCTCACACACGGCGTTACTGAGCCAACAAGACGATTTCCCCACTTACCCCCACGATGCCCGCACACTCTCCGCAATTACTGCGCTGAACACCTTGCAACAGTAAACTTAGTGCGCCTAAACGTGGTCCACTCGGGGCCTCGCGTCTTGCGGCCATGACAGCTTGGCTCCGCCAGCGTGCAACGTCAGCGGTCGGCGTTCAGGAGGGAGGGGCGAGCGTAGCGCATAGTGCCCCTTTTATAGGCGGGTTTGTGACCCATAAACCCGATACTATCACATTTGCATCTAGAATGCATTTATGCTTACCCAAGCCCCTGAGGGTTTCAGGAATTTTTTTCAAAATTTAAATAAAAATCAAAAAATGAAGAGTACATACACTAAAATGGCCACAGTTTTTTTTGCAATATTTCCTGAAGAGCAGACCCTGCAATTATTGATCCTTTGGGTCAAAGTTAACAAAAAAACAAAAACAAACAAACAAAAAACAACAACAACAACAACAACACAAATGTATGTAAAGTATGACAGACCATGTCAGGTTCAACCCATTTTATTGAGCCTTTGAGGCTCCCCAACTATAACAGCAGTGGGCTTCATCACCTTCTTAAAGGGCTTATATTACACTATTTACTGATCTGTTCTCATGTAGTTTCCTCATCACACACAGACCTGGAGTTGTGTTTTGTTTCATTCACACATGTTTCACACACAAACCTGCACATTTAGGCTGGTGGGACGACCCATTGCACCTTGTGATGTCATGTGGTAATACAGGATTGGAGAATGTCAACCCTAGAATTGTGAACCTCTACTCAACTAAAAATGAAAGGTAGCTTGAAAACTAACAAAAAACAGAGCATCTGGGGCTTTGGAGCTTTGACAGACTAAATAAAGAGTTACTCAAACATGTGTGAATGAAACAAAACACAGCTCCAGGTCTGTTTTTGATTAGATAGAGCAGAAGTAAACAGCAAGGCCAAAAATTCAATTTAATGCATCTGATATAAAAATGTATTCAACAGATACATATGTACTCTAGTTTATGAAACTGTTGACCTTTTTTCTGTACCATTTTTGGTTCTAAAGTTCCATACATTTTAAACAGACCATGTATGAAACATGGAACAAAAATTATTTCCCAAATTTCAAAGACCTGCAAATCAAAATCAAAATCAATCAAAAGCAAATCAGATTTTTTTTTATGTATTTAAAATGATAAAAATTTGCTTGGAAGGACTGACATATTTTATAGAAATAGTTTCCTTTCATTTTGAAGTAATATTAAAGTATTCAGAAGAAAAAAGTTGACAAATTATAAAAAATCATGCACCTTCTACTTGCTTGAACAATTTTCCCTCCGTTACTTTTCCCTCCATTACCATGACCTTTCTTTATAAAAAATCTCATTACTGAAAAAGTAAGAGGTTTTTCAACCTAATCTTGTACCATATGGTAGAAAACTATATGAAGCAAATATTCAAACCAGTTTGTAAAGGATATGTAAGTGAGAACCAAGAGTTATCACTGTTTGTATTTATTGCCCAAAAAGTGCTGCATATTTCATTTCCTCTGTTACCGACATGAGTTTAAAAATTTTTTGTCAACAACTTGAAAGAATATCACAGGTTTAACCCTCTCCAGGCAGGTGTTGCAGATTTGCAACAGCTAAATTCCAATTACCTACTTACTCTAAATCCATATTTTATGAGCTTTTTTTACTCAGGAACCTTTTCTCCCATCCATGCTGACAAATGTGGACGATGCAGACTGTGCAAGAATGGCTACACACAAATGACCTGCCAGAAGTGCAAAATACTTTTTTTGTTTACAAAGGATAAAAAAGTCAGGATTGTATATTACTACCCCATATTATAATTTTCCCCAAATATCAGATTTTTCCTGATACTAAAAATTAATTTGAGCCTGAGAGGGTTAACTTTACCCTGTTGGAGTGTTAACTCTTTCCTACTTTCTAAAACCTTACTTATTTCAATAGTCCCTCTAGTTTCTGAATAAGAGCTATTTGAATGTATAAAATCTGCTCCTGTTTCCCTCTGTTACCGTTTGACCAGACCCAACAGCATTATAACATGTCTTAAAGCGCACAAGTGTAAATTTTGTGTAATGTAAAAATGTGTAAATAGGTGGCAGGCTAAAGGACTGAAGTATACAGAGCCCTGCAAGAGCTGTGGGATGAGGGTTTAAATAAAAAGAATCCCTAGAAATGATCATGCGATCCCAAGAAACTATCACGCAAAAAAAATATCTCGTATTCCTGTCAAAGTGTCTTGAGATCCTGTGAAACTTTCTTGATGATGTAGAGAGCATCATAACCGTGCCTCTGCTGCATTCTTTGCAGTAGCGGCAGTGGGTCTCTGGGCACATAATTCAATGGTTTCACTGCCAAACCAGCTTTTCTCGTTCTGTCCGTAGTCTTTCTGTCCCAGTACAGGCACTAGCGCAGAATGCAGGTCGGTCGGAGCTGTTTGACTGTAGGGGGAGCTACTCAGTTGTTAACCTGGCATCTCAACCGCACTCTCACTGCATCAGGTGTATACAGCCACCTCTTGTGACAAACAGAGCATGCCGTGTGTAAAACTCTACGTGCTCTAATGGCACTATGGGCCAACAGTGCTGACCAATCCACATTCAGCACTAGAGCTCGTACTAGAACAGAAAGACAGTCTGCGGACAGAACAAGGAAAGCTGCTTTGGCAGTAAATCAATTGAATTATGTGCCCAGAGACCTGCTGCCTCTACTGCGAGGAACACAACAGAGGCATAGTTATGATGCTTTCTGCTTCCCCGTCTACCTCATCATTCCCTCTGTAAGGCCACGTGATAATGTGCATGCTGATTCCCTCCTCTGTCCCACAGCGTCTTTTCCAGCACTTACGAGACGCGGCTGGCTGTATGTCGTCCTCTGGGGGCCGCGGGGCCGGGCTGAGGATCAAGCTTCTGCTAGGAGACAGGGCCCTGGCATAAGGGGTCAAAGAGGCCACATACACAGGTAAGAGCTGCTCTCCCGTCTGACCACAGCCTGGAGGGTGTGGGAGCTTGGTGGCCATACCAGCTTTTCAAAGCCTGATCCTGTCAGATTTCAGAAGCTAAGCAGGCTGGGCCTGGTCAGTACTTGGATGGGAGACCACTGGGAATTCCAGGTGCCACAGGGGGGCACCAGTGGCAAAAACTGTCACTGTGTCTTTAGGCAAGACACTTCACCCACATTGTCTAGTATGAAAGTGGTGCATGAGTGATGGTGGTGGTCGGAGGGGACGATGGTGCAGATTGGCAGCCTTGCTTCTGTCAGTCTGCCCCAGGGCAGCTGTGGCTACAGTAGTAGTTTACCACTACTGAGTCCTGAGTGAATGAACAATGAACTGAAAAGCGCTTTGGGTATTTTGAAAGGTGCTATATAAATGCAATGATGAATTAATGAATTAATTAATCATTCATTTAATGCAAGTAAGTTTCACAGGTTGATGAGATACTTTTTACAGAATCGTGAGATAGTTCTTTGAGGATTGTGTGATATTCTCTCGGGATCGCGGGATAATTTCTTGGGATCATACGATTATTTCTCTGGATTCTTTATATTCTTTATATTCTAGTGTTCTTTAAACCCTCGCCCTACAGCCCTTGTGGGGCTCCGTATCAGTGCCCCCACATAAACTCAAGCACAGGTTTAAACCGGTTACTCCGCTGAAGGTGCAACCGAATCCCTATTCCAAGCCTCCCAAAACTAGAGTAGGAGGTATGAATAAGCGTTAAGAGGTACAGTGAATTGTGTTTCGGACGTAGCCCAAATGCGTGGTGTTCTGAGGTCACACCGGCAACGGAAGTGACGCAGCACGCTTCGACCTTGGAGTTACGTGCACTATCATGGCGAACAAGGAGCCCAGCGTGAGTACTCTAAACTGCACACTTGTACACCGCCGCTCATTCTTACAATCCGCGGGTTGATTCTGTGACAATCGCCACCATTTCACCTTTCCATTCTGTAGTTCGGCCTGTGCTGAAATACGTGGTCGGATTAAACACAGAATAGTACATACAGAAGAAACATGACCTCATGGCTCCTCTCCGGTGTTCCGAAGCAGAGCACAAGTGATGGAGTCCGCGGGGCCGGGGACATAGGAGCCCGCCTGAGGAGGACCTGTGCTGGGTGTGGGTGTACCGTGCTCCGCTTGGCGCTGACCAGGAGAAGGGGTGGTGGCTGTCTTGCATCATTTAGGCCTCTGTCCCCGGTCCAGCTTCACCTCACATGAGCTGGAATACTTTCTTATTGGTGTCCGCAAAATTCAGTTAGAACAGATATTTAAATATGATCTGTTTTATGTTCTGCTGTTTCGATTCTATGTTCTAATGTAGTTTCCTCATCACAAACAGACCTGGAGTTGTGTTTCATATGAACTTAGTAGCCTGGTAGCTGGCAACTTAAAAACTACGGCTTCATGACATTGCAAGGTGGAACAGAGTGTTTTGAGCTTTGGAGATGTAGGCAGGCTAATTTATAAAGGGTTACTCAAACATGTGAGAATGAAAAAGAACACAACAGCATAGAGCACATAGACTAGTATACGCCCATCATGGATGACTCTGGAGCCGACCTGGACGATGACGGATGCCGCTGTAAGGTCACGTGATAATGTGCATGCTGATTCCCTGTGTCCTACAGCGTCTTTTCCAGCACTTACGAGATGCGGCTGGCCGTATGTCGTCCTCTGGGGGCCGTGGGGCCGGGCTAGGAATCAAGCTTCTGCTGGGAGCCGGGGCCCTAGCATATGGGGTCAAAGAGGCCACATACACAGGTAAGAGCCACTCTCCCATCTGACCACAGCCTGGAGGGCGTTGGAGCCTGGTACTGACCTCTGCCTTGTGTTTGTGCTGACAGTGGAGGGAGGTCACAGAGCCATAATCTTTAACCGAGTGGGCGGCATGCAGATGGACACGGTGCTGGCCGAAGGGTTGCACTTCAGGTATGAGCGGGCGAGACTACAGTGCCCTCCCATTTTCTAATATTTGCCCCCCCCAAAAAAACAAGCTAAACCAAAAAATGGTGATACAATGTGGTATTGTCATGAACATATAGAAGTAACTATATTATCTCTAATTAGTCCTTTTTTGACCAACAGAGGCAATAAGTGACATTCATACTCAAAATGTGTTAAACAAAATGATTGGAACATGGATTGCTTATGCCGTTATAGCCTCAGTGTAAACTATAGGAAAGCCTGGTTTGTGTTCACGTCTAAAATGCTCTGTGTGTGTAGGATACCTTGGTTCCAGTACCCCATCATCTATGACATCAGGGCCAAACCCAGGAAGATCTCATCTCTGACCGGCAGCAAAGGTACCTGCGTTACACACCAGTTCATCTGCGTGCACGTGTGTTGTGTTGCACAAAGTGTTGAACATCTCTGAGTTGTGAAAGCTGTTTAAATGTGTATGAAGCACAACATTCAGTGTTGTGAGATTCCCAATTCAGACAGATAGCTGAAGATCTCCACCCACGTTTCACCCCATTTTGAGGTATATCTGACTTATCCAATCAGTCCGCCAAAAAAAATATGAAAGATGTTTTTTTCCTCCATTTTTTTCTTTAAGTTCTATTTTAAGAAAGCACTTGCTGTGTGTAACATTCTTGTTACACTGAGGATCTATGGTTCACTAAGTTGTGCCTGCAGCCTTCAGCCTCGGCTCTTCCCCTCTGTGCAGATCTGCAGATGGTGAACATTGCTGTGCGTGTGCTGTCCCGGCCCATGGCGTCCAACCTGCCCCTCATGTACCAGCAGCTGGGCAAAGACTATGATGAGAGAGTTCTGCCCTCCATCGTCAACGAGGTCCTCAAGTCTGTGGTGGCTAAGTTCAACGCCTCACAGCTTATCACTCAGAGAGCTCAGGTACTCCTCATGGGGCTAGGGGTATGTTTGGGCTTTAGAAAGCTCAAGTAGGCTACTCCTCATAGGGTTAGGGGTGTTAACATTAGTGACCTTTACTGGCCTCGTGCTGTCTGGACTTAGACCATGACCCCCTCACATGGCTCTGGTGTTGCAGGTGTCTCTGCTGGTGCGCAGGGAGCTAGTGGAGAGGGCCAAAGACTTCAATATCATCCTGGATGACGTGTCCATCACTGAACTGAGCTTCAGCAGTCAGTACACTGCAGCTGTGGAGGCCAAGCAAGTTGGTAAGTCCCTCAGCCCAGTGTCTGCAACTGTGAGCCACAGACATGAAAATCCCTCACCTTTCGGTGAAATTCGCTGTTTTGAAGCCAAAACAGGTGACCTGTCTGCAACAGCGTGTATCCCAGTGAGGTTAAACTTTTAAAAACATCCTACTTGTCCATCAGCCTCACGTCAGTGTCTTTTCACCCTCTCGCTCCTCCCTGCGTAAAGTGCACATCAGCTCAGTCCTTAGTTCTTGCTGATTAGAAGAGCAAGGCAAAACGCAAAGCAAAAACAAATCCAAATTTATGCTGCAGTGTCAGCACAGCATGCATACTGCGATATGTGGGCTGAAGTTTCCCAAATGAAATGCCAAATAAATCTGTGTTTGTCACGATGTACGTTTGGTTTGGTAAATGTGCAGAGGCTAAATACCACTGTAAAACTGTAATACCCCTGTAAAACTAGTAAGATAATGTGAACACATTTATAAATCCTTCCCACTTTCTTCACTTTGAAGCAGTTTTCTGTTAAGCGGTAGTGGAAGTTCTTAAAGAAGGGATATTCAAACTGTGGGTGTTTCGGTTTGTTTGGTTTATTTTATGCCCAATTTAACATTAATCAGGTAAAATGGAGATAGATTTCTAAAAAACATTGATATACATGTGCCAATATAACTGTAACATACAAATAAATGTACGTCCCTTGCACACCCTTCTCACCTTTTTCACCCCTGACCCGTTTTCATGCCTTTAAACATGTACGTGTCCTCCAGCCCAGCAGGAGGCGCAGAGAGCACAGTTCTACGTAGAGAAAGCCAAACAGGATCAGAGACAGAAGATCATCCAGGCAGAAGGAGAGGCTGAGGCAGCCAAAATGGTGAGTTCTGTCCCAGATGATTCCTTGGTGTTTAGAGCCTGCAGGAGGTGATCACAGACCATGTCAGGAGAGGCACAGGGGTGCTCTGCTGAGCCCATAGAGCGCTTGTTTCATCTCTTTGGCAGTAACCTTGATCATTAGTCAAGACTCATGATAGGTTTTTGGAAAAGGTTTTTGAATAACCCTGAAATCAGCCAAACTCTGAGTTTAATCAGATGGACTCAGTGGGCCACCATATGCACTAAAATGTGTTGTAAACATAAGAATAATGGATCATAATATTAAAAACTAAAAGACTCCCAGCACTTCACATTGTAAACTTTCAAGTAAAATGAATGCAAGTACAAATAATACAACTCAACACAAAGTAGTTGAATAATAGACCTGTTAAAAGATTTGTGAAAAAAAACAAACTCTGAATTGACAGTTTACTTTATCCTTTGTGAAACAAGGCCCAGGATCTTCTGAATAATGGCAGTTGTGTTTCTGTTCACAATTTTCCTTTTATCTACTTTTTAGTTGGGTCAAGCTGTCACTAAAAACCCTGGCTACCTTAAATTGAGACGAATCCGGGCAGCACAAAACATAGCCAAAACGGTGAGTGTTACTGTCTGCTCCTCTGCTGTGACCCTGCCTTATCTTTTGTGACTCCATCTGTCTGCTGTGACCCTCCTCTGACCCTTCTTGTCTACTACTCTAGATGTCAACGTCACAGAACAAGGTCTACCTGAACGCAGACAGTCTGGTGCTGAACCTGCAGGACTCAGCCACGTTTGAAAAGTACGTGAGCCCTGCTTCTCTCAGGGCTTGTGTAGAGAAGGCGTAGAACCATGAACTTTTGGAATATGTCAGGCAGTTTACATTGGACTGGTGCTAATATATAGAGAGGCTGTGTGTTAATATAAATCTCTAGAACAGTGGCTCTCAAACATCTAACACCAACTACTAACAAAAAAGTAATGCCTTTCCAAGTACCACCATATCTAAACCAGGTCTATAATGGGACTATTCCATGGCTAATCTTGGAATAAACCAGGTCCAAAAGTGGATTACATCATTTCCACTGTATTTCTAAACAAGAAATTATACAAAGGACACAAAAGGGGATAAAATGAACTGTAAATGAGGCAAACCCACAAACTGAAGAGCTCCGTGTCCCACTTGAAGGAGCTCACATACTACAGTTTGAGAAAAACTGCTAGAACATGACCAAGGTTACCAACCAGGGTGGGCACAAAGCAAAATGTTAAAGTGCCTATGACTCATATTTTATTTATATTTTTTGTTTAAAGTATCAGAAAAATGTGTTTGTTTAAACTGCCAAACAGTTGGATAGCGTGATGTCATATGTTTTAGAACCCTCTACTTCTTGTAATTTCACATTTTTGAACTTTTCTTCTCAAACTACTTCTAGATTGGTGTAAAGCTATAATTTAGATTTACAACAGATATAATCCCACCAAATTAATTGAAAAAGAGACATGGTTCCCACAGTCATAGAAATCCTTTAAAAGTCATGAAAATTGAAAGACATTTTCCAAACCTGGAAAAGTCATGGAATTTTGTAAATTCAATGAAAGTTTTAGAAAAGTCACTTTTAATATCTCTTTGACGCAACTACAGCATTTTGTTAAGTTCTCATTAGGCTATTATTTCTGCACGTTTGTGCCTTTTGTTTAAAAGAGACGACAATAAATGCACTGACAGGATTTTGAATGTTCCAAAACTATAATCCCAAACCATAAGGTGAGTGGAAAGAGTTCACATTTCATATTTAGCCTTAACAGTCTGATCAACTCTACACATGTAGGTGCCGTAAAGTTATGGAAAAGTTTAGAAATTTTGTCAGTGGGAACTCTGAAGAGACAATAATAAAAACATCAGGTCAACACTAGGGTTGGGACCTCGCCACTTGTACCGCAATAATGAATACTGCACACGTTAAATCTGCGATATTGAGGAAAATCTTGGACACATACATGCATTTTGGGTATATTAAAATAACCTTTTAAATACCTCACAGAAACTGTCTTGAGTGGTCCCTAATGGTGATGTAGAAAGATGCACAAAAAACAGATTAGGAGAAAATGTAGTCGCTATTTTCCTATAATTCTTCTCATAGTTTTAATATCAATTGAAATTCATGTTTTAAAATGGTACATTACTCTTCAGATTAAGTGCATAATTAAAATTATAGTTCTGTAAAAAAGAGGATTACCTAGGATTACTTCTGTAACATTTAATAGAATATATACTTGGTGACTCGAACCCTGTGTCCTGTTGTTGCAGTATGGCACTGGCCCAGAAGAAGTGACCACCAGAAGAAGGAAGTGTGCAGTCTGTCTGATTTTCTACATTCAAATAATGTTCAAATGTCTTATGTGTTGTAACTATATTAAAGGAGAAATATCAATCACTTTATGATTTTATGTGAGTGCAGATATGCTGGGATATCACCTTTTCACCCGTTTCCTCAAAATATATTTTAGAAAACCTAAAGCCAGCTGTTCTCCACAAATGAAGGTCTCAGAAATGTGCATGAGGACCATCTGCTTAAATCAGCCATAGATTTATTGATAGAAAACATTCATAAAGAGCATGCAGGTCAGGTCAGCTGGGGATGCGGCTGCGCAGGTACTCCAGCACAGCATCTGTCCCTTTGGCAACTATTGCTGCTCGAGGAGTTCGGAATGGATTCCCCTCCAGACTCAGACACCTGTGGGAGGAGAGAGAACAAAATGTTTGACATAACAGGATTACAAAAAAGCCATTCAAACAAGCTGCCAATAAAACAAATAGCTGTAATAAAAGTGTCGTCATGTCGAGGATGTGGGTGATAGATGCTGAAACATGTCCCTGTATTAGGTTTAAGTTTAGACAAATGTGAAAGGACTGTCAAATTCCCAAAAAGGCAGAAATGTAACTTTATACCCTGGAATGATTACATTTAATTATTATGAGAACTATATACCAGATAATCTATTTGTATTTTCTTCACCTTCTTAAAACTACATTCCCTATCAGAACTGGAATATATACTTGACCTATACACAAATTTTCCACTGAAAGAAAAGGGAGTCCTGCTTAACCAGAAGTGCCACCACAGAGAGAGTGGTTTAGCAGCATGTAGAGGCAAAAGTGGATGGGACAGTATAAAGTCAGCCTTGGAGTGATTTTGACCCCTTACATACTGGTGCAGTGGGGGTGACTGAGGACATGTGTATGCAGGTACAGTGAGTTACCTGAGAGCAGAGCAGAGGCCCAGCTCGGGGGGCACGTGCAGCAGGTCATTGTTGGACAGGTCCAGGGTGGACAGATGGACCAGGGCCTGTAGGCGGGACGCGTCCACACTGCTCACCTGGTTGTTTCCCAGCAGCACTGTTTCCAGATTGGTCAGCTCGTACAGCACGGCCGGGAAGGACCTGAACCTGCAACCCCATGGTTTTAGCTTTCAGTCATTTCTTCATTTAAATTTAGCTTTAAACGCAAAATACCAAAGCTGTTATCTTAAAAGTTGGTTATTAGAGAAGTTTCTTATGTGACTCAGTAATGAATGGAAATTAGTTGTTGTAGCCCTACTAGTTTCAATGCTGAAATTGTCTGGACAGTGAAGAATTATGGAATATGAACACAGGTTAATGGCCGACACAGTCCACCAAAGGCTAAATTAGTGTGTTGAAAAGAATACTTGGAGCCTTCTCTGCCTTTCCTGCAGGGCACTGTCACACATGTACCTGTTGAAGTTCAGAATGATGCTGTGCAGTTTGGTCAGGTTCTGGAGCTCCGGAGGTAAATCACACAGGAGGTTATTCCTGAAAAACATGTCACGTGACATGAACACATGACTGTGTGTCAGTTTTACATTGACACAAGCCTATAGAAGTCATCTGCTGCACAGTCTACACAGACCATGTTCAAACAGAGTTGGTTCCTTAGAACCTAAGGTGGAAGAAGGAATGAAGTCTTTGTTCTCCTTGATTTTGTGATGAGCCACCAACCATGTTCTAAAATGCTCTAAAATACTGTATATATCCACTTGTACAATGTAAACCTGCAGGTTGTGATAAGGCCCAGGTGATGCTGAGCTAAGAAAACACGTGATACAGAAAATTACTATGACACATGATAATGAACTACTTTTTATTACTGACACAATACTCCTAAAGCAGAATAAGTGTACAATACAAAAATATGAGCTGCAATAAGAACTAAGTAGAATATGTATTTATATAAAATGTACAATGTACACAAAAGAAATATTGTTGAAATATTGTTACGTTATTGCTGTGACAGGCTACTGTTTGAAGATCATCAACTGACCCATGTTCACAAGATTAGACAGAGTCCAGTCAGATGCTGGTGTTTAGGATGTTTAGATGTTTAAGAGGAGTAGGATCTGACCTGAGATCGAGGTGCTGCAGCTTGAGCAGGCCACAGAGCTCTGGACCACAGCAGCTCAATCTGTTAAAGCCCAAGTCCACTTCACACAGGGAGGAGGCTAGGTCCAACAGTCTGCACAGAACAAGCAACAACATCACACAAAATCACCAGGTAAAGACTGAGCGAGTTCCTGTCCACAGGACTCTGTTCAAGCCCATTGTTATGGAAATAAGTTCAAGCTCATGACATTTCACCTGGGGTGAATAAATTTAGTTCTATATACTTCACTTATTAGAGACACTGTGACCACTCCAGAGAGCCCACTAACATGTGAGAACGACCAAAGCCCTCTGATTTGTGTTATTAGAATTATATTGAACCAAATATGGGGTGGGACTTTGGTATACCTAGAGGGGGCGGAGCTCAGCTGGTTCTTGCTAAAGTTGACTGAGGTGATACAGTGACCTGCTGCAGCTTCAAACAGCTCATCCGGAACTGACTCTGCCTGTTTGTTACTGCAGCACAAACGACAAAGAAATATTAACAACTGATCAGAGGAGACTGGGAACACCATTAACACCCCTTCCCCTCCATACATCTCATCCACGCACGTCTCATCCACGCACGTCTCATCCACGCACGTCTCATCCACGCACGTCTCATCCACGCACGTCTCATCCACACACGTCTCATCCACGCACGTGTGCAGCTGGACACCTGTAGCGGAGGAGCTTGAGAGCAGAGATGTTGTGCATGTCGACTGCAGAGTGGCTGGGCAGAGACATACCAGAGGGCTTCTCTGAGGCATCCTGTGGCTCCTCTAATGGCACAAACCAAACACACTTCTTAAGCACAGTATCAATAAACCACCCCCTGGCCAAACACAGTGCCAGGCCTCATCACAGCACACACAGCACACTTAAGACTGGTGAGTCACACCTATCTTATTCTACAAAACTAAAATGTGATACCTTTGATTCTTCCTCGCAGGTATTTCAGAAGTTCCATAGTTCCTTTCTGTGAAGACACCAGAACCAACCTCACCCAGAGTCATTTTTTACAAATGAATGCATTTTACCACAGTATCCTGAATTAATAGTGTCAAACTCCAGGTCCACACCACACTCTGAACTCTACCGAAGTAGTTGCACCTGAAGTTTAGAGCTGTACAAGACATTTACAGTAGAACTCTGTATTACTGTGCTGTACATGACGCAGTAGTGCTGTGTGACTGTACACTTATAATATTATGTATGAATAACATGAAACTCACAGTGAGTAGCTCCCTGCGTATCCCACGAAGGGGGTTTCCTTCCAGCAGTAGCACAGTGAGGTTGGACAGGAGACCGAGGGAGGGAGGCAGTCTGGAACACAGCACATACAGCTCAAGCACTTCCACACTGCAGAGTCCACCCACATACACACACTCGGAGTATGTGGAGCCTTACGTGCTAATGTCATTGTTAGAGAGGTCCAGTCGGCTTAGAGTGCTCGGTAGCGCCCCTTCTGGAAGTATGCTGACCTTGTTTCCTCGCAGCTCCAGAGAAGAGAGCACGGACAGGGCACTCAACTGCTCCGAGCCCAGCGCAGAGATCTGGTTATCAGCCAGATACAGCTCCTGCACACACCCCAGGACAGTGACACGTACAGCTCCTGCACACACCCCAGGACAGTGGCAGGTACAGCTCCTGCACACACCCCAGGACAGTGGCAGGTACAGCTCCTGCACACACCCCAGGACAGTGGCAGGTACAGCTCCTGCACACACCCCAGGACAGTGGCAGGTACAGCTCCTGCACACACCCCTGGACAGTGGCAGGTACAGCTCCTGCACACACCCCAGGACAGTGACAGGTACAGCTCCTGCACACACCCCAGGACAGTGACAGGTACAGCTCCTGCACACACCCCAGGACAGTGGCAAGTACAGCTCCTGCACACACCCCAGGACAGTGGCAGGTACAGCCTCCTGCACACACCCCAGGACAGTGGCAGGTACAGCTCCTGCACACACCCAGGACAGTGGCAAGTACAGCTCCTGCACACACCCCAGGACAGTGGCAAGTACAGCTCCTGCACACACCCCAGGACAGTGACAGGTACAGCCTCCTGCACACACCCCAGGACAGTGACAGGTACAGCTCCTGCACACACCCCAGGACAGTGACAGGTAATCATGCTAAACTACATGCTAGTAGTTTTAGCAACAGGTCGTGTAGGAGCCAAAATGTACCTTCTCTCCCAGCCAGAAGGTGGTGCTGTGGGCTTTATGTTCCACTGCCTGTTTTCCTATAACTGGGGAGAAAAATGTCCCACAGATGCTGTTAGGATGAGCGGTACACCATCGTTTCTTGCCTAGGTTGTGGAATTGTGTTATGTTATAAAGATAAATGTTCTTAGGGGCCCATAAAAAAAACAAAAAAAAAACTTTGGAGGTATGCATTGGGGAAACCCTTAGAAGCCAGGAGGCAAACTATAGTGAAATACCTTTGCCTCTACAAGTAGTAAGTAGTAGTAAGGTAAATTAAGGACTGGACAGGGCTGATTACTTGTACAGTTTAGGCCTGTCACAATAACGCATCTTGAAATGCTAAATATTGCTATATATCACAATAAACAATATTAAAAAAGACTCTACTACTAGTAACAATCCAAAATCAGTTGTGTTTATTTGAGTGACACATGTGAAATGAAGGAGCTCTTTGGTCACCCAGCATTTAAAAATCATACCTCAGATCAGAAATAATAATAATAATGATGCTTCAGTTTTATATTACGCTTTTCTAGACACTCAAAGTGGCTTTTATTCACTCCACACTCTGGGGTGATAAGCTACTATTGCAGCCACAGTTGCTCTGGGGCAGACTGATGGAAGCAAGGCTGCGCCAATGGCCCCTCCGACCACCACCACTCACACACAAACACCACTTTTATACTAGACAATATGGGTGAAGTGCCTTGCCTAAGGACAGTTTTTACAACTGGCACCCCCCTGTGGTACCTGATTTTCCCAGTGGTCTCCCATCAAAGTAGTAGTGATCAGTCCCTGCCGAGCTTCTGAGATCTGACTGATCACACTTTGACAAGCAGGTGTGGTCACAATTAGAATTAATGCTTTATGATTCTGCTCTCACCCTCTACTCAAATATGATCATACCACAGAAAAAAACAAGAAAAACAATTCCCACTTGTGCAAAGGAGACACAATACACACAATCATTTGTGCACCCCAAAGTAGATAGCTCCTGCGTTCATAATGGTAAGTCTATATAGTATTTTGTACCTTGAGTGAGTCCCCGGGCAGAGCAGGGAGCAGTGTGAGTCGGTTCTGTTGGAGGAAGAGCTGCTCCAGAGATACCATCTGTGTCAGGGAGGGGGGCAGTGTGGTCAGCTGGTTACCACTGCAGTCCAGCAGCCGCAGGCCTGGCCAGACACAGCTCAGGGTCAGACCATTAGTGACCCCTAATCACATTTCAACACTCCATTTTCAGGAAATCACTCTATTGTGTTACTATACAAAAACGTTTAAGCAGATGCACATGTGTAAAGTATGTTCAAAGTCAAACACATCTGTAATGTGAAGGAAAGACCCACACTGCCCACGCTCACTCACTAGAGAGGCGGCCCACACTGTCAGGCAGAGAGCCCAGCTGGTTGTGCTCCAGGTTGAGTTTCTGTAGATGTCTGAGATCCCCCAGAGAACAAGGCAGCTCCTGTAGACGATTCCTGGACAAGTCCTGAGACAGTGCAGTGTTTCTTAGCCTTGACACAGTTATAAAGCACAACTCTTAAACATACACAAGTGGTGTCTGTACCAGCTGGATGAGGCTGGTCAGCAGTCCCAGCTCTGGGGGCAGGCTCTCCAGCAGATTGTGCTGCAGTGTGAGGCTGCTGAGGAGGGTGAGAGAGAAGAGCTCCAGAGGCACAGCACTCAGCTGGTTATGGCTGCACACAACATGATTACACTAGATTCTCACAGGGTTACACCAGTCTGCAGGCTTTTCTGTAAAGCATGCGCATCATGAGGCATACAGCCCTGTACCTGAGCCGCAGCTGCCTCAAGTCCTGCAGCTCCCCTATAGCCCGAGGTAAGCTCTGCAGCTTGTTGTCATGGAGCTGAAAGAAATCACAAAACACTGGGTGAAAACGTGTGCTCCCTCCCCCTCAGAAGCACCAGTTGACAGACCCTACAGTCCAGGCGTCTGTCCCAGCTGTGGCAGCAGGACACAAGCACACGTACATCCAGTGTGGTGAGGGCAGGCAGCAGCCGCAGCTCCTCTGACAGCGCTGTGAGCTGGTTGGAGGAGAGCAGCAGCTTGGTGAGGTCAGTCTGCTCCCACCAGCGGTCTGATCCTCCAAAAGAGACAGCATCCTGAGCCTCCGCTGGGGGGTCCACGTTCAGCCGGTACACGCTCTGTGGGACTGAAACACAGTGTCGCTGCACTCTGCCGTTATGGCTCTGCTAAAAAGTACTGTGTGGTTCACAGTACTTTTTTACTGATCTATTCACCCTGAAAAGAGGTAATTATACAGGCTTCACAATAGTATCACAAAACTATCAGTAACCTACAGCACACAGAAGAGAGCTTGGCTCCACAAATGCGGGGTTACTCACGGCACTACGGGGCTTACCCTCGTACAGTCCCCGGGAGCTCAGGTTGAGCTGCCCGCTCTTCCTGGCGCTCTTCAGCAGTCCCTGGGGCACCGCCGGCTCGCTCCTCTGAGTCCGGAATCCGCTCAGAGAGTCGTGTCCATGTGCACCTCTCCCCCGCCGCATAGTCTCTCAAATTCACCCACAGCACCAGGACAAGATCAGGACACAGTGCAACCCCGAAGACACCCACAGCAGCACTACAGACGGTGAGTTGCACCCAAAAAGTCAGGAAACACCCCGAAGACACCCACAGCAACACCCTAAAGTAAACAGTCTGAAGCCAGAACCCGCAACACTCTGTTGTACCCTCCCTAGTCCCCAGTGCTCTGTACTCTACTCTCTACTCTGTACTATGTACTCTGTACTATGTACTATGTACTCTGTACTATGTGCCCTGTGCCCTGTGCCCTGTGCTCTGGAGCAGCTCGGGTGAAAAAACTAACGCCCTCTGTTGGTTTGGAGATTGAAAGAGAAAATGCGATAAAACTTTAAAACTTTTAGGCAAAACTGAACTAACACTGCAAATGTCATTCTTAATATTATCAGACCATTACAGTTTCATATGTGTGCATTAATTAATTAATTAATTCATTTATTTTATTATATATAATTTTTTTTTAATGAACATCAGTTTTGATTAACTTCCGGTCACGTGAGCCATAGACCGGAGACAGCTGTTTAGCGGCGGGAGGAAACAGTTGTCCAGCGCCACATTCAACTGAGAAACATCGCGATCACACCGTGATCACACGGCCAGGACACGGCCAGCACGGGGAGTTAGCTGTCGCCGGGGGAGATGGAGCGGCTCTTCAGTAAAGCTTTGTCTGTGTCCGTGCGAAACCGGGACTGCGACGAGAGGTGAGGAGTCCGGGGGACACCGTGAGACTAACCGATCACACGCACACATGTACTCTACCGGAGACTTAAGGCCTGCCTGATGGGTCCACTACCCCCTGTGTGGTCTCTCATCTTATAGCAGCATCGGTACTAGTGCCTGCGGTTATTGTGATTGTGCCGTAAGACCGGACAGCCGTCTCGTCCACAGTGACTGCCTCATTTTCACTTTTAATAATGCTCTTTCCATCTGTTACTGCTGTTTTGTTTTGTTTTGCTGACAGAGGGAACACTGAACTTTGTGCCAATTTAGTTTCATGTAGATTGAACCAGTAATCACAGAGATATGAACCTCAAAACTAGCTTTGGTTGCACAAGTTCCACCTCAACCGTGTGATTTTGATTTTAAATTTCATAAACATGAGCCATCTGTGTACCAGGATACGAGGTACACATGTCCAAATCAAAATAGATTTTACTGAAAATAATTGTATTGTTGATTTCTTCTTTGTTACAAAAACGGTCAGATTGGCCAAGTTGTTTATGTTGTAATTCCATGTTTTCTGGAGGTTGTGAGCTTTCACTTGAGGCATGGTCTGTCCATATACTGAGAATGACACAATCTTGTGTATGTCCTATCACCAGATTCACTTGTGATTAGAGTACCTACTTTAAAACTATATGAGCACAGACTACATGCAGCTCTTTTAAAGTAAACTTTTTCAAGAGCCAAATGTCAACACACAGATGAAGCACTGGGCCAACAGTGGGCCACAAACTGGTGGTCCATAATTTAAAAATGCTTTTAAAACCGGTTAGAATAAGCCTGTTCATGCTTATATCCTCAAAAGCACACACTAAATATTGAATTCTGACTTTACCAAGGTAGATTTTCAGGAAAAGTACGAATGTTTCTAATGTTATAGGGCCAATTAAAGTAGAACTCTAAGGGCCAAGAACAATTGGCGGGAGATTGTGGAGTTGCCTGTTTTAAAATCATCTGAGTGGATTATTCTCCTCCTGTGCTGTATCATAGTGGATTTGTATCAAACCTTTGACTTCTTTCAGGGAGCAATGGAAGGGGGCAGGGTCAGTAACAACAGTACAAGCTTAATGAACACTATATTTTCATAGTAAAACACAGGGACAGAGTGGAGAATAAACTGCTGTTGGGGCCCCTGCTATATTTGAACCTATGTTGTCTTCATCTCCACAGAAAAAGCACCATCCGCGTCACTATAGATCTGCAGCTGTCTGCCACCACAGTCCACAAAAGGGTAAGTCACCACTCCTCACTCATTTCATAAACACCATGATTTCACTGTCTCTCAGTCTGTGTATGGGGAGCTATTATGGAACTCTTCGAGATACTAATTTAACTGTTGTAAAAATGCACAAGGACAAAATAATTGCATAATGTATGGAAAATGAAAGTACTTGAGTGCAAAGACTACCATTTTCTACGTTTGAGTCAAGAGCAACAAAGAGCGATGGATTTTCTGCTTGGCTGTTTTTGCCTCATCTATGTACACAGAGACACAGAGTTTAGTTTTATTTGTCTGTTTAGTATGTTTGGGAGGGCAATAATTAATGATATTACTGTGACCGTTGTGACTGCCTCCTGTTGTCCCGTTGTGGGGCAGGGCCAGGTAGTCAGGGGCACCTGGGCCCGGTGTCCCTGGCTCTAGGTTTATGGTACGTTGCGATTCTTGAACCATGGGTCGTAACATTGTTGTTTTGAACATGACCACCTTCTATAGTTATCGGGATACTCAAGAAAGACTCCTTCTGAGCATTCAGGTTCTGCCTTCTCTTTGACTCATTTAACTATTGTTTTGTGTTTCTTTTATCAGAGTCTGTATGTCAAACTGACTGATGACAAAGACCCATACTTCCTGTTCACCCTGTCCATCTCAGAGGAGGACTTTCAAAGGTCTGTGGAGTTGGATCTGTGACTAGGTGGCCCTCTGCTGGCTCATTAGCCATGTTTCCATTGGCACAGTAAGAATGCTGTGTGCGCTGGTACAGCTGCGGGTCCAGGGGCAGGTCTCTATGGTGACACCAGTGATTCACCGAGCAGACTGTATAAAAAAAAGTGCATTAAAGTTAGTTTGACATCACCCACAACATTTGGCTCCAATGAAGTTTGTCGAAATGAAGCTTGTGGAGGCTAGCACATATATAGGCATATTTGGTGCCAAGTTCCATATTTGAAATTCCAACTGCATATGAAAGCAACTAAAGAGCCAATAGAGGGTGAGGGTGTTGAAGGTAATGACCCTTCTCACCCACACCACTGGTTTAGCAGGGAGTAGGCGCTTAGAAACACCGTCTATCAAATGTCTAAAACTAAGAAAATCCAGCTGTTTTGCTAGTTTTACTCTTTGATATAAACATTGGAATCACTTTCAGACCAATTAAATCCAAAGAACCAATGAAAAAAAGCCTGTTGGTATGGTGTGAGTACTTTGTTGCACCCTCTTCTGGCATATTAGAATGGTGGTCATGTGTTCTGTGTTTCAGTCTCAAAGTGCAGCAGGGCCTTCTTGTGGACTTTGGCTCATTCCCTCAGAAGTTTATTGAGCTGCTGCAGCTGTGCCACAGTGAGCAGGAGGCCGACAGCCCCAGGTATGGCTTCTGTCCGCTCCCTGTGACAACAGACTCCTCATGACAACAGATACTGCTCCACCCTTGACACCTGATCAGTTCTGCAACACCAGGCCCCTCCCCACTACAACAGACTCCTCCCCCTACCATACCAGGCTCCTCTTCCCATGACAACAAGCCACTTTTTGGATTTGTTTCCTAACTGAGGACATTTACACTTTGATAGATCTGGAAAACCTGTTTCTTTTTCTTTGGTGCATGGTTAATCAGTCACCAAATTATGTCTTATGTATTCACTCATCTATGTGTGTGGCAGGTTCCTGCTGCAGCTGTGCTCTCAAGGCCCTGCTCCTGAGGGCCCAGCCACCCTCAGTGTGGTGGAGACAAATGCCTTCAAACACCTGAACCATCTGAGCCTGCGCCTGTCACCTGGCTCCGACAGGGACGTCAAGGACTACCTGGCCTCCTGCTTGTCCCGCTTAAAGGTGGGTTTAACTTTGTTAGTGGGATTCATGGGCAGTTTACAGCCGGATGGAACCCTTATGGACATGTGTGTGGACATGTTGAACTCCTCAGGAGGAGAAGGAGGAGCTGGATTTGAGGCTGAAGAGGACTGAAGAGGACTTGTCCAGACAGTTGTCCTGTACCCAGCAGGTGTGTCTCCTTTAAGAGGCTCTGTCCACGTATATCCTGTCTCTCTCTCTCATTAACTGTCTGTTTCAGACTCTGTGTGAAAAGAGTAAAGAGCTGGAGAAACTGCGTTCAGAATGGACCAGTCAGACCAGCTCTCTGTCCAGTCGCTACTCCGAGGAGCTGCAGAGCGAGAGAGAGAAGACCCTGGAGGTAAGACCAGCCCAGGCTGCTCAGGATCAGCTTCTTGTTCATCTTAGTCTCCTGTCACCTATTGTTTTGCTCCATACTTTGCTCCTTTGCTCTGCTCCTGGTGCAGTTACAGAGTCGCCTGCAGGAGCAGGCGGACCACCTCAGACAGGAGCTGGAGAGTAGTCACCGTATCAGCTCTCAGCAGCTCCACTCCAGGGTCTCCGAACTGGAGATGTCCTGCCGGGAGCTCACCGAAAGGAAGTACAAGAACGAGGCCACCATCAGGGACTTGAGAATGAAGCTGGTGGCAGCAGAGGAGGTGAGACCAGGAGGCACAAGGACAGAAGTTCAGCAGAGCTTCTTGTGTATTTCACTGCTTTCACAATCACAGAGCACTACAATGTGCTACAGAGAAGATCCTCTGCTCTGTAATGGGGTCTGTTACTTAGATTAGGGCTGGGCCCATATTGATCGATTTAGATTTTCAATTTGATCTTCTTCCATCTTATTAAAAACAGACACACGGGCACAGTGTCAGGATAACTACAGGTTTAATTTTGCGTTGATAGGACCAATAATTCAAGAGAAATTCACTTTTAAAGGTTGGAATTAGTTTGCACAATGTACAAGTAGTTAGTTTGTACCAGTAGCTGCATAAACACGTGCAACGTGTGTGCTACCGCTATCAACAGAAACACTTGCAATGTTCGTGCCCTAAATGAGGTCTTAAGTTTCACTTATAAACAGTGAGAACATAGTCGTTGATTTTCCATAACCAAATAACGATGAGAAGCACCAGAGGAGAGAAAGAGAAAATTTGAAGAGCTGGATCAGAGAGAGGGGGGAGGGCAGACAGCACTGCACACATAAAGACCGAAACAGAGAGACACTGTGACGCTGTGGCTTTTTCCTAAACAGGAGAACATAAATCCTCATCAACACCACACACTCTTACTGCCACAGGATTAGCTGTTAGCCTGTCAATCAATGAAGAAGATGATGATGAATGAATGAATTAAATGCTCATGAATTGTGCTAAAACAGCACAATCACCCTCATAGTCCTCCTTCAGAGCTGAGGTCTTAGTTTGTATGTAACCCTTTTTTCCATGGGTCTTTAGGAGAGCCAGCGCTCCAAGCAGCAGGTGCTGTCCCTGAGAAGAGAGAACAGCCTTCTTGATGCTCAGAGCCATGAGAAAGAACGTGCACTGAGCCAGCTGCAGATGAGAGTGGCCGTACTGGAGCAGGAGATCAAGGACAAGGAGTTGCTCATGAGCCGCACCAAAGACGTCCTGGAGGCCACGCAGCAGCAGAAGGTCCAGACAAGCATGCCTGCTTATGCCCCAACCCTGTCGCTACACCCCATACCCTGTCGCTACACCCCATACCCTGTCGCTACACCCCATACCCTGTCGCTACACCCCCTGTCGCTACACCCTGTCGCTACACCCTGTCGCTACACCCTGTCGCTACACCCTGTCGCTACACCCTGTCGCTACTCCCTATACCCTGTCGCTACATCCTGTCTCTACACCCCATACCCTGTCACTTTTTACTTGGGTATATGTTATAATACTCCCTACAATGGAAACAGGCAGATGAGTACACAGTACTACCACAATGTGCTGGATTCTCCTGCCTGTCTTTACCACACTCTGATTACTACAATTAATTGTACACAGTACACAGTAAGTAATTTTTGTAAGGGGCTTGTTAATTGTGAGTAGCTAAGGATTCACAAGCGTCACAAAGTCCCATGTGTTTGTTCAAGCAGACTCTGAGACACACATATGGACACATTGTTGGATTCAGATGCATGTTTGTTCTATTCAAATGTCTAGCTCTGATGTAATCTTTTTTATTTAAATCACATTTGTGTTCAAGCCTTGACCTAAAATAATCATTAAAATATTATCAGATCAAGTGTGTGGTGAAACATTACATATCTTTGTTTTTAGGTGTCCATAGAAGAAAATGTTGAAGGCAAAGAGCTTCAGATCAAAAAACTGGAGGTGACAGTGAAATCTCTGTCAGAGGAGCTGCTCAAGGTGACTAGCATGTGCCTCTGGGCCTGGGATCCTCTTTATGGAGTGTGTCCTATTGTCTCGTCTGCCTGCAGGCCAATAACATCATCCAGAAATTGCAGACGGAGGTCAAGAATCTGGTGGGGAAGATAAAAGTGAAGAACACTGTGACCGTATCCCAGGAGAAAGTCCTCCAGGAGACCAGTGAGAAACTGCAGAGTGTGGAGAAAGAGCTCCTCAGTAGCCAGCAGCAGCTCAGTACCAAGGACCAGCAGGTACACTACCAGTCAAAACTTTTAAAACACCCTAATTTTTCCAATTATTTATTGCAATTCAAGTCGTGGAAGTCCATTGAAGAGCTTGAAATGGTACAAAGGTATGAACTGAACAGACAGAAGTTAAAAAAAAAGATAAAAGATACAAAACACAAGTCCAAGCTCTGCCAAAATGACCTCAGGAAAAAAGGACAAGATGGTGAGCTTGAACATGGAGTGTCCTGCACAGTGTCCAGACTTAAACCCCATCGAGCTGGTTTGGGATGAATTGGACAGAAGAGTGAAGCAAACCAAGAGTGATGCAACCTACAAGTGAAGCAACCTATAAGTGCAACAGACTTGGAACTTTCTGAAGAATATTTGATTTCTATTGTAAAAAGAAGCTGTTATCTGTCAAAGGTGGACACTTTGATCAATCAAAAGTTTAGAATATGTTTTGGTCAACAGACTGAGAACAACAAACTGGAAAAAGTGTGGTGGTCTCAAAGTTTTGACCAGCTCTACTGGAGCATTCTAATCATGCACAGCACAGCCACATCCCTTTCCTTATGAGGTCACAGACAGACCACAACCGCGCCCATTTATTGTATTACTCAAACCACTGGGTCTAAACCACAAAGGGAGAGTAACTAGACTGGAGCAGAGCTAGCCCAAGAAGCTGAAAACGTTATGATCTGGAAATAGTTACTTATTTTCAGACTTTATTTGAGATTTCGTTGCTGCAGTATCCGAGTGGTCCCTAATCCAACTCACGACAGGTCTAAGATGGCAATATCCAGTTATTTGAATAGTTTGAGAGTATCAGAGAGAGAGAGATACTTTATTGAGGAAATTCAAGGTGTTAGTTAGGTAGTAGTCAAGGCCTGATCCCATCAGATCTCAAAAGCTAAGCAGGGCCAGGTCTGGTTAGTACTTGGATGAGAGACCACTGGGAAAATCAGGTGGGGGCGCCAGTCATAAAATTGGCTCTTCACCCTCATTGCCTAGTATGAAAGTGGTGTGGGCATAAGTGATGGTGGTGGTTGATGGCGCAGATTGGCAGCCTCGCTTCCGTCAGTCTGCCCTAGGGCAGCTGTGGCTACAGTAGTAGCTCACCACCACCAGGTCTGGAGTGAATGAATAATGCTCTGTAAAGCATCCAAACAATCCATGTATAAAACTGATGCATTATTATTAATATTATTATTATTATTATTATTATTATTATTATTAAGCAAAAGATGTTCATTTTGTCTTCTTATATACTTTAACTTCTTGGGTTCTTTTTTAAGACAATGCAGTAAAGTGTGTTTACCTTGTTGACATGTTTCGGCTGCTAGCAGCAAGCCATCTTCAGAACTGTCAACGGTGTTGGTGGTGACGTGTCGTATATCAGCTGTTGTTACTTCCTGTAGGCGTGGTCAGCCTGATGGACCTGGCAGGTCGCTCAGACTGACCACGCCTCCCGTCGCCCGGTGTTCTCTGAAGAAGGGTGTCCCAGGTGTGTGAAAGGAGGAACGCGCCGTCATCACGGTTAATGCTGTCCGTGCCTCGTTTCCTGATTTCAATGGCCTCCTAGGAAACGAAGGCACGGACAGCATTAACCGTGATGACGGCACGTTCCTCCTTTCACACACCTGGGACACCCTTCTTCAGAGAACACCGGGCGACGGGAGGCGTGGTCAGTCTGAGCGACCTGCCAGGTCCATCAGGCTGACTACGCCTACAGGAAGTAACAACAGCTGATATACGACACGTCACCACCAACACCGTTGACAGTTCTGAAGATGGCTTGCTGCTAGCAGCCGAAACATGTCAACAAGGTAAATACACTTTATTGCATTGTCTTAAAAAAGAACCCAAGAAGTTATATTATTATTAATAATGCATCAGCCTTGTTGTTCTCCTCAGATCAGTGCACTGAAGGAGCAGCTGGAGTCCACAGTACAGAAGCTGAACGAGAGCAGAGAGGTGCTCAAGACCAATGAGAATGGTATGTGTGTGAGGATGGCTAAGGGCGGGCGAGGGCGGGCGAGGGCGGATGAAGACAGGTGACACACTCTTTCTTGAGAAAATAGATTGTGATTTTCAACATGGTTGAGCTTTCTTTTCTATTACCATTTGATCTCTGGCCCTGTGTAATCCCTCATTGGTCCAGGCAGGTTCCATAGTGCTCTATGTTTGTTGCAGTGATCAACTGGCTCAACAAGCAGCTCAATGAGAGACAGATCAGCGACAGACACCAGACCAGAGCGGCTCCTCCAGAACCTGCTGCTCCCACCGGTGCAAAGGTGACATTACACTGGATACACGGCAGCGTTCTAGGGACGTCATGTGATTTAGACTTAAAAGGGCAGACTAGAAGAGCTTTATAATTGATTATTGTAATTCCTCTGCCTACTTTTATCTCTCAGACAATATGTATTTTTATGCATTTTTATGATAATTTTATCTGAAATTTGAAAGGTTTCAGTTGGACCTAATGCCATGCACACAGATACGGTTACTGAACTGAGCCGATACAACATGCCTTTCCAGAGCCCTGTGTATCCTCTCACACTCCCTCCTGTGGGGGGTGCTCTGAGCACTCCAGCTGACCTGCGGGGGACCACACAGCTGTGAGTACGCTTTTGTGAGTGAGACCATAGTGGTCAGTCCATACGAAATCAGCTGCCCTCTCCTATGAGCCATCTCAGATTTGACTGAAAAAAATTCTAAACATTTCTAAAATTACCATATGAAAGAATCTCAAATTTTAGCTCAATCCCTTGAGTCGTTCCTGAGTTATGGCCTGTTGAAATTTTGGGGAAAATGTGTATTATTGTAGATTCTTTGTTATTCTTGGTTCTAAATCTGTTGTCAAATATTGGGCATCTTTGTTAAGGGGGTCACTGTGGGCCCCCAGAATCTCACATTTGGTTGCCGCTCATGCAATACTTGCAATACTTGTTGTTTTTTTTTACTCTGTCTGTACCTGATAAAAGTGATGTGTGCTTGTTAGAGACGCTGCAGGGCTTGACTCCAAGTATTTTGAGAGAATGGACAGTATCCCCATCTACGGCCTGGCCTCCAGCTTGGTTTCCAACAAAGGTACAGCTCTCAAACCCCACTGTACACCATCCTAAAAATAATCAACCAAAGAGTTTTAGGCTCAGTCATGTTTCCACATGTGACAGCCAGCCCTGTGCTCTGTTTCAGACATCCCTCGGCAGACCAAAGCCTCTGTACCTTCAGCATACTTTTCCTCCTGACCTCCTCCTGATCTCCTCCTGACCTTCTGATCTAAGACCAGTTCACGTGACCAGCTCCTCAAGTACTGACCTGAATGATCTACAAAGAACTCTTTTGTATTGCTTTAGCTCTGGTTTAAGTCTTTTCAAATTAAACAGATACTTTTCTATTTATAAAACTGTCAAAAATTAAAAACTTTAGATCGATACATTTGATTCAGTCGTCTTCACCAGAGTCACATGAGCCTGATGCTTCTACAACCAAACACAGCCAGAAAAGCAAAGAGAGCTGTAGTGCCCTGTACTGTAGAAAAACTGAAGAGCAAATATTGTATTTTTTGTAGTATTTGTGAACTGTGGTGACTAGAAATGTGCACATCTTTATATATTTTGTCTTGTTGTAATTACTTATTTTCCTCAATTTGATGAAAAATAACAACTATTACTCCAGCCACCATTCCAAAGTGCATAGTCAAAGTATATACAGACAGGAATGTACACAGACTACGCAGGAGCTTGAGTTGTAGCTTTTTAATATTCTGTATATTTGCATAAAGAAACACATGATTTTATTTGCAGTAATAAAGGTACTGTAGGTTGCAGTATTAAATATGGCTGTATGCGAGCGATGCTCTGGAGCAGAGGAGCATATCCTGGGTTGTGTGTGGAGTCCAAGCTGCCTCAGAGGCACCTGGGTGGTGTGTGTGTGTGTGTGTGGGGTCCAGAGGGAGCTGGGTTGTGTGGAAGGATGACCGGTCTCACAGGTCTTGGACACCAGGATCCACAGAGGTATGTTCACGTTGACTCAGAAGAACCTCCAGAGCTTTCATTTGGAGCAGATGATAACTGAAGGCAAACTGAAGGCGGCTGCTTTGTACTTTAGGAGGTATTGATGCTGGAGCTGAGCTCAAAGCAGAGGGCTGTGCTCGCATGCAGCAGTACTGGTTTAGTCCAACTCAAGCCAAGGCACATCATGTGATCAGAAGAGTCCGTGCAAACGTCCAATAAGAAGGGACTTTGTTTAAATGGGAAAGAGCATCTTCTGTCTCAGCCATGCATCGAGATCAGAGCTCAGCCTGCACCATGCATGTCGCACAAGCAACACACGCACAAGCAACACGCACAAGCAGCACACGCACACACACACAGCACACACACACAGCACTCACACACAGCACTCACACACAGCACTCGGTCAGTGTACATTAAACACAACTACCCCTGCAAAGAGACATACTGCACTAATGCATCAGCCCCACGGGGGGTCTGATCATCACAGCTTTCACCACACCTGTGAGCAACCTGTATTTAACATGGTGTTAATGTCTGCATATGTTACAGGTGCAGAGGAAGCGTCTGGGGAGCGCTTGTTAAACAAGCATATTTAATACTTAAGTTAATCTTTAAAGTGTCTCGTGCTTTTTGTTTGGGGGGGGGTCCCTTCTCTTACATTTCTATTCTTTAGAACAAACACAACATACATCACTGTCACCACCTGGAGGCAACACAGAGGAACGCAGGAGTAGCTGCCATGGTTACGACTTATGTCTATGACATAAACAAGTGCTGTAAAGTCCAATACAATCATACGTGTATATACATATATCACACGTGATACGTGAACTCATGTCTCTATCCTTAAAAAACAAAACAAAAAATTTAAAAGTGCTACAGAGTTTAACGATATTATCATAATATAAGAACATACCTAACAGAATGAAACCGAATGATTAGAACAAGCGTTGGGTGTGGGCTAACCACCATGCAGAATGCCTCTAAAAGTAGAGCCACTGCACACTGACTGAACACTGCACAAACGCACACACACATCTACACATCCTTCTTCGGGACACTGCATTGACTTACATTAATTTCCCAAGCCTGAGCCCAACATTAACCATAGTCACTACTTTTGACCACTACTTGTGACCATAGTCACTACTTGTAACCTTAACCTAAACCCTAACCTGAACCCAACTTAACCCATATCTATACTTTAAATCATGTTGTTAATTGATACACACACATGCACGCACGCACACACGCACACACACACACACACACACACACTTGGACATGAGGACATGTGGGCCTCAAGGACTGACCGAGCTTCAGAGCCCTTTGAGAAGTTGTGATGTGAAGAGCACATAGTCCAACAACCTGCTCATACGTGGAGCACAAAGTCCAACAGCCTGCTCCTGTGAGGAGCTAGGGCCTGCAGTCCGGACATCACTGCCGTGTTATTGCCAAGTGCTCGCCATGTAACCGTCCTCAGGTACCAGTGTCATGGATAACATGGATTTAGTGTGATTGTCTCTAAAATAGAAAAGCTCTCTCCTCATTTATAGAGAAAGTAAAAGCAGGGCATTGGCTTAATACGTTACATTATTGACAAATTCAAAAGTGCAAAGAAACTTCAGATAGAAACTTCCCATGGTTCATAAAAACAGACTTGCATATATGGTAAGCAGCACCAGCAGAGGGGGCAGGAGGGCCACACAGGGGCCATACAGGGGCCCTATAGGGGCCATTGCATATCATCTTCTCCTGTGACATAGTCATACCTCAGCCTTCTCAGTTCCCCAGGTACCATGACTGAAAAACACAGACAGGAGAGACATTAGAACACAGAGGAGCTGGATGTTGTCTGTCATGTCCAATCCGTGATGGTCATGTCCAGCATTTCACCTGACACTCCACAGAGGGATATCCAGCTACGACACACAATAAGGCCCAGGTGAGTCTATATCTGTCGTGAGGGCACACATTGTCACTTGTTTCAGCGCCAGGTAGAGTTAGTGCCCTGCGTCTGGCAGACTTGTGTTAGTGCGGACTTGTGTTAGTGCGGACTTGTGATAGTACACACCTGTGTTAGTGTGGACTTGTGTTAGTGCACACTTGTGTTAGTGTGGACTTGTGTTAGTACACACTTGTGTTAGTGTGGACTTGTGTTAGTACACACTTGTGTTAGTGCACACTTGTGTTAGTACACACTTGTGTTAGTGTGGACTTGTGTTAGTACACACTTGTGTTAGTGCACACTTGTGTTAGTACACACTTGTGTTAGTGTGGACTTGTGTTAGTGTGGACTTGTGTTAGTACACACTTGTGTTAGTGCACACTTATGTTAGTACACACTTGTGTTAGTGTGGACTTGTGTTAGTACACACTTGTGTTAGTGCACACTTGTGTTAGTGCACACTTGTGTTAGTGCACACTTGTGTTAGTGTGGACTTGTGTTAGTACACACTTGTGTTAGTGTGGACTTGTGTTAGTGCACACTTGTGTTAGTACACACTTGTGTTAGTGTGGACTTGTGTTAGTGCACACTTGTGTTAGTGTGGACTTGTGTTAGTGTGGACTTGTGTTAGTGTGGACTTGTGTTAGTGTGGACTTGTGTTAGTACACACTTGTGTTAGTGTGGACTTGTGTTAGTGCACACTTGTGTTAGTGCACACTTGTGTTAGTGCACACTTGTGTTAGTACACACTTGTGTTAGTGTGGACTTGTGTTAGTACACACTTGTGTTAGTGTGGACTTGTGTTAGTGTGGACTTGTGTTAGTACACACTTGTGTTAGTGTGGACTTGTGTTAGTGCACACTTGTGTTAGTGCGCACTTGTGTTAGTGCACACTTGTGTTAGTGTGGACTTGTGTTAGTACACACTTGTGTTAGTGTGGACTTGTGTTAGTGCACACTTGTGTTAGTGTGGACTTGTGTTAGTGCACACTTGTGTTAGTGTGGACTTGTGTTAGTACACACTTGTGTTAGTGTGGACTTGTGTTAGTGCACACTTGTGTTAGTGTGGACTTGTGTTAGTGTCGGACTTGTGTTAGTGTGGACTTGTGTTAGTGTGGACTTGTGTTAGTGTGGACTTGTGTTAGTACACACTTGTGTTAGTGTGGACTTGTGTTAGTGCACACTTGTGTTAGTGCACACTTGTGTTAGTACACACTTGTGTTAGTGTGGACTTATGTTAGTACACACTTGTGTTAGTGTGGACTTGTGTTAGTACACACTTGTGTTAGTGCACACTTATGTTAGTACACACTTGTGTTAGTGCACACTTATGTTAGTACACACTTGTGTTAGTGCACACTTGTGTTAGTACACACTTGTGTTAGTGCACACTTATGTTAGTACACACTTGTGTTAGTGTGGACTTGTGTTAGTACACACTTGTGTTAGTGTGGACTTGTGTTAGTGCACACTTGTGTTAGTGCACACTTGTGTTAGTGCACACTTGTGTTAGTGTGGACTTGTGTTAGTGCACACTTGTGTTAGTGTGGACTTGTGTTAGTGTGGACTTGTGTTAGTGCACACTTGTGTTAGTGTGGACTTGTGTTAGTACACACTTGTGTTAGTGTGGACTTGTGTTAGTGCACACTTGTGTTAGTGTGGACTTGTGTTAGTGTGGACTTGTGTTAGTGCACACTTGTGTTAGTGCACACTTGTGTTAGTACACACTTGTGTTAGTGTGGACTTATGTTAGTACACACTTGTGTTAGTGTGGACTTGTGTTAGTACACACTTGTGTTAGTGCACACTTATGTTAGTACACACTTGTGTTAGTGTGGACTTGTGTTAGTACACACTTGTGTTAATGCACACTTGTGTTAGTGCACACTTGTGTTAGTGCACACTTGTGTTAGTGCACACTTGTGTTAGTACACACTTGTGTTAGTACACACTTGTGTTAGTGCGGACTTGTGTTAGTGCACTTGTGTTAGTGCACACTTGTGTTAGTGCACACTTGTGTTAGTGCACACTTGTGTTAGTGCACACTTGTGTTGCAGACCTGTGTCAGTGACTGACCTGAGCCTGGTAGGCGCTGCCCGTGTCCCGAGGACTGACCCCAGAGAAGGAGGCTGGAGCTGCAGGAGGAGACCCAGGAGCCGAGTATGCTGAGGACACATGGACACACAGTTACATAAGAGCTGTCCATCCAGACAGAGGAGGCACACAGTCCAGAGCACAACACATTTTTACAGTCCAGCTAGAGAGAGGAATCAGACTATTATAAATGAGCACGTTCAACATTATTTCCCTCAAAGATGTTTATTGAAATTGATATTGGGTGATTACTTCACAACAAGATGAATTCCAACAATATTTGCCATCCCAAATACCCATCTTTTACAGCCTTTTCTGCTGAGTTAGTGCGCTAGCCACCAGTGGGTCAGAGCGATTGACCAGTCACAGTGGATGGAGATGGACAGAGAAGAAAAGAAGCAGAAAGGGACATACTGGGGGACGTAGGCGAGTTGGCCCCTCCCTCTGATGTGCTGCGGGGTGTAGCTTTGGACTCAGCGTGTGCTGAAGAGGGAGGTGGAGCCAAGGATGATGTGGGCGCTGGTGGTACAAGCATCTGAGAGGAGATGTAATGACCGGGCACCTTTAACTGCCCACTACCGTTTAGCTGAAACAAAAGGAGAATGGGCAGAGGAGTGGTTAGCTGCACACAGACCTCTGAGACTACTGACTGTCTGCATCAGCTGTTTGTCTTTGTGTGTCACACCTCGGACTGATGTGCACTTTGCAGGTGAGTTGTTAACTAGTTGTCTTAACCTCTAACCCCGCTTTTCCTCTTACAGTATAAGTTAAGTAAAGCGGAGTCTGGATTGCATTGGTGACATTTTAAGATCTTAAGAATTAAAATCATGGGTTTAAAACTAAAAATCCCCTTGAACTCCCTCTTGACCCTGAGACAGCCCCTGTGGCAGAGTATTTACTCACGGAGCTGGAGCTGTGTGCGGCTGGCTCGCAGGCCAGAGACACCAGGTCTTTCAGCGGGTCCTGGGACAGGTGCGGAGGGTAACGGATGGTGCCATGAGGGAAGTATGAGGACGAGGGGAAGTGGAGAGAGGCAGCAGGGTGAGGGCTACGGGACAGGCCTGGACACAGCAATGTTTAAAACATCAGCACATTATTTTCAGACTTCTGTCTGTACTGTGTTGAGGTGAGTGAAAATGGTATCTATGTTATGTATTAACAATATGGAATCATTCTACATATTCAAAGCACATTTACAGCTCATTCCTCAGAGGGAGTGTAGTGTGAGTGCAGTGCCTTGCACAAAGACACAACATCAGTATGAATGGTAACAGTATTGAACTGACCACTGTGCACTGCAATGACCGGCCTGTGGTGCTGTGTGAAGCCCAGTCTGGGGGAGTGTTCCTGGGGAGGGGGGCTTTCCAGCTCTGCCTTCTTCACTGTGGGGGACAGAGCTCCTAGAACACACAGGAGGAGTGTACATGCTCATTTTACACAAATAGATTTAAGATGTAATTATCATATAAATGTTTGCTGATGTTTATATATGTAAAATATGGAGATAGAATTTTGTTATGAGTGGGTGGACTCCCTGTATATCATGAGCTTTCATGACACTGTGTTCTGGACTGTGGCTGTGTGACCCTGAGCTCCATCCTGACCTGTGTCCATGTCATCGGCCCAGTGGCGGGAGCTGCTGGCTGGGGACACAGGGGACGGGTAGTACTCAGGCCCGGGACTGTCCGCCTCGTCCTCTACTGAGCCCGACTTGTGTCTCTTACTCCTGGAACAGCACACACAACTGCACCAATCAGAGATATTATTTACTGTCTCATCTATGCCATTCATTCAATGATCTAAGGCACTAGGATCCTTTACAAAAGCATCGGCTTTATATAGCTCAGTTTGGTTTTGATGCACAGAAAATTGCCATTGTCTTATCAGCATGAGAAGGCTCACCCACTTGAGGAGGTGCTGGCCAGAGAGCGCCTCATGCCCCCAGGCAGCTGCACTGCTGGGCTCAGGTCGTAGGCCAGGTGCCCCTGGAGCTCACCTACAGAGTAACTGGGAGGGGTTCCTGAAACCACAGGTGCTGCACACATAGAACGCGTCACCTCAAACACTGTCTTACGCACACGCACACATACACATACATACGCATTGTCCAGTGAAGGAGCACTTACTTCTGGAGACTTGCACCAGCTCAGTCACACTGAACACCCCCGACGTGACAAAGTTCTCTTGGAAGTCCGGGCTGTCTGAGGAGCACAGGGCTCATTCAAAAAAGCCACTACAACATTTCCTCTATCAAAAGGACATTGCAAATAATCTACTTCTGCCACAGCAGTATATGCCATTTTTAAAGTGTGTATTGAGAGAGAGAGTTGGTAACATACCTGTAGAAGGCACCAACCTATCATCTTTCTCTGAGCTCACCCTGGTGGGACTGCACTGCTCTGCATCTACAGGACATAACATTACATAAGCAGAGAAATCCCCTCATATGCCCAGCTGTGTTTAAATGTGACCTAATAATTCATTCACTCCACACTTGCTGGTGGTAAACTGCTACAGCCACAGCTGCCCTGAGGCAAAGTGACAGAAGTGAAGCTGCCAATCTGCATCATCGGACCACCACCAACACCCATGCACACCTCACATTCATACTAGGCAACATGGGTGTAGTGTCTTGCTTAAGAACACAATGTGGGTGGATGAGTGCCCTAACCACTGAGCAAAAACTTAAGCCTTGTGCCATTACCATGCCAAGAGTCTGTCAGGGCAGAAGAAGCAGTGGGTTGTGTAGTTTGTGATTTTATGATGCTTTGAACATTCACACAGGTGGAATCAGTTTGGCAACTGAAAGTGTGGGCAACTCATAAACCATACAGGTTACAGATTTACCAGGGGTGGGAGACATGGCACAGGGCACAGGTCCAAGAAGCTTCTGCCTCTTTTCTGTGGGCTGCCTGTTTGTAAACGCACCTCGCTCCTGCACGTAGAAGGCCAGGTACAGGTCCAGCTCTTTGATGGAGACGGAGATGTGACGCGGCTGGACACACAACACAGGGTTGGAGCACTGACCGCCCTTCACCAGACGCTCTCCGTCTGTGCTCTCCAGAGGGATGCCCTTAAACAGGATGACCATGACCAAGTCCAAACGCCACACCTGGAACCAAGCACATGCAGTCAGCCCTGTTTACAGCCCTGTCTCAACCCCGTCTCAGCCCTGTTTACAGCCCTGTGTCAGCCCTATCACAGCTCTATCCCTGTCTCCAAGGGGGATATACACAGTATTTATTTTGAGTTGGTTCATACAGCACAGTTTTATCACTTCCCATTTGAATTTGACACAGTAATAGCTACATGTTTGACTTTAAAAGCCTTGTTTTTTTCTATATTTTTCTATTTTCTATTGCTATTTTCTGATCTATGTTATATCTGTATGTGGCAATAACGCGGGACACCTTCAATAGAATCATTTGGATCATTTTAGCCCTGGGTATATTTTTAACAAGGCTTAAAGGTCACAAGAGTTAATTTAGCATAATATAGGACCTTTAACCTGTTCTTTTGATTGGAGAATAAGACTGTACCTTATCGGCCTGTCTGAGACAGTCTATGCGCCGCATCTTGCCTTTCTGGTCCGGGTTGGACAAGACACAGCTGGCCGCTTTCTTTCCTGTGATGGACAGGACAAAGTCTTCTCTGCACTCTGGTCTGATGTCTTTCCGGAGCTTAGCCAAGAGTCGACTGGCCCACTTCTGTTTGACCTGCACAGAGACAGATCCAAAACAACACTTCAACATAAGCAGCAGAGAAAGTAGTATGCCTCTGTGTCTCTCATCTCTCCAGACACTCACCTCTGGTTTCTCTCCCAGCAGTTCTTCTTTGACGGCGTTCTCCTCCTCTTTGCTCATCCTCTTCTCGTGTTTCTTGAAATACTTCCTCTTGCGGGCCTGGAGGTTAAACCAGGTGTAGGAGAAGGCTCGGACCTGCGGCAGCAGTGCCTCGATGAATGGATGGAACTCATCCTGGACACAGGCAAGGCACAGGAGTTTCTATATAGTGTACTGTATGGCACAGTTCCCCTCTCTGTACTTGTATACTGTATACTGTACTCCATAGGTCCTGTATATGTACAGTATGTATACTGCAGACTTGTTAAACCAGAGCAACAGCGTGCAATCATCTTTACAATCATGCCTTGATTTTGCCCAAGCCTTTCTAATAGCCTGGCTCTTATTCACCAGTGGGTCAGATGGGCAGCAGAGGAGAGTGAAGCGATATTACAAATCCAAAATTGTGTTGCAGTTTCAGTATAAAAGGAGAAAAGCGTGTTGTTGAGTGGACGATTTGATGCTCTGGGTGGACAGTGCTATCAGCAGGAAGGGATAATGTAGTAAGCAGAAGAGTGTTTTAGTTGACAGAGAGACTGCAGCAGTGATGAAAAGATTTAAACATGCGTGAACCAAAACCAATCTCAGCTGGTGTGTGACTGTAGTCTATGCGTGTGTTTGTTTCATGCAAGTGTCAGTCCAGAGCCGTCCCTGAAAGACTGTGACACAGAGCGGACCCATCACCTCACGCAGGGTGCAGGCTCTATACGCTTAGGAACAGGACGCAGGCGCAGCGCGCGCCCTCCGCCCCTGAAGTCGAGCTGATAAAGTTTGTGATGGTGACGACCGCGGCCGTGTGTCACACAATTGTAGAACTTGTCTGCGTATCTGTGGTCTGCGTGTGGACAGATGCCCTCTGCTGGGGGAGTTTAAAGCCTATGCTTATACTGCGGCCATTTTCTGCTGACACGCCCGCGTTCTGTTCCGCGTGGATGTCGTGGGTTCCGCGTGCATGATTTGGGAGGAGAGATGTCCTGGGCCGGCCTCGACGAGCTCGGTACTGTCCTGCCAGGAGTCAGCATTTCACATGGAACATGTGCGCCGCGGCGTACGTGTTCGTCTCCCCTGTGTGCACAGTGACGCGCGCTTACCGCGCCTCTGCACTGTGGCGCTATCGGACCGCCTCACTCCAGGCCACACTAGCCTCCGCGCTGGGCACAGATCGGACTTTGGCTGTGCGTGATATTAGCTCTACTTTTAATGGCGAGTTTTGACCCTGGTTAGAGCTAAATTGTCCCTGGGCCGCTTCCGCACTGGAAGCGCCAGCTCAGCGGAAACGTACACAAACAAAATATAGTGAGCTTTGAGGAGAGACTGCAGCTCGAAAGGCCGAACTTAACGCATTAGAACAAATATAGTGACATTGGCCTACGTCTATTCAATCGTTCTGAAAGCACTGCTAACAGGCTAACTATTTGTTTTAGGCACGGGCTTCTGAATGACGTCTAGCATAAAGTGAGATGTAGTGAACAGCAGGCTCCAAAAGTGACAGTTTGAGAGGCGGCGCTCTGTCCGAGCTGCGCACAGTCCAACTCCTCGCATTGCGTCTTTTTGGAAACCGCAGCAAAGCCAAAGAAGCGAGCGGGTTTCATACCATTGCAAAGATCAGCCTCCGCGGAGAGGTCCAGCTGTTCCGCAGGCGTTCCCATCGGTTATCAGTCCATTCCGTCCCCTTTGATGAAGTTCATCGGTGCTGCTCGGGACCAGAGACGTCCCGCGTCAGTCCAGCCCCTCCTGCTCCTCCAGCCCCTCCTGCTCCTCCTGCTCCTTCCTGCTCCCTCCTCCAGCCCCTCCTGCTCCTCCTGCTCCTCCAGCCCCCCTGCTCCTTCAGCTCATCCAACCCCTTCTGCTTCTCCTGTTCCTCCTGCTCTCTTGCTCCTTTCTGCTCCCTCCTCTTGCTCCTCCTGCTCCTGCTCCCTCTTTGGCCAGTGTTCCAGGAGGCTAGTGCACCTCCTCATTGGTGCTCCCGTCCTGTCCTCATAGAACCCTGAGGCTACGTGCCATCCTCTCCTTTAGGAAAGTGCAGTGTGGTTTACATAAGATTACACTGGTCTGAAGAACTCTTGTAAACTTTAAATACTTCGTAGCCTATTTGCCAAAAATAAGATATAGTGTATTCTGATCTGCCATAGTAAGATACATTAGGCATACTCATGTCATTTCCATTTGTGAGAATTAGTGACCTTCATGGCTAAAATAAAGATGGTCTTTTATGAAAATTGCCCTGGCAGCCTGCTCATAAGTGAGGCCTGCCCCAAAAACCTTCACATGAAGCACAGACAGAGCTGTGTGTGCCCACTCTGCTACAGCCGTCATCAGGGCTGTGGTTTTGTTACCTGTGGACACTGTCACCAGGTCACAGACACATCACAGACTCAGAGGGACAGCTCTCTGCATGTGAAGGACAGGTTGTTTTTAGGTTGGTTGTGTTAAAGCAAGAATAAAGTCACTGCTCCACTACAATGAGAGGAGCTGATGGACGCCCTTCTGTAGCGTGTGCAAGGACGTTCCACTGGAAGAAAGCTGTGCCTGGGGCTGAGAGCTCTATGGCCCCTGGAGCTCTCTGTGTGCATGTGTGCATGTGTGCGTGAGTGTGTATGCACAGCTGGACGTGCAGGTTTGGGGTGGCCTGTGTTTTAATCGAAGGTTACTGGTACTTTGTGGGAACACACTTCAGGAGCTCATCTTGAACACAACCTGCAATGCAGACAGGCAGATTTTTCCATTGGATACAATACATGTCTTGTTGATGTGCACTAGTCTTCTGAGGGCACACTGGTAGTGCCCCAGTTCCTGGTTATTGTTTTCTTTTGGCAGCTCCTGACTTCTCTGAGGACATTATTCACCAGTGTGATGTTTGTGTTCAAACTGAAGTACACATAAATCAGTTCAGGTGCAAATAGAAAATACCAGCACAAAATGTACCCAAAATATGGTAATATTTGTAATATTTGTATAATTTCCAAAATATCTGAGTAATAGTGGCAATTTGTGAAAAGACGAAAACAAAAAAAAAAAAAAAAGTAGTGCTGAGTTCTAAAACAGAATCCCTCAGTGCTATCAAAGTATCATCAAATCTATCAAGCTAAAATTAAGGGACAATTTACGCACAAGGAAGGTAGTATTCTGTCAGTTTAAACCTTATCCTAACAAAATAAATATGCTGCCATTTATTTGTATTAGTCAAATCAAAACTGTCATTTAGACAAGGAAAAAACAGGTGATACAGGGGGGAGCCAGTTGCAACAACTGTTATTGTGTCCTTAGGCAAGGCACTTCACCCACATTACTTAGTATGAAAGTGGTGTGTGCATGAGTGTTGGCTGAAGGGGCCAATGGTGCATATTGGCAGCCTCCGTCAGCCTGCCCCAGGGCAGCTGTGGCTACAATAGTAGTGAATGAATAATGATCTGTAAAGTGTCTTTGAGTGTCCAGAAAAGTGCAATATAAAACTGACACATCATTATTATCATTATTATTATGGTTGCTAGGTAACACACCTCTGTCGTATCTGCTACCTGTGTCAAGGTAGGAGAAGTAAAATTATAACTCCTTACAAAATGACTAGAAAAGATTAGGCAAGTTTTTTGTAAAATCTTATATCTAATTATAGTAACTAGTTTAGTGAAGTAAGTATTCTAACCTGTCATGGATTTAACTGTTACTTTACTTTAGGTGTAATAAAACAAATCAAATTAGGTTTCTCCAGACAAACTCCCTCCATGTTCAGGAGCCAGAGTTGGTGATGATGCCTCCACATATTTAACCAATCAATCATTTTGTATGTTAATGTTAAAAGCTCCTATATTAGGCTGACTGAGTGTTAAGACACGTTCTATTGCTGTAACCTCCTCAAAAACAGCTGGAGTTGTGTTTTGTTTCATTCACACATGTTTGAGTAACCTTTTATTATTTAGTCTGTCTACACCACAAAAGCTCAAAATGCTCTGTTTCACCTTGTGATGTCATGAGGCGATAGTTTTTAAGTGAATAGTGATAGTTTTTACCTTTAGTGTAATAGAGATCAGCAATTCAAAAGCTGAAATCATCCAAATGATTCTGATTAAGCTGTATGGAGTTTAAAAACACAGTGGAGCACTTTGTGTATTACCACATGACATCACAATGTAGAAGAGAGTATTTGAGAGAAAAATTAGAAAAAATAAAATGGTGTAATAAAGACCCTTTAATGATTTGTTATTCTAAAATTACACGGGCTAGTTTTTAGGCTAAACATGGTGGTGGGTGCATGTCAACATTTGGTTATGATGACATATACAGTGGCCACCGTAAGATGTGCAACTTCTCATGTCCAAATGGCACACCTTTGGCCAAATGACATCATACTGGTCAACCCATTCATGCACTCACTAAACAGACTTAAAAAGAAGTTCTTCATTGTGGTTTACTACAGGAGGCCAGAACACATGGGACATAGAATGGTTTACTCAGTGCCAAGTTGGAGCTGGATGGAGCAGTGACAGCAGCGCAAAACATAGTGAGCACAAACTCTCATACACACCACAGGCTCCATACAACAGTAGCAGTGTGAACAGTCAGGACGTAAAACATGGGCATTCACAAAAACGTATTTCAGAGACTAAGACTGTATTTATAGATCTTTATAGTTTGAACTGAGGACAGGAGTAAGGGCACAGGAGAAACTGTAAGCTGAAAGTTCAAATACATCAGTATTTAGAAATGTCCATGTCATTAAAGGAACTGTATGTAAGATTTTGGTTTTAAATTTAATTAACACAAGGATCTGGGTCTGCAGTAAACATGTTCACATCAAAAATAAGTTTTACTGATAACAACTGTAATGATGAGTTATTATTAATTACAAAAACATCAGACACGATGGCCCATTTAGTTATAGGCAGAATATATACGGAGAATGAGCCTTACATGCGTCTTTCGGTTGGGTTGCCAGCTGCAAAGCTGAAATCCAGTAGAATTAAACCTAAAATGACTCTCTCTGGTCTGAATGGTCAGTGAGTGAATTCTGGAGGTTCTGAGCTTGAGAAATGGCCTGTCCATATACTGACTGAGACAAACCTGGATGTGAGATAAGCTTGGATGCGTCCTCTCTCTGTAGACTAAAACAGTAAGAGCACAGACCACATACAGTTCCTTTAACATTAAAACAATAGAAAAATATGGGCCCTGGCTTTGAGAAGGGGACCAAATCTACACAAAAGGCTCCAAATAGTTTAAAACAACAGAGCTAACATGAGGAGAGACTCTTCATTCACAGAGCTGCTTAAATAACAACATCACGTTTCATTTTCATTCAAAAATTCTGTTCTGTACAACTATTAACAGTAAATATAAACTAAAGCAAGGCATGACAAGCACGAAGGGAGAGGCAGTCCAGAGGACGGTCCAGTGTCTCTCCTCATGACTGCAGAAGAAAGCTCGATGTAGCTCGACTTTGAGATGAAAAGTGTAACAGGTCCTCCAATGTCCAGTCTGCTGCCGGGAGCCCAGTGTGAGCCCTGCCCAGCGGCCTCGACCACTCTGCTGCCCGAGGGCCTTTTGTCTGCACAATCCAAACTGATATCTCTCTGTATTTTTATCCAGAGGGATATCAGTCTCATCCTTTGTATCTCGAGTCTGACTAACCATGATCGTCCAATGATTGAAGGAGCTCATTGGTCACTCATCATTTACATCAAAATTACATTTCTCTCACCTCAGATGAACAGACTTTAGTGCTTGACTCATTAATTCTGCAGAAATCCACATGTTTTCCAGTCCTCTGAGATATTTTTCCCATTCATTTTTCCTTGTAATCACATTTGTTTTGATAACGATGGACCAATGTGTGTCCCTGATTGGCTAATCCACCTATCAATCACGCCCATCTGAACTCTGGGAGATTCACCAGTGACCATACTCACATCATTGTGAAGTACTGAAGAAGTGTGTGTTCAGGACCCCAGGCCAGTCAGCTCAGCAGTGGATCTCGTAAGCGATCTGAGAGTCTATGAAGAGGCCGCTGTGGTTCAGGTACAGGCCCTCAGACTCGGCGGTCAGCACGGGCTCTGCCTCTCCCCCCTCTCCGGCCATCCTCCTCATAGTCCGTGTGTCCTCCAGCTGTTTGGGAGCCGCGAGGGGGCTGGAGGGGGGGCCCTGACCGGAGCTCTCAGAGGGGGCGGAGCTGACGTCAGGAGGCGGGACCACGGGGGGTGGCACAGGTTTGGCCCGGTTCAGGACGTACATTTCATGGCCGCGCTCGTCCCTGTACTCCTCTAGCTGGGCAAAGGTGGTGGGACCATCAGAGTAGTCGTTCACGTACAAGATACTCTCCTCCTGAGAACACACACAGGGCAAGCCACTAGTGCGACTGGAGCCACAGTGCTGTAAGAACGGGGTTACCATAGTGACCACCTAAGTAACTTAACCCTAATACTGTAATGGGTGGTGACCTTAGTACTGTTACAGCGCAGTTGTAACTAGACTGCCCTTACCAGAGGGATTTTATCTTTCTTTAGTGATGTTACCATAGAGCAGTTAGCTTAGGCTTAGCATAATGTTATCTTATCCTCGTTACTATGGTTACGTGCCATGACCCCAGTGCTGTAACCTTAGGATGGACCGGCCTGCCTCCACTGAAGCATGTACTTGTGCATTCCTGTCTCCTTCATTTTGATTCTTTCATTCTTTACATCTCCCTTATATATAATATATACAGCATCCAAGCGTTTGCTTTCTCCCTTTACTTGCTGTTTGAAGCTGTTAGTGCTGTTTCAGTGCACTACCTTTACCGTTAGTCTAGTTGCCATAATGATCTTATTATAGTGATATTACCATGGATCACATTATAGTATGATCTTAAAGGTGCAGTGTGTAACTTTTCTGGATGGGTCCACAACCTGTTTATCTCCATGGAGATATTAATGCTTTGTTTTAAATTGTCCACAGTATGATATAAAACTAATCTGTCTGCATTTATTTAACTACAGATGTTATTTATTGTTCAAAGTTGTAATCACTTCCCCACAAACCTCAACTGTACTTTAACTTGCAAGTCTCCAGGGAGATTCATAAGTTCATGGCCATATCGTGGAACATTCTATGCACATCTCCATGGACATAAGCAGGTGTTGGACCCTCGACCAGACAAGTTACAGAGTGCACCTTTAACATTGTAATAAAACTATACCCACATTACTGTAGTAGTGTAAACATGGTAATGTTACTGCAGTTATTACACAGATATTACCATAGTCATCTTCCTGTAGTTGTTACCATAGTACTGTTACCATAGTACTGTTACCATAGTACGGTTACCATAGTACGGTTACCATAGTACGGTTACCATAGAACTTATTGTTATTGTGATGTTGTTACCACTGTGCTGTTACCATAGTGATGTCACCATAGTGTAGATTACAGTTACTGTAATGATGTAACCATGGTGATATTACTATAGTCTTATTGTTATTATAATGTTGTCACCTTTGTGTTATTTCCATGATGATACAATAGTTGTCATGTTACTGTAGTGACGTTAACATGGTGCTGTTACCTTGGTGTCAGGGTCGTGGGCCTCCTTGTCAGGCTGCTGCTGGCGGCTGTAGATCATCATGAGCAGCAGCAGAGCGGTCAGGGCTAACAGGGAGATGCCCACTGCGATGGCCGTCTGTGTGGCAGGCCCCAGGGCGCTGAAGGCCATGCTGCCCAGAGCATAGAGTGGCTCGCGGCTCACCTCCGAACCATAGCTCCGGGGGCGTGGCCAGGGTGGGGAATGCGAGGAGAGCTGCGACCACGAGGCCCACATGGAGGTAGAGGAGTTGATGGCCAGCTGGAAGGTAACTCTGGCCACACCCCCTGCATTCCATGCCTCACATTCATAGAAGCCTGCATGTGCCACTGTCACATTACTGAGGAACAACATGCCACTGCCCGTGTCTGGGTCAAAGCGCTCAGCTCGCTGCACTGTCTGAGGGCCCCTCTGAAGGGCCCTCCACTCGCCCCACCACACCGGCCCCTGGCTCCTGCACCAGGCCTCGAGGAGCGAGGGCTGCCTTACCCTGGGAAGCCTTCCTCCATGTCACCTGCACACACAGGACAATGACTGACTTTCTGCTTGTAAAGCCAGTATGGTTTTGACCAAATGATGTAGTGCCTTTGAAAATGAGTGTACAGAAGAAACACTGTGTTTGACACTTGCATTGTTTGAGAGGTGAAACGTCATGCAGTAATGTTCTCACCAAAGAGTAGTTCCCATAGTGAGGTTCCAATAGTTGTTTTGCTGTATTGCGTTTACCATAGTATTGAGCACATGTATGGCTTTTTAGGGTTTTAAGGTAGGGTTGTTCAAATAGTGAGTCAAACCTTCTTCTCCTGGGAAACTAAGAGGGCATATAACAACTCAGCAGAGAGAGACCAAATGTAGATATTCAGATGAGTACGATACTGCATTTTAGTACATGAGATATTTAAGAAACACAATACTCAATGCAATCAAATGAAGTTAACAGTTGGGCTGGGACCTGACCTGTGGGCGAGGGTACCCTGAGGCATGGCACGACACCCGCAGGCTCTCGCCCAGCCGCACGGCCAGTCTGCGGGGCTCCAGTTGGACCACGGGGGGTATGCACACCAGGCTGTTCAAGGGCACCTCTACCAGGCTGAGCTGAGACAGGCGGGGTGGGTCTGCACACACCAGTCGCCGCTCGGCAGAACTCAGCAGCCTCTGGCCCTCTTCATCTACCCAGCTGCGCAGCCAGTGCAGTGCACAGTCACAGCGCCACGGGTTATCTGCACAAAGGAAACAGGACCAGGAGCACCTGTCACACCTGGCAATGTAATTTGCTCTCCACAGCATAGCTAACTTTAACACGTGCACCAAAACCAAGCAACATGACTCGGTGCTGCTGATCTAAAACTAGTGAGTACATGTCCAGACACTCTAATATTGTACTGGCTGTTTCTTATCCCGTGCAGCAGAATGCCTCTCCTCATCTGTGCCTAAGGTAAATCAGAATCAGTGTTGTGCAAGTTCACACTTTTCATGAACTAGTTCAAAGTTCAGTTCACATTTGTTCAAAGTGAACAGTTCATGTTCATAGTTCACAATTTTAATTTTGAACTAGTTCAAAGTTCAGTTCATTTTATTTTTAGGTGAAATATGTAAATGAAAGGCTGCATTTATTTTTCAAATGGGCTTCTAGTTTACAACAACTTTACAAGAAACACTGTTGGGCAAGTTACTTTAAAACTCGAATGTGTTATTTATGACTTGTTACGACTATTACAGCACTTTTGAGTTACTCTCACCAAAATAACTGTGAAGATGCTGAACTTTTGCGCCGTATATTGACTGAACCAGGACCAAAACAGGACTAAACCAGAACTGAACCAGGACTAAACCAGGTCTAAACAAGGACTAAACCAGAACTGAACCAGGTCTAAACCAGGACTGAACCAGGTCTAAACCAGAAATAAACCAAGACTAAACCAGGACCAAACCAGGACCAAACCAGGACCAAACCAGGACTAAACCAGAACTGAACCAGGTCTAAACCAGGAGTAAACTGAGACTAAACCAGGACCAAACCAGGACTAATCCTGGACTACAACTTGGAATCTAGGACAGCCCCTGAGAGAACCCCAGAGTGCAATCGGGCGTCAGCTGCGTTTAGCTCCGTGGAGCGCGGAGTTCTGCGTCGGTCCTTTCGCTCACGATCACAGTCTACACGGGCGCACCTCCGCTGATATCGCGGTGATTTTAGTGAATTTGTATGAAGAAAAACGAAAAACCCAGTACTTCAATCCAGGTTAAAAAAGCATTGTGACGTGTGTTACTGACATTTGTACCAGTTAAAATATTACCACTTTTTCCCTGTAATGCCGAACATTACTGCGTTGCAGCAAAAAGCAATGCATTACAGTAATTCGTTACTTTTATAACGCGTTACTCCCAGCACTGACAAGATATTAACCATAACCACTATAGAGCCACGTGTGGAGCAGCACGTCCTGTGTGTGTAGATTTCAGAAAATAGGATCCATCTTATTTTTTGACACTCTACGCGAGTGTAGGCGCGTATCCCCGTCAAAATCCACAGAGAGCATGTATCTATTGTTGTATTTGTGCATTTACCATCAGCACATCGTGCTCCCTGGGCAGCTGCCAGTGGAGTGGCCTTAACGTTGACACGCGGCTGTGGTTTCGTGAGGTTAAGTGCGAGCAGATCGTCACTCGTCGGGTGAAAACAAATTCCAACGTTTAATTGAACCCACAGTGACGTACGTCGTTCATCTCACATAATTTGAACAAATTCACGTTCAAGTTCTTGATTTACAAAAGTGTTGCGTTCAGTTCAAAGTTCACTGAAAAATGAACGTGTTGAATGAACGCATTCTTTTGAACACAGCTTCTCTAGATGTGTTATTGGGGTCTGGGAGAATCGAATGACACCTCATTAGTTCCTGAGTTTACAGCATTTTGATTAACTGGTTTAAATTGGACTAGGACAGTTATCTGGGTTTCCTGGCATACACATAAACACACTGACCAAGGGGTGAAGGTTGATTGATCACATAGTGCTGTGTGTTTAGGGCTGACAGGTGCAGTTTGTCAGCACTGACTCATACTTTACTGGACTGACTCACCGGTCATTCGGAGCACCTGCAGGCTGACCAGTGGCCGCAGGGAGGCGGGGCCCATGGTATGGAGGTTGTTGCGGCTCAGATCGAGCAGAGCCAGGGAGGAGAGGCCGGACAGAGCCTGGTCCGACAGCACCTCAATGCTGTTCTGCTGCAGGTGCAGCTCCTGGAGACGCTGTAGTACATAGATGTACACAGGTGTTACACATGACCACATGCTTAGCTATGCCCCCATGTGTGACCTGCGCCCGCATGTGTGACCTGTGCCTGCGCCCGCATGTGTGACCTGCGCCCGCATGTGTGACCTGTGCTTGCATCTGTGCCCGCATGTGTGACCTGCGCCCGCGCCCGCTTGTGTGACCTGCGCCTGCGTCTGTACCCGCATGTGTGACCTGCGCCCGCATGTGTGACCTGTGTTCCCTGTTCTCTGTGTCCATGTGTGAATCAGTCCTCACGTGTGGTACTGTTACCTGGAGGCCCCTAAAGGTGTAGTCCAGCAGTCGGGTGATGTCATTGCGAGACAGGTATAGGATGCGTAGGTGCTCCAGGCCATGGAAGAGGTCGGCACTCAGCAGGTGGATCCTGTTCCCATTCAGAGCCAGCTCCAGCAGTTGAGCCTGGTGCTCAAAGCAGCCGGGCTCCATGGCTGAGATACTGTTGTTCTGCCAGGGAAAGGACAGTTAGTCACACTAGTACACACTAGTGCAATCTAGAACACAGTGGTGCACACAAGTGCAAGTATACTTGTGTACACTCTAGTACTCTCGTACACACCAGTGCACACTACTGTAAATTAGCACACACTTGTGCACACTACTATACATTAGTACACACTAGTACACTCTAGTATACATTAGTACACACTAGTACACTCTAGTACACATTAGTGCTCAGTCACACTAGCACACACTAGTACAGTCAGTCACACTAGAGCACACTAGTACAGGACCGAGAATGGGGGGGAGAGGGAGGTGTCTCACCTGTAAATAGAGGTAGTGTAGGTGTCTGAGAGGAGCCAGGTCAGCTCTGCGGAGATGAGCGATGCGATTGTCCTGGAGGAAAATGGTCTGTGTTCCAGAGAGAAAGCACTGTTCAGTGTTCATGTGTACTATGTGTCCTTATCAGTAGACAAGACTACTGCTACTACAAACTACTACAACAACTACTACGACTACTACTACTACTACTACGGTCACTCCAGAGTTAATGCAGTCATTATACCAATCCTTCACGAATAATCAGAATTCAGCATCAGAAGAAGAAGAAGAAGAAGAAGTTAAATATTTTTGTCACTCATTTCAGAATTCAAACCCATATAGATTAGAGTTTATTTCTTGAATTTTTATGATTATGGCTTATAGATAATGAAAAAACAAAATTCCATATTGTGAAAAAGTGGAATATTGGGAAGTCATGATGTCACATCTTAATCATCTTTATCAACTGAAAACACCTGCAAAAGTTTCCTGAGCCTTTAAATCGTCTGTCAGTCTGGATCCGTGGGCTACACAATCATGGGGAAGGCTGCTGACTGGACAGAAGACAGTCACTGACACCCTCTACTCTGAGAAAGCCACAAGAGGTCACTGCTTAAGAAGCTGGTTGTTCAATGCTGTATCCAAGCTGTGGAGAAAAAGAACTGGACTGTTGCTCAGTGGTCCAAAGTCTCTGTTTGGGGACCACTGAATCTCATCTCTGCTATTTGCAGATGATGTTGTCCTATTAGCTTCATCAAAACAGGACCTACAACATGCATTGGGGTGGTTTGCAGCCGAGTGTGAGCAGATCAGCTCTGCCAAAAAAAGGTGTCAAGCTCTTTGGGTGGGTGGAGAGTCCCTGCCTCAAGTGGAGGTGTTCAAGTATCTCGAGGTCTTGTTCACGAGTGAGGGAAGGACGGAGTGTGAGATTGACAGGCGCATCAGTGCAGCGTCTGCAGTGATGCAGCCGCTGTATTGGACCGTTGTGGTCAAGGGGGAAGCTCTTGATTTACCGGTCAATCTTCATTCGTCCCCTCACCTATGGTCATGAGCTTCATGTACTGACCAAAAGGTCACGGATACAAACGGAATGAGTTTCCTCCACAGTGGCTGGGCACTCTTTAGAGATAGGGTGAGGAGCTCAGTCACATGGGAGAAGCTCTGAGTAGAGCTGCTGCTCCTCCACGTCAGAGAAGCCAGCCTCCTGGACACCTCCCTTGGGGGGTGAATGCTTCAGGTTCCTCCCGGAGGAGCAGTGATGATTTGGGCTGCCATGTGATCTGCTGGTGTTGTCTGCTGACAAGCTTTAAGGAGATGCTGATTTCATCTTCCAGCAGGATGTGGCACCTGCCCACACAACCAAAGATATCAAAGATGGTTCCATGGCGTTACTCCGCTTTACTGGCCAGCAAAATCTCCTGACCTGAACCACACAGAGAATCTCTGGGATATTGCCAAGGGAAAGATGAGAGACACCAGACTCAACAATGCAGATGACCTGAAGGCTGCTATCAAAGCATCCTAAGCTTCCATTCCACCTGAGCACAGGGTGATCTCCTCCTTGCATTGATTGAGTGTTGGACTAGTAAATGCAAACAAACCACAGTGTGTCTCTCAGATCCTATCACCTGAGACCCAACATATGACAGCATTAAGTACATACACATACAATGTTCAGGCTTGTCTCAGTGTGTATCCAAATGAGACTCATTTGTGAGAGGGCCTCTGTGGGCATGGGCAGGATCAGGGGGTACCTGTGTGGAGGGCGGGATGTGTTTGGGAGTTTCCCGCAGACTGGTGGAGCCGCACTCCACTGTGAGGCTGTAGCATCTGCAGCTCAAAGGGCACGGAGGAGAGGTGCCCCCCCGAGCAACCAGGAGAACAGCCAGGAGAACACCCCAGCACGACATCATCCCAACGGGACACCTGCCACACACACAGGACTGTCAGAGTGCACCTGTCAGAGAGCACCTGCCACACACACAAATCAGATACAAATCATCAGATACTAATCGAGTGTAAAAATAGTATCAAAACTAGATACTCAGGTATAGATTCTAAAAACATCCCATGCACAGGACAGAAATTAACCTTCCCTGAATGTCATTACACACAGACTAGTATACACCTGTGGACTACTATTTAATGCTGAAAATCACATTCTAGGGTGTTTTTCAGTAAAAAAATAAAATGTTATCATGGTTTTGGAATGGGTGTCGAGTAATGTCTATTCCTTAGTTTTGCAATCAAAATTTTTGTATCATTATATCAGGAACCAGGGAGCACCTGCTCATGGGCTACAATTACTATAGTAAAATTCTATATTTTACATATTTTTACATATGATATGTGCAAAGAAGAAGCTTGAGAGGGGCTAGAGTTATGGTCATGGTGGTTTTGCAACCCTATTTAACAGCCTAACAGCCGAAATAAAGATTTAATATGAAGAAAAAAATCATCCTCCCTTCTGCTTTTTGGACAAATAGCACCCTGACCATAGTCATACTATTTTATACCAAATGCACCTACTTAATGACCTGTTGCATACACTTGTTGTGTGACCTGCACCTGGAACCCACATTTCTGCTCCGCTCCTCCTCCTCTATGGAATATGTTCCTCTATGTTCTTGCTTTGCCAGGAATGTTTCATGGTAAGGCATTAAATGTAGACTATCTGTATCTCCATGGAAACAAGCAGCAGACACCACTGACAGAAATAATGCATATATTTTTCAAGGTAGTCATTTAGCAACAGTCTAATTGAACTGGAAAAACAGGTAAATTAATGCCATACTGTAGTACATTTCAGGCAGTGCAATGCCATGTTCATGGAGGTAAGAAGGTGGCACACCCCTACCAGAAAAATGACTCAAATTGGATTGAACAGAGAAGGGAATGGGAACAGTGACAGTGATCAGGGTACATTATTTACAGTAGTATGTAGCCTTAGCCTATGCTCCATCCAGGTGGGTATCAGTATCAGTATCTGCCCTGACTCAAGGATGGGGGCATTCAGCGTCCAAGACCAACCACAACCAGCCTGCCACTCACACACCTATAGAAAGTCAAGCGTGGGTGTCTTGCCCAAGGACACAACAATAGTACACACCAATCACAACTAGGATTAAACCGCAAATCAATTCTGTCATATGATTGGTTAATTAAAAACATGGAAGAATGCGTTATTTGACAATCAACAACACGACAAAACCTACCCAGGGAAGCGCCTCCGCCGCAGCGCTCCGGTCCGTCTCCTCCTGCCTGATATGGAGGAGCTGGTGATGGAGCAGAGCGTGACCCCGCCTGGTCTGCTGCGCGATGGAGCTTCAGCCGAGCAGCGCAACAACAAACATGGCGCACGCACAGCAGGCTCCCCCCGCACCGTGCCCCGCACTCACCTGCTCACGGCGGAGACCGGCCTCCTCACAGCGGGGCTCTCTGGTACCCACGGGCCGCTGTAGTCCGCCCGCAGACCTCGCTCAGTCCGGTCAAGGGCCCAATCCGGTTCAGCATCAGCACCACGCGCCTCTTTCCACTGCGCAGGACACTTCCGCCAAACCCTCCACAATAAAAGCGGCACCACACGTTCTGCACGCGCTGGACACGCTCTTCATACTTGCCTGACAGCATGGATCTACATGACTGACAGCTGCAGCGCGTCCATGGCCACAGATCAAACTTGAAATGCTCGTAGGTTAATGATGGTGACATGGATCAGTCGTGCCCAAAGTAACACACTTAGGCCGCGTCTCAATTCTCTTTCCTCGCTTCCTTCTCCTTTATTCCTCTCCTCGATCCTCAATTTTTCAGCTGTCAATCAAATGTGTCACATTAAGTGGTGTCCCAAAGAAAAACATGGAAAGAAGGAATAAACAGGTTGGCTGGTGTTATTCCAGCTCCCACAGATGAATGCTATTGTTGTTGTGTCCTTGGGCAAGACACTTAACCCACCTTGCCCACAGTGTGTGAATGGGTGAGTGGTTCCTTGTTGTAAAGTGCCTTGAAGGTGGAAAAACGCTACAGAAAAATGTGACCATTTACCATATTTATGCAGCATTATTCCTGTTAATACCAGGGAAAGCAGTGAACTTACTACAGCCCTTTCCTGTACTGGAGGAAAGGAAAATAAACTACTTTTTGCATCCAAGGACAGTTTACACTTTTAACATGACATTTCTCTACAGCAGAGCTGTCTGTGTCCAACCTTCTCCACAAAGAGCAGCATAAGGTCACAGGAAGTAGGCCTACAGTCAGTAATTTAAATAGTTGCATTTACACAGGTTTGACCATATCTTCACACTAGGCTCGACACACTGATGTTAAGCCAGCATCTTCATTTTTATCTATAGTAAAAAATATAGCTTCAGATCATTTGGTTCAATAGAGCGAGAAACTGGAGGGCCGATAAAAACTGGCCTAAGAGCTGGATTTGGGCCTCCAGGTCACAGCTTGGACACACCTGCTCTACAGGGACAATGAGGTGTCACTCAAAGCTCTGAGCGTTTAAAGAAACTGTATGTTAACTACGCTCTTACTTTAAAAAATATATTACAATCACAAATGGCCCTGTGCTGCCAGACACATACAGGTTCTTGTCAGTCTCAGTATATGCCTCATGCCTCATGTGAAACTCAGAACCTCCAGAACCCCCTGAAATGCAGAGGCTGCACTAGCACTGATTCAGGATGGGCAGCAGGTGTTTGGGTTTAAAGACTGACCATTCAGACCAGAGAGGCATTTTAGGTTTAAACCAACTGGATTTCAGCATTGGAGCTGGCAACGCAAATGAGAGACTCATGTGAGGCTCATTCTGCTTTCTGATTGAAGAATCGTCTTGAGAACCAAAACACTGAATTATAACAAAAGCACCTGGCCATCATGTCCAGTATTTTTGTAATTAAAAATAATTCAGCATTACAATTGTTATGAGTAAAAGAGCCATGTTTGACGTGTTTACCTCATATCTGGGGACACAGATACAAGGTCACGTTCATGACATTTAGTTCTTTTAAGTCCATACATTCTAACCTTGTTCGGGTCATTTTGTAGCCAGAGAGACAGTAACTTAATCCCAGAATTCAAATGGAAAGTAAAGACAAACCACAGAACATGTTTTTCGTACATAAATCATTTAAATAATATTACATAAAATACCAATGCAAGGATGTCCCAAGTGTTTACAAAGCCACCCGAGCATCCTTTAAATGTTCACTCTGCAGACCGTGGTCCAGGGCACTTCTCTCCTCTCCCCATGAACGTGATGGAGCTCAGGCTGAGGCCACCTACTGCAGACAGAGGATACCAGGAAGGGGCGTCAAGACTGCACCTCTCCCTTGTACAATAACCAGGTGGCCTTTTCAGTCACAACACCAGTATACATTTGACATTGCTTTGCCTATAGGCCTATGCCATATGAAAATAGAATCAACAAGAGTAGAAAAAATTCTATGCTCTTCCATGAGACCAAAGCCATGGGAGAGTGAGTCAAGAGTCTGTGGGGCATGTGACAGCTGAGGTACCCATGCTAGCTGTGGGGGCACTGGGGGAAGGCGATGGGGTAGATCTGGCTGTAGTGCTCCACAAAGTGCACCTCCAGGCCTTCGGAGATGTAGTCGGGCAGGTCGGAGAAGTCCTTCTGGTTCTCTGAGGGGAGGATGATGCACGTGACCCCGGCGCGGCGAGCCTGAACCAACCACAAACCATTAGCATGAGCATCTGTATTTAAACACCTTTAACTAGTTTACATTTAGTTTGTTGATCTTAATGTTTCTACTGCAGTGCTACATCAGGTACTGATACTTTTAGAACCTGCTCAGCCTGGGTTTTAGCCAAGTCAAGCAGGTACTAAATTGTTCCGTCTCTAATTGGTAACCATGGATTCCACCAGCACTCTGACCAGAGAGTTTCCATGGATATTGGTTTGTTCTGTCCAGCTTCCATGGATGCAGTGCCAGATTCTAAAAAGTAATGAGAACTTGGCCAAACTTGAGCCATTATAACCACTACAGCAATGGTATACTTCTACTTTAGACCTGGTTTAGCCCTGTAAAAGACCTGATGATACTTAGTAGGCCAAATATTTTTTTAAGTGGGTGTTACGGCTCGCGGCCTGTCTCCGGCTCCGCATTGCCTGGTGCTCCCCGTTTGTATTACCGCTTGTATCTTCCGTATTTGCATGTCCTGTGTGGTGCCTGCTATCTGAAATAGTGCATTGCAACACTGGAATTTCCCCACTGTGGGACTAATAAAGGCATATCTTATCTTATCTTATCTGACCGGTGGGCCGTGGTTCCGATGCTGTGGGCTGGCTCCGACACCTCTTGTGCTGTGGTTGGAGAATTCCACATCAATCACCGCGACCAATAAAAGTGCTGTGCGCCTGTCCCTCCTGGCGGCTGGATGGCAGTTTCAGTTCATCTGTAGACGTTCGCTCTTTGATATTGTAAAGTGTGTTTGTTACTATTATTTTTAGTCTTGCCAGTTTGGCTCGGCCCTTGGGCAGTGTTTTTTGTTACTGTTAACTACCTTAGTTTATGAGTGGTTTAGTAACTTTGGGGAATTCCGAATTATCAAATGTGAAACGTTTTTTGTTTTTTTAAAAAATTGTACTTACCTACACCACTTTATAAAACCCGTTTACGTTACATCATATCTGGTTTGTGTTACTTTCCTTTGTCCCTAGCACTGGGTTGTAACAGTGGGTACTTTGTGTAACAAAAACAAATGTTTACCATATTATATATAACCCTAACCCCAATTCCAAAACAACAAATCTGTAAGGGAAAAAATTGCATTTAAGTTGATTAGATTGTAAACCAATCAGAGTAGAGACAAATAACTGACTTGTTCTTTTTCATAACACTATAGGAGAGGCAGACAGAATATAAGAGAGTGGCCAGCCAGACTATAACATAATATGTTGTATGTTTGCAAGAAAGTATTACCATTTAATGTTGAAAATCACATTTGAATGTCTAAAGAAAGTGTTTTTTTTATCATCATCGTGGTATAGAAATTTGTATTGTCTATCGAGTCTGTGCCTCAGTATCAAAATGGAGTTTCAAATTTTAGTATGGTGAAAACACCTGTCTGTACAATCATACTTACAGCAATAGTCTTTTCCTTGATTCCTCCCACAGGCAGGATCTTGCCGGTGAGGGACACCTCTCCGGTCATGGCCAGGTTCTGCCGCACTGGTGTGTTTGTGGCCAGAGACAGCAGGGCTGTTACTATGGTGCATCCAGCACTGGGACCATCTTTGGGAGTCGCACCCTGAAATAACAGCAATTAGCAGGCAGCAATTTTTAAGCACCATCATTTTCACCACAAACAATGAAATCTCCTGTTTTATTCTGCAAAAAAATGTTTAACCCTGTAGATCAGTAGAAGTGTGTTCTTAAATATGATTCTTGTATTACTTTGTATTATAGTTCAATTTAAGTTTGTCTGTCAAATGGACATGCTTAAAATGTGAACTTGTGAACAAAATCCTATTATTAAAAATACAAATTGCAATGCTTGCCAGAAGATATTTTTGGCCACCAAGCTGCCACTGGCTAAGCCCAACCCCGTGCCATTGTACCTCAGGCACGTGCAGGTGCAGGTGCGAATTGACCAGGAAGTCGTTGTGAGGCTGCTGCTTCATGAGAAACGCCCTGGCAAACGTGGATGCAATCTTAGCACTTTCCTTCATAACATCACCCAGCTGTCCTGTGAAAGCAAGGCAGGGTTCAGAGAGAAGGGTCATCCAAAGGTTAAAGTGGGACTCTGCCATTCTGCAGTAAATGGGTGAGGAAGGAGAGAGGAGCAGATTAGAGGAGAGAGGCAGGAAGAGACATGAGCTGGTTCTGAAGTGATTTTTTTTTTTTTTTTTTTTTTTACAAGTTTTTAACTCACATTCAGGATTATGTAACATATCATTGTTGCCATCCATGTACTTGTGTAGTTATGGTAATACAAACTCCTCACTGTGAGACAGTTATTTTAACCGTCTGCTTTTTGAACCCTCACTCAGGTTTCCTCTGTGGTTTCCTTCCCTTGCCTCCTCTGAGCTTTTGTACACCACTTAATATGGCACATTTGATTGACAGCTGAAAAATGGAGGATTGAGAACAGGAATCAAGGAGAAGAAAGCAAGGAAAAGAGAAATGAAATGAGCCCATAGAGCTGGGGATTAAATGTACAGCTCCTGAAGGACTAAAGGAGAGTGAGGGGGGAGGAGGGGAGAGGCTTGGACATAAGAGGAACAGTGTGGTTGATCTAACAGGCATCCACACTTCAAACTCATATAGCAGGTGTTTGTAATCAGGGCAGTCCTATGTGATGTCAGGTGTACTACACAGGTGTTGAAATTGCAGTGGCCACTAGTGGCAGCACTTATTCAGGTTTTGATGCTGCCATTTTGCAAAGTTTGCACAAAAACTGCCAAAAAAAAACAAAGACAAATATACAACTAAATATTCATGATTCCACTGGACAGCCGTACTAACCTGTGACCTCCAGAGAGCCCTCTCCTTTGCCCTCTGGCCCAGCTGGAGGGCGTCGCACTGAGGTCTCAATAAACAGAGTGGAGCCACCTACAGAAGAGGAAATACACCCCAGTTCTGTTATTCACATGGATTTGACTCTATGGTTACAAGAAAATCTGCAATTCGTATCTAACATCTTAAATCACAATATATAACCTAAAACACTTAATAAAAGAAACAAGTCCGCTGACATCCGTGTTTGAAAACTGCAACGTCCAATGGAAGCTGACATCATCACAACAGAGCCGTGCAGCTGCAGGCCTCTACACTCATCACACTAGTGAACTGCTGATTTTTTATTTTTTTTTCCATTTGTACCAAAATGACTTTGCGGCTCTTCTGACCCCAACACGTATCACAGATAAAGAACAAACATTTGGAGAATGAATTAAGTATGTCACAGTGGGCGTGTACCAGTGGCAGTAAAAACAAGAGTTACATCGGAGCAATGATGTCTTGAGTACAGAGAATAAATAATAAAGATTACTCAAGAATGAGTAATCTTAGCATGCATGAATCACTCTAAATAAAACTTCAGAGGGTCAATGAGAAGGAAACAACTAGAACATGAAAAAGCAGGCCTATTATGCAAAATCAAATTATCTGAAGATTTTAACCATGTTATAGCCCCTGTGAAGTTGTAACTTGAGTGATGTGCGCATGTTTGAGTCATCTTGAATCACTTATTTTCAAGATGAAATATTGCCAGTCAATAGGCACATTGACATTGGGGGGGGGGGTAAAGGTACCATTTACCCAGGGCCCAGTGCAAGAAGGGGTCCCGATAAAGTAATTTTTGATATGACAACATGTAGTGTGATGATCATAACCACAATGCTTGTCAGAAAAATCTCAACTAAATATTTTCCTCAAAGGCCTAACTGACTTTTTGCACAGCCAAGGGTATACTTAGGGTCCATGGGAGAGTGCAGAGAGCAAGAGAGTGTGTGCAGCCTTACCCAGGGCGGTCCAGGCCAGCCCCATGACTACGCCCGGGGGGGTATCCTGGTACATGCGATCCACGGTGAACAGGGGCTTGCCCACATACTCTTGCAGGTTCTCGGCTGTCACGCTCACGTTTGGCTGCTCTCCGTTCACGATGCAGAAAGCTACCTTCCGGAACACCTGTCCGCACACAGTTAGCAGTCAGTTATCAGCTATCATGCACTTTAAAGAGCAGTTCACTAGCTAGGACCACACCAACAACAACATAGTGCGAAGAAGTTTATTGATAATGTACGAGCAGGGCAGCAATGGCTGGCTGAGACTATGGGTGGGGGCTCCATCTCAATCTTCAATTGGCCCAGCCAGAATGGGACCCCCCCCTTGTAGGGGTCTTATGACTGAATGACAAAATAGGGGATGGGAGGGTGGGGTCGAGTTAGCCGAGACAACCTGAGATGATGGGAAAGGCTGCTACAGACAGGCTTCAGGGAAATTCGAGGCGTGGTTGAGGCGAGTTGTAGTTCGCTGATGAGAAGAGAGGGCAGCTGAGGCATGGTCCTGCTCCTGAATCTCACTTCATCATATTAACTACATGTATTACACTTCTGTGGGGTTTGAACTGCTAACATAAGATATTTAGACCAGCATGTTACCTTTTATTGTTTTGAAAATGTTATATTCGCTGAAAACATGTTTTATGTTTCAATTTAATTTTTGACGCTCTTAGATTCCCCTCCTTTTGGTCCTCACGTTAATGGTGGTGGTTCCCATGGCAACAGAGTGGTTTGCTGCAGTTGTGGCTACTGGGCTCACACACTTTTAAACTTTCAATTTTAACCAACTAAAAATTGTTGCATCAGTTGGACTGTGTAAAATGAGCATTTTTTCCTGGAGACTGTGCAAGAGGCTAGCTAAAGATTTAGCTGTGGACCTTTGAGATACTATAGACTTTTCACACCAAATGTGGCAAAAGACCTTCCAAAAAATATATCATTTTATCACTAATTGAAACAGAAAAGCAGAGAAAGAATGAGGCTTAGAAGAGTTTTTCCTGCTGTGTTCACCTGGCTCCCCCTGGAGCCTGCTGTGAAGGACACCTTCGGCTCCTCCGACAAAGATCTGCTGACGCTATCTGGCATGTCGTCTTGTTAAACTGCATCAAGACCTTTCACCAATTGCCCAGCCCCTACTAGGAATTATGGGAAACCAACTGAATCAAAAAATCAACTGTCTGGGATAGAGTCAGGCAGTCCATTTCTCATGATTCTTATCAGCAATCTAATAAGATGAAAGTGTCCTTAGCTTCGGAGAAAATGAAATTTAAAATGAACAGATATTACAAACTCAATATTTTCTTTTCTCAAATAATTCATGATGTAAAGAGCATTTGTCTTGGCAAGAATACATTAAAATCAAGTACAGGCCCTTTCATTGTGATTATATGGGAAAGTCCAACAATGCTCAGATAAAACTTTTCTTTATGTTGGTCATAAAGAAATGCAGCAAAGCACTATGGTCTATATAGTTCCCTCAGCACTTGTGCCACACTTCTGCTACAAAACCATGCACAGCCAATTCCCATATTGGCGATGGTCCCGCACTGAGCCGTACCTTCTCCACCTGCTTCTGGAGGTTACGGACCCCAGATTCCCTGCAGTACTGTCGGATGAGCAGGTTCAGGGCATCTGGGGAGATACTGGCCTTGTCCTCAGAGAGACCACACAGAGAGCGCAACTGAGGGACCAGGTACCTCTGCAACACATACACAATTTTTATTATAGCTGACTAGTCTAGTAAAAATCAGCCACTAAAAATAAAATCAACACAAGGCTAAATTAGGAACATTTTTGTCAGATGAACAGAGGCAGTTGTAATATATTTTGATGGACATTGTGTTGTGTGGAGCCTGGACCCCAGTGTGGACTGTACCTCTGCAATGGCCAGCTTCTCCTGGGCCACGTATCCAGACACATTGATCATCTCCATGCGGTCTCGTAGTGGCTCGGGGATGGTGTCCACCACATTAGCTGTGCAGATGAAGAGCACCTGCAGTACAGCAAGCATTTAGTGGCTCTGTGATCGCCTGAGAGCGCGTGTGAGGAGAGCGTGTGAGGAGAGCGTGTGAGGAGAGCGTGTGAGGAGAGCGTGTGAGGAGAGCGTGTGAGGAGAGCGTGTGAGGAGCGCGTGTGAGGAGCGCGTGTGAGGAGCGCGTGTGAGGAGCGCGTGTGAGGAGAGCGTGTGGTGTGTGTGAGGAGAGCATGTGGTGTGTGTGAGGAAAGCGTGTGAGGAGAGCATGTGGTGTGTGTGAGGAGAGCGTGTGAGGAGAGCGTGTGAGGAGAGCGTGTGAGGAGAGCGTGTGAGGAGAGCATGTGGTGTGTGAGGAGAGCGTGTGAGGAGAGCATGTGGTGTGTGAGGAGAGCGTGTGTGAGGAGAGCATGTGGTGTGTGAGGAGAGCGTGTGAGGAGAGCGTGTGAGGAGAGCATGTGGTGTGTGAGGAGAGCGTGTGAGGAGAGCATGTGGTGTGTGAGGAGAGCGTGTGAGGAGAGCGTGTGAGGAGAGCGTGTGAGGAGAGCGTGTGGCGTATGAGGAGAGCATGTGGTGTGTGAAGAGAGCATGTGGTGTGTGAAGAGAGCATGTGGTGTGTGAAGAGAGCATGTGGTGTGTGAGGAGAGTGTGTGAGGAGAGTGTGTGAGGAGAGTGTGTGAGGAGAGTGTGTGAGGAGAGTGTGTGAGGAGAGTGTGTGAGGAGCGCGTGTGAGGAGAGTGTGTGAGGAGAGCGTGTGAGGAGAGCGTGTGAGGAGAGCGTGTGAGGAGCAGTGTTGGGAAGGTTACTTTTAAAATGTATTCCCTTACAGATTACAGATTACATACCCCAAAATGTAATTTGTAACATAATCCATTAAATTACTTCAAGTGAGTAACGTAATCTGAATACTTTGGATTATTTGATATTGTCATGCTTTTTAAAACGACATGAATGTTGCAACCACATCCTGAAAATTCTTGTTTGTTCTCTTCAAATTGTCCGTTGAGCCCAAGTCTCCATGAATAAGCAACTGTTTACTGTAGAGAAGCAAAGACTAGGATCTGTTAAGATTAGGACTAGGATGTTAACATAAGATGTTTTGTCTGCTAAAAGATGATAACAAGCTCAGTCAGCCATATTAAAAAATATTATTGATAGAGAAATTATTTTTATATGAGATCACCTTAAATTATGTCCAACCTATTGTTAGGTGTCATATTGTTTAGACCTGGTTTTAATCCTGATTTTAGACCTGGTTTTAGTCCTGGTTTTAGTCCTGGTTTAGTCCTGATTTGAGACCTGGTTTAGTTCTGGTTTAGTCCTGGTTTAGAGCGTGTAAGGAGAGACTGTGAGGAGAGCGTGTGGCGTGTGAGGAGGGCGTGTGAGGAGAGCGTGTGAGGAGCGCGTGTGAGGAGAGCATGTGGCGTGTGAGGAGAGCATGTGTGTGAGGAGAGTGTGTGAGGAGAGCGTGTGAGGAGAGCATGTGGTGTGTGAGGAGAGCGTGTGAGGAGAGCATGTGGTGTGTGAGGAGAGCGTGTGAGGAGAGCGTGTGAGGAGAGCATGTGGTGTGTGAGGAGAGCGTGTGAGGAGAGCGTGTGAGGAGAGCGTGTGGCGTATGAGGAGAGCATGTGGTGTGTGAAGAGAGCATGTGGTGTGTGAAGAGAGCATGTGGTGTGTGAGGAGAGTGTGTGAGGAGAGTGTGTGAGGAGAGTGTGTGAGGAGCGCGTGTGAGGAGAGTGTGTGAGGAGAGCGTGTGAGGAGAGCGTGTGAGGAGAGCGTGTGAGGAGAGCGTGTGAGGAGAGCGTGTGAGGAGAGCGTGTGAGGAGCAGTGTTGGGAAGGTTACTTTTAAAATGTATTCCCTTACAGATTACAGATTACATACCCCAAAATGTAATTTGTAACATAATCCATTAAATTACTTCAAGTGAGTAACGTAATCTGAATACTTTGGATTATTTGATATTGTCATGCTTTTTAAAACGACATGAATGTTGCAACCACATCCTGAAAATTCTTGTTTGTTCTCTTCAAATTGTCCGTTGAGCCCAAGTCTCCATGAATAAGCAACTGTTTACTGTAGAGAAGCAAAGACTAGGATCTGTTAAGATTAGGACTAGGATGTTAACATAAGATGTTTTGTCTGCTAAAAGATGATAACAAGCTCAGTCAGCCATATTAAAAAATATTATTGATAGAGAAATTATTTTTATATGAGATCACCTTAAATTATGTCCAACCTACTGTTAGGTGTCATATTGTTTAGACCTGGTTTTAATCCTGATTTTAGACCTGGTTTTAGTCCTGGTTTTAGTCCTGGTTTAGTCCTGATTTGAGACCTGGTTTAGTTCTGGTTTAGTCCCAGTTTAAACCTGGTTCAGTCCTAGTTTAGACCTGGTTCAGTCCTGGTTTAGACCTGGTTTAGTCCTGGTTCAGTCCTGATTTTAGACCTGGTTTAGTCCTGGTTTAGTCCTAGTTTAGTCCTGGTTTTAGTGCTGGTGTTAGTTCTGGTTTAGAGGCTCACAGGAGGAAGCGCAGTCTACGCAGCGTACACAAGAAAACACAGTCCACACGTGACGCACGGGAGGACGGCGGTATCTGCGCAGTAGCTACGGAAGGAAACGTGGTCCGCATGTTCTCGGGTTGATGACGATGATGAAGGTGTGTGTTTGTGGGTGTTTGTGTGCGTGTTCCCTCATATGGCAGGTCACTATAGGACTAGTAGATATTATGAGCCTATGCAGTTTATTTTCACCAATGCCAGTAGCTCCGGTTTGATATTTAACTTGTAGGTGATTGTATATTTGTTTTTGTTTTTTTTAATATATCTCACGTCGGGAGATACAAATGCGTTTTTACCTGTGCACTGCTGCCTCTGTTCTACTGGCTCTTCGATCTCATCCATCGTGTGACTGACGTTGCCAACGTTAACATGATGTTTACATCGCTCTTATTGCCGCTTTATGTTTGGGTTTCCGGCAATGAGTAGAATTACCGAAATAAAAAAAGAAAATGGGATGTAGCACAAAATGTTAAAAGAGGAAAATACCGCCTTGTAATCCACTTATTTCAGCAAACTTACTGTAATCCAATTACCACTCATTGAAACAGTAACTGTAACCGAATACAGTTACTCATAATTTGTACTCTGATTACGTAATGGCGGTACATGTAATCCGTTACTCCCCATGTGGCGTGTGAGGAGAGCGTGTGAGAAGCGCGTGTGAGGAGAGCATGTGAGGAGAGCATGTGAGGAGAGCATGTGAGGAGAGCATGTGAGGAGAGACTGTGAGGAGAGACTGTGAGGAGAGCGTGTGGCGTGTGAGGAGAGCGTGTAAGGAGAGACTGTGAGGAGAGCGTGTGGCGTGTGAGGAGAGCGTGTGGCGTGTGAGGAGAGTGTGTGGCGTGTGAGGAGAGCGTGTGGCGTGTGAGGAGAGCGTGTGGCGTGTGAGGAGAGCGTGTGAGAAGCGCGTGTGAGAAGCGCGTGTGAGGAGAGCATGTGAGGAGAGCATGTGAGGAGAGACTGTGAGGAGAGCGTGTGGCGTGTGAGGAGAGCGTGTGGCGTGTGAGGAGAGCGTGTGGCGTGTGAGGAGAGCGTGTGGCGTGTGAGGAGAGCATGTGGCGTGTGAGGAGAGCATGTGGCGTGTGAGGAGAGCATGTGGCGTGTGAGGAGAGCGTGTAAGGAGAGACTGTGAGGAGAGCGTGTGGCGTGTGAGGAGAGCGTGTGGCGTGTGAGGAGAGCATGTGGCGTGTGAGGAGAGCATGTGGCGTGTGAGGAGAGCATGTGGCGTGTGAGGAGAGCGTGTAAGGAGAGACTGTGAGGAGAGCATGTGGCGTGTGAGGAGAGCGTGTGAGGAGCGCGTGTGAGGAGAGCATGTGGCGTGTGAGGAGAGCATGTGGCGTGTGAGGAGGGCGTGTGAGGAGAGCGTGTGAGGAGCGCGTGTAAGGAGCGCGTGTAAGGAGCGCGTGTGAGGAGAGCATGTGGCGTGTGAGGAGAGCATGTGGCGTGTGAGGAGAGCGTGTGAGAAGCGCGTGTGAGGAGAGCATGTGGTGTGTGAGGAGAGCATGTGAGGAGAGCCTGTGAGGAGAGCCTGTGAGGAGAGCCTGTGAGGAGAGCGTGTGAGGAGAGCGTGTGGCGTGTGAGGAGAGCGTGTGAAGAGAGAGTGTGGCGTGTGAGGAGAGAGTGTGAAGTGTGAGTAGAGTGTATGAAGAGAGAGTGTGGCGTGTGAGGAGAGCGTGTGAAGAGAGAGTGTGGCGTGTGAGGAGAGAGTGTGAAGTGTGAGTAGAGTGTATGAAGAGAGAGTGTGGCGTGTGAGGAGAGCGTGTGAAGAGAGAGTGTGGCGTGTGAGGAGAGAGTGTGAAGTGTGAGTAGAGTGTATGAAGAGAGAGTGTGGCGTGTGAGGAGAGCGTGTGAAGAGAGAGTGTGGCGTGTGAGGAGAGAGTGTGAAGTGTGAGTAGAGTGTATGAAGAGAGAGTGTGGCGTGTGAGGAGAGCGTGTGAAGAGACAGTGTGGTGGGTGAGGAGAGAGAGTGGCGTGTGAGGAGAGAGTGTGAAGAGAGAGTGTGGCGTGTGAAGAGAGTGTGGCGTGTGAGGAGAGAGTGTGAAGAGAGTGTGGCGTGTGAGGAGAGAGTGTGAAGAGAGTGTGGCGTGTGAGGAGAGTGTGGCGTGTGAGGAGAGAGTGTGAAGAGAGTGTGGCGTGTGAGGAGAGTGTGGTGTGTGAGGAGAGAGTGTGAAGAGAGAGTGTGGCGTGTGAGGGGAGCGCATGGCGTGGATATGTGTGAAGGACGTGTATGGCGTGTGAGGGGAGTATGTGGTGCATGAGTGTAGCGTTCACCTTGGACAGATCCACGGGCACATCCAGGTAATGGTCCAGAAAGTTGGCATTCTGCTCAGGGTCCAGCAGCTCCAGCAGGGCAGAGGATGGGTCCCCCTGATACCCCCGGCCCATCTTATCCACCTGAGGAGAAAAGAGAGCTGGTCACACCTCCACACACACAGAGACTATGTCTGAACAGCATTTAAAAGCACTGACAACTCTAATACATAATAGACAGACCTCATCTATGAGCACCAGAGGGTTCTCTGTCTTGGTTTTCTTCAAGCACTGGATGATCTTCCCTGGCATGGCCCCTACATAGGTCCTCCTGGAGGACACAAACAGACATTAGTCCTCAACTGCACAGACAGCAGAGGAGCCGTCCTCAGGTTAGGGTGCAGAGGAGCTCCGTGGTACACACCTGTGTCCTTTGATTTCGGCCACATCAGTCATGCCACCCACACTGAAGCGGAAGTACTCGCGGTTGAGGGCGCGGGCAATGGAGCGGGCAATGGAGGTCTTTCCCACACCCGGGGGCCCATAGAAGCACAGGATCTTCCCCTGAGTGGAGCCCCTGAGCTGGCTCACCGCGATAAACTCCTGCAAACAACCTCCATGAGCACAAACGTACCACATACATGACAGCCTTCAGCCTGCGCAAATCTCACCAGGATCCTTTTCTTCACGTCGTCCATACCGTAGTGATCTTCGTCCAGCACTTCGCGGGCTCGAGATAAAGACAGGTTCTCCTCGCTGTTACTGCCCCAGGGCATGCTGGTCAGCCAGTCCAGATAATTTCGGGTTACACTGAGGGAGCACAAAAACTGGTCAGACTGGACAAGTTATCCGGACAGTCAGATGTGCAGAGGCTGCTCATCTGTGCCCTGGAATATCCCAGAAAACTATCACTGTAAACGCCAATAGTACGGGGGAAGTACCTCACATACTAGTACTTTTGCAGTACACTGTAATAGGCAAAATCATTTGGACCAGACATACTTGAACTCAGACGAGTGGTTGTCGAGCAGGCTGAGTTTGTTGAGCTCCTCAGTGATGACCTCCATCACATGCTGAGGAACCGTCCGTGTTTTGAGACGCTCTCTGAACTTCTCCTCTATTGCGTCTTTGTCCTCCTTCTCCAGACCCAGCTCCTGCACAGACAGACACGCCAGTTTCACCTCTGCTTCCCTGTACCCCCTCCTCAGTCCCTGCACCTCTTCAATACTTCCTCAGTCCCTCCTCCTCCTCAACAGCATTTATTGCACATGAATCAACACTATAACACCTTCTTGATGATCTTGAGTTGTTCCTGCAGCAGGTATTTTCTGTGGGTCTGCTTGATCTTCTCCTCCACCTGAGAGCACAGGGACAGATTATCCCGGGGGCCTTGTGTGCGTGTGCGTGTGCATGCGTGCGTGCAAGCTCTCACCTCTCTGCCCAGCCGCTGCTGAAGTTTACTCAGCTCGTACTCCTTCTTGAGCAGAGACAGGGCCTTGTAGAGCCTCTTGGGAATCTGCAGACAACATCAAGGTACATTAGTGTCTAATAATAATTATTTTCACCAGAAGAGGAGGAAACACAACAACTAATGATCTCTTACAGGCCAATACCTGACATACAATACATGACACCTCTAATATAACATAATATCCTAACAGCAGCACACTTACGTCAGTCTCCTCCAAAATCTCCTGCAGCTCATGGGACTCGGCTCCAGTCAGGGCGGCCCCCATGTCGCTCAGGTAGATGGGGTTATCCACGACCCTCTGTCCTGCCTGCATCATCTGCAGCACAGACTCCCTACACACACACAACCGCACACACATACACACACGCACACATATGACAGGTTAGTAGTAGTAGTAGTACTTACAATTTCACTTACAACTTACTGTATATATGAGGGACAAAACATAAATTAAAACAAACTAAATTGAATGCATAATTTGTTCATTCCAAAGTTCTATATCTTTAAAACATAATGCTTTATATCCTTTTTAAAGGCTTCTGCAGTATTAGACTTTTTAAAAACATCACTCAGATTGTTCCATATACTCACTCCTCTAACAGAAAAACAACCACTTTTTTCTTAGTTCTTACACGTAGACTGACACTCTTTTCAGTAAAACATAGTTAACCATCATTAGAAATTGATTTTGATTTTGCTCTTTTTATTATGTTTTATTTTGGTGTTTATTTATTTAAGTTTATTTGACTTCCAGGTAAGTATTATATTGTAGTATAGATTGCAGTAGCCGACATTTTACAGAAATCATTGTTTTTGAACACCACTGATTGTGTAATGGTAGCCGTCCACCACTGGACTGGATTATGGCCTCAGGAAAAAAAATATTGCCCATTATTGGCATAGGTAGATTCTGTTTGAGAACTCACTGCTACTTCCTGTATGTACTGTACGTATGTACTTTTATGGTACTTTTTTTTTTCCAGAAACTGCAAGTGAATAAACCTATGAGAAATATTTAGCACAGGTACAATGGAACCAAATCAAGTTCGGATTAGAAAAACATGAAAACCACCACTTGCCAAACCTAAATCCTAACATTAACCTATTTTTATCTATAGCTTGGATTTTTATTTTATGTATTTTTTAACATGATCAGGTGTTCTGTTTCTATATTGTCATTATATCTGACAGTCTTTGCTTGGTGCTGTTCCAATCTTTTTGGCACAGAGGAGTCAACTGGTTTGAACAGCCTTGTTTCCTAAGATGGGTTGCTCTGAGTCTCCACTGAAAAATACTCAGTCACTGCAGATGGGCATAGTGGTGGGAGTTTTTAAACATGTTGAGATACTGAGATACTAAAGGCAGGATTCTTACAGGTTTACATGAGACTGGAGAAAGGGCTGACCTGTACAGGGGGTTCAGAGCGATGATGTCCCTGATGGTTTTCACAATTTCGGCCGTCAGAGCCTGTCCACAACACACACATATAAGCCACAGCTGCCACACGTATGTGACCCAACACATTATCGGCACAGTTAGCTCATGACAAATGCTGCAACTAAGGAGACACTACAATATCCCCTGAAGACAACCCAGCGTCTCCATGGGTTCTGTGTAAAAGCTGCTAACCCTGTAGTTTAGACATCTACCACCAAGATTCTTTGATTTGATAAAGCCCCTGTACTCAGTTTTTACATGTATTTGGCCAGGACAGATATACACACCTTCTCATTCAATGTTTTTTTTCTTCATGTTTACTTTTCTCTACATTTATATTAATACAGAAAATATAAAATATGAATCAAGAGATATTTGAACTATGCAGCAAAGTAAAAAGTAAAGTATCAACTAAATATTTTTTATATTTTAGAAAATATTTTATTTTCAAATCCAAGTCAGCCACCCTTTGCTTTATCGACAGTGACGTAAACCCTTGGCCTTCTTTCTATGAGCTTCTTGATGAGGAATTCTCCTGAAATGGTTTTAACTTCTCAGCTGTGCCTGGTCAGGCTCAAGAAATGCAAAAAGTGCAAACCAAAGCAGAGGGTGGCCATTTCTTAAAATCTAAAACAAGTTTAAGTTAAGCTGTCGTTCACTACATTCCACATGGGTCATTCATAATTTTGATGCCTTCAGTGAGATGAAGTGAGAATTTACATTGAAAATAGTCTTTTTTTTTTATAATTTGCAATTTATTCAGTGCTTTTTTGTCCACATAAATCATAATATACATGCCCTATTCCCCCCCACACACACACACATAAACTCGATATAAACGTAGAAAGTAGATTAAAAAAAAATGTAAAAAGGGAAAGAAAAAAATAATAATAAAAAATTTACAAAATACCTAAATAATAATAAAATAAATAAGATAATAGCAATAATAATGATGATGATACTTAATAATGAAAAGGATTATATATGTATGTATATAATACATATAACATATACTAAACGTGTACCAGGTGTGTGTGTGTGTGTGTATATATATATATATATATATATATATATATATATATTATATATATATATATATATATACACACAACACATATACACAGAAATATATATATTATATTATAGATATATATATATATATATATATTATAGATTATATATATACATACACACACACATATACACATACACCAATATGCACAAATATGTACACATACACACACATATATACATACTAATACATACCTATATACATACAAGTATAAAATAAATAATAAGTTAGTAACTAAAAAGGGAGGCAGTCGGGTTACACATTCATACAGTACATTTTAGAATACACATACGTATCGAGTACACATTTTTAGGATTTCAGTGTTTTGTTTTGTTTTCCTAGACAGAAAACCACTGAAGTCCTTTACAATTTGCATTACAGCTAATTAGTTACAGTTAATAGTCCAAACTTTTGACTAGTAGTGTACTGCATAAGCGCCTCTTGAGTTCAGAATAAGCCAGACAGTTTAAAATTAACTAATTATGTTTTGTTTGTTTTTAACAGTTCAGATTTCAGTCTTCTTGCCAATCTACAAGATACTATATTCTAGAAAAAAAAAAAACATGACCTATTTCCAGATTTAAATAAAGGCAGTATTAGTGAAACCTTGCTGTATATCCTGTCCCCATTCTTACCTTGACCTCCTCGGTGACAGTGAAGCTCTGGTGCTGGATGTTGTCCACCTCTACCATGAGGATGGAGGAGGAGGGCAGAGGGTGCAGCTCAGGGCTAAGATCTGCTTCAGAGATCTGCAACAAGGTGGGGATTAATAATGTTTTAGAGGACCAGAGATGAAAAGAGTGATAAGACAGCTGTGCATAAGGACAATCAGGATTTATGCTGAAAGCAGTAACTCCAGTAACTCCTACTGATTACATTGTACTTTGTCACGAAATATCCAAAAAGTACATTTATAAATGTTGAACCTGATCATTTCTATCAGTGACTGTGCTCTTGTACTCACTGTATTAAAAACATACATTTATCATTACATGGCTAGAAATACACTCAATTACAAGTATAAGTTCAGGTTTAAAAATCTACTCAAAAAGTACAGTTACCAAAGGTATCCACTCACTTACAGTCATGTAGTTGCTATCCACCCCTGAGGACAATTTATGAATTATAAAGAGTTCAGCTTCTTCAGCTACTGCACAAGATAGTCTAACCTTGTCCTCCAACTGCTCTGCAAGGCTCGCCGGGGGGTCCCTGCGCACCCGTTTGCCTTTCCTGCGCAGGGACAGGGCTGCTTTGGGCTGAGGCTCTGAGTCTGGGTCTGGGGACACTGTGGGCTCCTCTGGCTCCACATCCAGCTGCCGAGTGATCCGGATTCTGAGGGACAGACACAGGAGTCACCATGCTTAGCACGGTTAAAGCTGAGCATGTTCATTGTGATTATAATTATTAATCAGATTATAACATTTTTAAATTAAAAAGTGATATGGGCACTTTTTGAACTCATAAATTCATGCCTCCACTATATTAACATTGAATTCAAAATGGCCTACAGCATTAAAACTGAGTTCTCATGAGCACTCTTTGGAAGATTTTGAACCCTATTTGTAATTGATTGTTTTGATCAAGCTGCCAAGGGACAACAGACCACTTGTTCTCATATTCCTTCATATTGATGTAAGTCTGTAAAGTCAGAGAGGATGGAGCTTACCTGCGGTGGCCCATTACAATCATACGCAGCTTGTCCCCCAGGTCCTGCATCTCATGGATCTGCACAAAGGTCCCGGTGGTGTAGATGGAGTCCAGAGTCTCCACCACATCTGACTCGTTACTACAACATAGAACTGTGAATGACAGGTGCATGACAACAGCACAGGTAGAGCTCTCTAAAGCTCCATGTGACCTAACCAATCCTCACAATATGCCTTTTTGCCATTGTCAGTGAACCAGATTATAGTCATAATAATATTCACAAATGCATGGGATTCTTATATTATCTTAGTAAAGCACTATACAAGACTAAACAAGGTAACTAAACAAGCTCCAAGTAACATAGACACAGTCTATACTAATATAAGCAGCACACAGACATGCACAGCCCACAGCAGCGGCCTCTGACCCCGGGGGAGCACATACCTGTCTTCTCTCTTGAGGAAGACTCCGGCATAGGGCTGTGCTAGGCGCACCTTCCGCCTCAGTAGCTCCATCAGCTCCGGGTTCTTAACCTACAAAAGGAGAAACATCACAGTCCAGCTCAACCCCACATACTCCACATACTGTGGAGATGCGCAAACAGGTAAAAACTACACGGACTTGTCCGTTTGATGCCCAGGGCACTGAAAAGGGTTTCTACAGCAGCAGCAGATGACGGAGCAGCGCGCATTGTTGCGTCATGTGCCCTTGGTGACACCGTGAGGGATGGAGCGGCAGCGGGGAGTAGAAGCGGCTGCTGAAAGGGCACATTTACCTCAATGATCTTGATGAAACGGGGAAACACCGGGTTTCTACTGACGGCGATCAGCGGTACGTTGGGGAACACCTCCGGCACCATCATGGGAGTCAGGGCGGTCATGTGAGGGCCGTTGTATCCGCCGCCGTCTCCATCTCCTCCGGGCTCCTCTCCCCCGGGCGCTCCGCTGTTGGCGCCGTCCTCTCCACTGACTCGGTTCCCAAAAGCCCGGGCCGGGGTCAGTGGGTATCGGGAGGGGGCGCTTATGTCCTGGCTCCACAGCGGGGGTCGCAGTCTGCACCCCGCTACAGCCGCGCGGAGAGCGGATTCCGTGTCCGCCCTGAGGACCGTGCCTCTGAGCCCGCTGAAGCCCCTGAGACCGCTGCCCGGTCGGCTGAGGCAGTGCCGGGGCACCAGAGCCCATCCGCGGAGACACACAGCACCCGCGAGTCTGTAGGCCGCCATGTCTGTCTATGCGATCACGTGTGCGCGAGCGTTTATTTACTTCCGGGTGTGTGACAGGTCGAGCCGTGCTGCGTTCATGAGCGTTGGTAATTCAAACGACTGCATGCAAAAACACCTTTAACACAGTGGAATTTGATTCAGAAACGGGTGCGAAAGAGTTCACAGTTTATAAAGACATCTATAATGTCTTCAAGTCCCTTTTCTTGGCAACGTATGATAGTAAGAGCGCGAGGAGAAGTAACAATTAGTACACGTATCAAAGTGTTGGTTTCCACATTTACAAGTGTGAATTTGAAGTGCAAGTACAATGTGCCTTAAAAGTATCTTTTAAACGTGCCAAACCAATTAGGAGGAACTAGTCGTGTGTGTTTCAGGCCTTTTCCTCATGAAATGGGAAAATGTCCAGACTGTCTTACCCCAGCCGACCCGAGTCTCCGCCCTGTCCTCTGTGCAGCTACTCTCCGCGTTTCCAGCACCTTCCACAGTCCTTGCAGTCTCCACCTGAGGGCGCCAGAGAGCTATATTCTAACCCTAGACAGTAGTGTCCTGTAAACGGTCTGATTCTAACCAGTGACAGGTCCATACATGAATATTACAATATCCTTCATTAAACTGAACAGCTTAAACCAAACAATATTGTACAATGTTTAGTTGTCTCCTCTTCTGAAAAGGAACATACTTTAACTTTAAATGTTTTCCGTTCTACTAGAAATATCAATGCCCTGATTTTATTTGTTTACATGTTCTATTTGCCAACAGTTATCATTTCTTGTATTTAAAAATGCTGCATCTTCTTTTGCTATTACATAAAGAAGGTCCATGCATGAGTTCATACATCTGCTGGAAAGTTTTTCTGTAGTTTTGTTAAAATCTTTTTTTCTGATTTTCAGTTGAATTTTTTTATTTTCATTATGAGATTGTTAGGCCACTAATAATAAATACACTGACCCTGTAGCTTAAGGTGTTGGGATGAACCAAATATTGAATTGTAAATAGACTTTTGTTACATTGACCTGTCAAGAGACAAGCAGGTGACAAGACCAAATAAGTTATAGTTTTCCATTTATTCATTTTATCCAGTTTTTGCTTTCTTTTTTTTTTTGCAAAATAATTTCTTTGAAAAACATACATTCTTAGTGTGGGCTTAATGCCACACTGTGGCATATTCCCATCAAACCAATAACATTTCCATGGAGACAAGGATTTTATTCGGTTGACAAACTGAATTACTCCTTTGCCATGGATTCTACCTGGACAATTAAGGGCTTTTACAAACATGGAGACAAGGAGGTAACTGACCTTCACCTTCCCCTTCATCTTCCAGTTTACTGTATGAGACTAAGCAGTTGTTTTTATGGTTGAGGAGATGAGAAGAGGAAAAGTGAAAATCAAATCAAGGAAGGGTACACAAGCCACAGGTGGAGGAGGCTCTGCAGTCCAACATAGATATTTGCTTTATTCAAATCCTTGAATCAAACACTACTACACACAGGTCACATACAGGGCCTGACCTTGACTCACTGCTCACTGTGATGAGGCTTTTCAAAAGCTTACATTCCACAATAGAAGACGGATCAAAGTGAGAGTTGTCATTTATTTTATGGCAAATTATAAACTAAAGGAAAGAAACATTGTATGAGATTCACCAAAGTAATAATATATGATTATCCACTATAAAATAAATAAGGTGTACTCGTGCAAGCCAAAATACAGTTTTTTCATAATTGGTAAATCTTTCTATGCCTACAAGATGGGCACTGTGGCGTTTTAATCTAATCCGGTATGAGGCAGGTCTGTTCTGCATTAGTCCAGCCTTTATGTGAGTGACAGTCCTTTCTCCCATGAATCCTGAGTGGAGTCTCAGCCCTGCAGGCGCACCAGTCCGTCTGCGTACTGGAACTGTTCACTGTTCTCATAGTGCAGCATGTCCAGAGCCACCACACAGCTCTCCTGCACCACACGCTCTCCATCTGCCTGGTGCCTCTGCAGCACACCCACACACTCCTGTCTGCCAATAGAGCCCAGAGCCTCTGCCGCCTCATGCCGCACCATGGGGTTCTCCTCAGGGCGCTCCAGAGCTGCGCTCAAAGCTGGCACCGCAGCTGGGTGCTGCATCTGACCCAACACGTACCCGATCTCATGACGGAACAGAGCACTGGAGCACTGCAGACCTGCCACAGGAACACAGGGTCAACTTAGTGCGCACAACTGTTAACTGCATTCACCAAATGTGATGCCTTGATATCAGAGAGGGACAGAAGACATGACAGACAAGTATTCAAGGATCTCAACCGTCCCACACAGCCCATAGGTTAACCAGTAGCTCTGTAGTAACAAATGACTTCAGTCTTTCAATAGTATAAAACTTGTGCTGTATAACAAAAATGTTTAAAAATGATAGTCAGTGGTTGCCACATATCTGATAAGTCTTCTTCTACTATCAGACTTTTCTGATGCAGGGCAGTGCATTCAATTGACAGTAAGACTATAAGACTATAGGTAAGATTATAAATTCATAATGTAAATGTAAATGTAAAAGAAGAAAAAATCTAGCACTGCTTCAGGATATAAAACTCTACTCTTCTGTTTAGACCTGCTTAATATTACTGGCCATTGCTGTTTTTAAAGCCCCTGAGCGCTATCTGTCCCTGTGCTTCAGCCCGGGCCCTACCATCAGCCAGAGCCAGTGCCGCCTCCTCTGTACCCAGGTTCCTCAGAGCAAACATGGCCCGGTAGCGCTCGAACAAGGGCAGCCTCTCATTAAGCAGGATGCTCCGCAGCTCAGAGGGACTCTTCTGGGGTGCAGGGGGGGCAGGGTCCACAGAGCTGTAGGGGCTATCATCCTGGGCCTGTCCTCCAGACTGCAGCCACTGCAGACGAGCCACGGCCAGCTGGCACGTCTCTGCCACCTGCAGAGGGCAAAACATTGGTCATATGAGGACTGGCACAATCAGGATTTTTCAACATTCTAGGGCTGTGCAGTTAATCACATTTGAATTAGAATTATAATAAGATTGGTGAGTTTTTTTCATTTGTACCCCTGTGTGCGCTGCTGAATCCAACGTGCATCACAGATTAAGAATGGCAGTGTAAGTACAGAGCAATGGACGTAGTATGTCGGTTGTGGTGAAAACAGATGTTGATGTGGTCTTTAAAATATGCGATAAAGATTGCTCACACATGCACAAATCTCTCTCTCAAATTGTTTTTGGCATGTCATAAAAACTCAGGAAACATGAGCTAACAGTGAGTGATGTGATGGTTTGGGTGTGCTCCGTGACAGACTGTACCTCTATGACAGGGTCCTGGCAGTACTCTGTGAGCAGCTCCAGGACTGAAGTGTCTCCGATGGCTCCCAGGGCCTCTCCTGAACACAGCAGCTCATTACTAGGTTTTAGAAGCTTTACAAAGGTGACACAAGTTTCACACATGGGGGAGCAATATCAGCCAGTGCAATCCCTAAACAGAAAGCAACACTTAAGGACTGAGTCTGTATGCCCACACTCCTCCACCACCTCAATCAGTTTCATTCAAGAGTGTTAAACAGTGGAGTAAGCCATCAGTAAGCCATCAACCTATCAAACTTCCAGAGCTTGAACAATTTACCAACCTTCTCTAGAGAAGTAAAAACACCCACACTGTATGCACTTATGTCTTATTACTGTTAGTGTTACTGAGATCGCACTAATTCTTCAGTGAATCCACCATAGTAAATTAATCTGGAGTCTCCTGTAATAGTTGTAAAATGGTGTGGAAAGAGTTAGATGGATTATCTACACTGTAGATATTTTGAATTATGACCCTATGCCCCAGTCACTACAGGAAATGGACTCAAACTATAATCTAACATCTCTGCGTTTATGCAAAATGAAACTGAAAAGAGCTTATAATGCTGAAATTGGACATTAGTATTAGTATTAATATGACGGGAAAACAATTATTAAACCAAAATATTATTAAAGCACCATAGGAGTCAGTAAAACATAGTATGGACGATCTCAAAGGCCATCACATACAGGGCATACGTGGGCAGGGGTGAGTGGTACCTGCTTCGTGCCGGACCATGGGCTCCTGTTGCGTGTCCTTCAGCACAGCGGTGAGAGTGGGGATGGCCCGGGCGTCCTGCATTTGACCCAAGCAGTAGGCCAGCTCGTGCTTGAGCAGAGCAGACTCATCACTGAAGCCTCGGCTGATCCAGCTGATAGCCTCTGGGCCTAATACACAGCACAGGATCAGCACTTAGATGAAACTAAAGTGGCACAAAGTTCAACGTCTTCTCTGTCGGCATAAACAAAAGTCATAGATTTTTGACATTTACTGAGCGAATCCTTTAGACAGCAACTGTGAACACATGAACACAACCTCTCCGGTCTCTGAGGTTCTAGCTCATTTTGTGAGACACTGTACTATTGTTAAATATGATGTGTTTTCAGAGACATATTGAGCTAATTTAAACTCACAAATGATAAGCAAATGTCATATCTGTGTAACTTAACTATGACAACAACAACAAGCAGCTGAGGGAGTACGTGGTACACACGTGGTACCTCCGATGTTCCTGAGGGTGAAGAGGGCTCGAAAACGCCAGGCCAGCTCCTGTTTGGAATCCAGCAGAACCTGTCCCACTGCAGACACCTGCTCCACACTGGCCATGGCCAAGCTCAGCTCACTGCAGCCAGAGGACGAGGACGAAGAGGATGAGGAGGACGAAGAGGAGGATAAGGATGAGAAGGTCGAGGAGGATGAACGAGGAGTAGGACAAAGAACGAGGACAAGGAGGAAGATGAGGAGGACAAGGAGGATGAGTAGGAGCAGGAGGATGAGGATAAAGACAACAGCGTTTTATTATTTTATTTCACTGAATCCATTTCAGCCATACATTTGGAAAATTGTACATTCAAAAGCTATTAAGTCATTTTGAGATCACTACTTAAAAGCAGCACAATATTTGGAAAGTTTTAACAGCAACCTTGCTTATATCCAATCCCCTGGCTCGTTTAAATCCAAAAGAATGATGGATTAGAGGTTAGATGTGCTCGCTATTTGGCCCATTCTTCCTGAATTATTGTCCAGTCGCCTCGCTCAGTAATAATATCTGAAATACATCTTGCTCATAGGCGCAAATACATCATTCACAACTGCAAGCTCACGTGGTTCTGGCCAAAGACCCAAACCCAGCCCAAAACACGGAGCTCTCCTCCCGTTAAAGCTCCTGTTGGAACCAGGACGCGCTGAGAATCAAACACCGAGTATCACGATGTTCTGACATCAATCAACACACGACCCATGTTAACCCAAAGAACTATAACCCCACAGAAGCGCAGGGCCCGGGGCAGGAGAGCTCCTCGGAGACACGTTGCAGTAACATGTGGCTCAACTTTTCAACACTGACAGAATAGAACACCATTTCTTACCGTGAGAGGACACTTGTCAGTCAAACAGCCAGATCATCCCCAAACTGGTATGGATTCATCAAATGAGACCTCCAGACTAGTCCCACACAACAACACTACGCTCAACCCACACCGAGCACACCGAACACACCGAACACACCGAACACACCGAACACACCGAACACACCGAGCACACCGAACACACCGAACACACCGAACACACCGAGCACACCGAACACACCGAACACACCGAGCCACGCAGCGCGACACCGGTGAGGGAAGCACGGAGTACACTTCCGCATCCGGCACGGCGCGGGGCGCATCCGGGCGCATCCCATTTCTGATGTATCGACCTCTTGCTTTAAAAAGAATATATATATATATATATATATATATATATATATATATATATATATATATATATATATATATATATATATATATATATATATATATATATATATAATATATATATATATTTAAGAAAATTGGAGGTCTACACTTTATACTGTAATAATGTAGTCAAATTGCCAATTAAATTATCTCACTTCCATCTGCAATCTCTAACTGCACGGACGATTTGTTATAAACATAATTATTCCCCTCACACAAGTACAATATGGAACAATGAATACATTCTAAAAGGTAGAAAGTCAATCTTCTTCAAACCTGTGGCCAAAAATATCATTTACGTGTCAGACGTTTGGCGATTCGGGCCAAATTTAAAATTATGAAACGTTTATGCAAAAGTATCAATTCCAAATTCCTTTTAGAGAATTTAAATCAGTCATTGCGTTGAATGTGTGCCAAAGGGTGTGTTACAATTGATGAAGGGAACCAGAGAGCTCCAGTTTCTGACCACTACAATTCATCCATAAACGGGATAAAATTGTTATTTATTTATTTATTTGTTTATTATTTTATTTTATTTTTTATAAAAATTGCAATAACAAACACATTTGGATCAGTCTACTCAGCAACAATAAAACTCAACCTATAGTCAGGGAGCCAAAGTCTCAAAAACGGGTTGAACCTGACATTGCCTGCTATACTTTTTATTTGTGTTTTTTTTTTTTTTTTTTTGTTAACTGTGACCCTGAGGACCAATAATTGGAGGGTCTGCTCTTCCGGAAATATCGCGAAAATTTTTTTTGGCCATTTTAGTGTAGGTCACCTTCATTTTGTGATCGAAAATTTTGAAAAATGAAAAATTTCCTCAAGTCCTCAGTGGATTGGGTAAGCTGTCTACAAATACATTCCAGATGCAAAGAACACATGTGGTGACAACATTCAGTGAAAAAAATATTCATAAAACACATTTCTACATGATTTTGGCTCAATTTAATGCCAAAAAATAAGGCATTTTTTCACTTTTTTCCAGTATTTTCATCTTTACTTCATTGGCAATCAACTATTCCCCCAAGTTTTGACATCAGCCAATATGCCATTCTTTTCTTCAAACAGTATAGTCATTCCACAGAAAAAAATATAAAAATCCAACCAAAATCAATGGATCTGTGATGATTTCATTACCATCAACAGGCCCAGAACCTCAATAGAATATAAGGCTCCTCTCAACATTCCATAAGGCACACTGAATATTTAGCATGGTTGTTAATGTCCACATTATTAAACATCATGGCCTAGGCATCTATTAAATAATACTACTACTACTAATAATAATAATAATAATAAATATAAATATAGCCGCAAGCGGCAATGATCGGCCCTCGCTTGAGCCTATGCCATGCTCATGCCACGCCGCACCCCGGCCACGTTGAGCTCTGCACATGCCGTGCCCCACGAATGCACCTTACTCAATGATCTAACTTCTAAATTAACACTAACCCCTAAACCTACGTGCACTCCTAACTAGGGATGGGCATTCGATGAAATTTTCTTAATCAATCGTCGGAAGAATTAACGATCGATTATCTATTAATCATTAATGTTTTTATATTAAAATGATCATCATTATTACTATCTGCACTACTAATCTGCATAAATAAATTCAAGTTTACGACATATAAACCGTAACCACTCTAGAGCCACATCAATCCGTTTGAGATTTTAATGTGTTTAATTCATCCATCCATCCATCCATTTTCGTCCGTTTATCCGGGGCCGGGTCGCGGGGGCAGCAGCCTAAGCATGGACTCCCAGACTTCCTTCACCCCAGACACGTCCTCCAGCTCCTCCGGGGGAACCCCGAGGCGTTCCCAGGCCAGCCGAGAGACATAGTCCCTCCAGCGTGTCCTGGGTCTTCCCCGGGGCCTCCTCCCGGTGGGACATGCCCAGAACACCTCCCGAGGGAGGCGCCCAGGAGGCATCCGGAACAGATGCCCGAGTCACCTCAACTGGCTCCTCTCAACGTGGAGGAGCAGCGGCTCTACTCCGAGCTCCTCCCGTGTGACTGAGCTCCTCACCCTATCTCTAAGGGAGCGCCCAGCCACCCTGCGAAGGAAACTCATTTCAAGCGCTTGTATCCGCGATCTCGTCCTTTCGGTCACTACCCAGAGCTCATGACCATAGGTGAGAGTAGGAACGAAGACTGACCGGTAAATCGAGAGCTTCGCCTTTCGGCTCAGCTCCCTCTTCACCACCACAACGGTCCGATACAGCGACCGCATCACTGCCGAAGCTGCACCGATCCGCCTGTCAATCTCACGTTCCGTCCTTCCTTCCCTCACTCGTGAACAAGACCCCGAGATACTTGAACTCCTCCACTTGAGGCAAAGACTCCCCACCCACCCGGAGAGGGCAAGCCACCTTTTTCCGGTCGAGAACCATGGCCTCGGACTTAGAAGAGCTGATCTTCATCCCAGCCGCTTCACACTCGGCTGCAAACCGCCCCAGTGCACATTGCAGGTCCTGGTTCGATGAAGCCAACAGGACAACATCATCCGCAAACAGCAGAGATGAGATCCTGTGGTCCCCAAACCGGACCCCCTCCGGCCCCTGACTGTGCCTAGAAATTCTGTCCATAAATACAATGAACAGAACCGGTGACAAAGGGCAGCCCTGGCGGAGTCCAACATGCACCGGGAACAGGTCTGACTTACTGCCGGCAATGCGAACACAGCTCTTACTCCGGTCATACAGGGATCGGACAGCTCTTAGCAAAGGGCCCCGGACCCCATACTCCCAGAGCACCCCCCACAGGACACCACGAGGGACACGGTCGAATGCCTTCTCCAAGTCCACAAAGCACATGTGGACTGTGGACTGGTTGGGCAAACTCCCATGAACCCTCGAGCACCCGATGATGAAGAGTGTAGAGCTGGTCCAGTGTTCCACGGCCAGGACGAAAACCACACTGCTCCTCCTGGATCCGAGGTTCGACTATCGGCCGGATTCTCCTCTCCAGTACCCTGGCATAGACCTTACCGGGAAGGCTGAGGAGTGTGATCCCCCTATAGTTGGAACACACCCTCCGGTCCCCCTTCTTATACAGAGGGACCACCACCCCGGTTTGCCAGTCCAGAGGTACTGTTCCCGACCGCCACGCGATGTTGAAGAGGCGTGTCAGCCAAGACAGCCCCACAACATCCAGAGACTTAAGGTACTCAGGACGGATCTCATCCAACCCCGGAGCCTTGCCACCAAGGAGCTCTCCAACCACCTCAGTGACTTCAGCCAGGGTGATGGATGAGTCCGCCTCTGAGTCCCCAGCCTCGGCCTCCTCCTCGGAAGACGCGACGGTGGGATTGAGGAGATCCTCAAAGTATTCCTTCCACCGCCGGACAACGTCCCCAGTCGAGGTCAGCAGCTCTCCCCCCGCACTGTAAACAGTGTTGGTGAAGAACTGCTTCCCCCTCCTGAGGCGCCGGACGGTTTGCCAGAATTTCTTTGAGGCCGTCCGATAGTCCTCCTCCATGGCCTCCCCGAACTCCTCCCAGCTCCGAGTTTTTGCCTCCGCGACCACACGGGCTGCAGCACGCTTGGCCCGCCGGCACCCGTCAGCTGCTTCAGGAGTCCCCCGAGCCAGCAAGGCCCTATAGGACTCCTTCTTCAGCTTGACGGCATCCCTTACTTCCGGTGTCCACCACCGGGTTCGGGGATTGCCGCCGCGACAGGCACCACCGACCTTACGCCCACAGCTCCGAGCAGCCGCATCGACAATAGAGGCCGAGAATGAAGCCCACTCAGACTCCATATCTCCAGCCTCCCCCGGAATCCGGGAGAAGTCCTCCCGGAGGTGCGAGTTGAAAGATTAAAAGACATGATTCAATGGAATACAGGTTAGTGTGACCATATTTGCGTTTGTCAAAACCAGTATAGTCATTCCACAGAAAAAAATATAAAAATCCAACCAAAATCAATGGATCTGTCTTCTTTACCATCAATAGGCCCAGAACCTCAATAGAATGTTAGGCTACTGTCAACATTCCATAAGGCACACTGGATATTTAGCATGGTTGTTAATGTCCACATTATTAAACATCATAGTCCTTCACTCCACCTTGTTCACAAATTTAAAAAGTCAATGCCAAAGTGAAAGGCACCAGCTGTTCACCAAGAAACACCTTCCACTGCAAAGAGACCAAGACGTGATGTTGCTCTAAAACCACAAGAACAGAAAGTGTGAGCTCAGTCTGTTTGTCTTCTGTATCTCTCACTTAACAAATGGGATTTTACTTTGATGTTGCTCCACATACAAAATGTTCTCTGCAAACTCAGGATGAGTTAGGAAGTCAAAGGTTTTCTTTTTGGTTCTTCCTGTGGATCAATCCTGTCCATCACCTTCACCTTTCACTATTTTTCAATTCCGTTGTGAAGAGAAACAGTTTGAACAGAGGTTTGAGTCACAAACATCTGATTCACTTTTGCATTTATGGAGTTTGCAAACAAATTTCTCGAGTCGTTTTCTGCTGTTAGGATCCAACAACCACACAATTAACGATATCTGAATCCCAAAACTAAAATATGACAATATCAGAACCAGAAACAAAAGTGATATGGTTCAAAAGACTTGAAAAGATCGACTTTGACAATAAATTCCACTGGGAAAACAAACATGGAGGTTTGATGCTCACTCTTTTGGAAAATCCTTCCCAGCATGAATTGCACAATGACCGGAAGTCTAAGATTCTTGATGCATCTATAGGACGCCCAACAAAAACTTTGGCGTAGCCAAACCAAATTTGGTACACAGATGCACCATGGGAATAGGGACAAAAAGTATATTAACAGGAAGTCAGCCATATTGGACTGATTGCGCTACTCGGCGCCAAAGGCGCATTTTCTTGTCCTCATATTTGAACGAACTCGTCCTAAGGTGTTTGACCCAGACTCACTAGAATC